TTAGTATTTAAATACTATTTTTAAAGCAGCTTAACCCTAAATAAAATAGCTTCTAATACTTTTAAAGTATTACTAAAATTTATTAACATTAAGCAGGCTTCTAAGTATTATAAATATTTACTATTTTTAAATTAATATAAAAAGTATTATTAAGTATAATATAAAATAAGTATCTATTTAAATATTTTTAATTTTTAATATTTTTATTTAGTTTTTCTTTACTTAAAAGGTTTATTAGCGTAATACTAACTATATTATTAATAAAATAACTCTAAATATTTATAATTAAATATATAGCTTATAATTATCTTAAATATATTTATTTTTATATATAAATTAAAGTATTACCTAAATTAACTAAAGGTAAATAAGTTTTTTATTTTATTACTATTATATTAGGCAGTAATACTAGCGCTAGTTTTATTAAGTTTAATAATATTTATAATTTTATAATATAACTATTTACTAAGATAAAGATTACTTATTATATATAAATATATATATTAAAACCTTTACTAAGGAGTAATATAAAGTCTTAACTTACTTATAATAAGTATAAGTAATTTAAATATTTATAAATAATACCTATTAGGTATATTATAAATATTAGTTACTTACTAGCTTTAAAGTAATTTATTACTATATTTTCTCCTTAAAAAATATTTAATTTATTAAGTTTTAAAAATAATATCCCTAATAATAAATTATAAAATAGCTTATTAATTAATATATATACTACTTAAAAAAAAACTATACTACTATTATTAATTTAAAAAGAAAGCTATATAATAGCTATATTAAAAATTTAAAGGCCTTTATCCTCTATATTACTAATATAAACTAAGTTTTATAAGTAAATACTTTTATATAAAAAAAAATACTTTTTTAAATATTAATATTTAATTATAAATATAAGTAAGTTAGTATTTATTAATACTTTAGTATAAGTCTTAGCCCTATAGTATACTACTTATAACTAAGTATAAGTTTATAATTTATATATAATATTATTATTCTCTAAGCCTAATTTAAAATATCCTAGGTTATATAATTTTCTTAATATATTTACTATAACTACCTCTTTTAGTTAAATTAGTTAATTAATATATAATAAAGTAAAAAAGTACTTAATATAATATTTTATATTATTTTTTATTATAATTATAAAAGGATTAGGGTTAAAAGCTATTATAAAGCTATTTATTACTTTACTAAGGGTTATAAAAATATTAAGTATAATATTCTTAGTTAACTATTACTTTATTAGTTTTTTAAATTAAATATATTAAATAAAACCTTTATTATTAATAAATAAAAGTTATTTACTTTTACTTATAAATTATCTCCTTTATCTTTATTAATATTTATAAAATTTTTATACTCTTAACTAAATATTATATATACTTTTACTAAAGTTTACTTAAGTATTATCTTATTTAATTATTTATAATTTAAATATTACTACTTTTATTATAAAAAGTATTATACCTTAGTAATTTAAGGAGGTAGTATTAATCTTATATTATAAGTAATATAACCCCTAGGACAGTCCCTTAGCTACTTTTAATAATATACTTAGTCCCCTTTATAAAGTTTTAGTATATTATACTTAATAACTATAGTGCCTTAGTTAAGGCCTTTATAGTTAAGGCAGTTATAATCTTATATATAACACCTATTAAAATATTTTAATTACTATTAACTACTTTAAGGGTTATTATTTTAATAATAACTAATATATATTTATAATTATTAGCTATAAGAAAATCTAGCTTATAGCTCTCGTAGGGCCTTTTATATCTTTTATAGTTAAGTATAGTTTTAATTAATATTATTTTATTATATTAACTAGTCCTACTATACTACCTATTCCCTAGTTATAAGCTAAAATTTAACTTTATTTATAATAATATATTATTTATTAATATTTATTAACTTAGCTAATACTAAGTTAATACTTAAGATTAAACAGTAGGCTTTTATATCCTTATTTATTTTACTTACTTTATTATATAAAGCTAATTTTTTATTAATATATTCCTAAAGGGAAAACTTATTTTTTTTTATAAAATAATATTTAAGGTTATTTACCTTTATTATAATAACTTTATAATTATATTAAAATTATTAATAAAAAATATCCTCTTATACCTATAGGTTTTATATTAATTAGTATTTTATTTTATTATTTAATAACTAAAACTATTTATATTTATTACTTCCTAAAAAGAATAAAATCCCTAGTACTATATTCTATAATATAGTATTCTTACTATAGGTTATAATTAACTATTATAACTAGCTAATATATACTAAAATAGGTATATATATTATATCTAGTATAAGAATATTAGCTTTAAATATTTAATAAAATAGCTATATTATTAATAATAAACTATAATATAACCTTAGAAGTATATAATAATTATTATATTTATATTCCCTTTTATATTATATATTTTAATAACCTAAAGACTATATATTAAGTATAAAGTTATATAAGTTAAGTAAATATTTAATATTTTATATAAAGTATAAGTTTTATCTTTCTCTTTAATACTTATATATCCCTAGTTATTATTTAAGTTAATATATAAAAAGTAATTCTTTATCCCTATATTAATTATTCTAAGTAATTTAGTATTAATTTATTTTTTAGTATAAAAGGTTTCTGCTAGCTAGTCTTAGGATAATAAAGTATTAACCTAAAGAGTTAAGTAATTCCTTAATATTATTAATTATTAATCTTTTTATAAATTATATTACTATTTACTTTACTACTATTATATAATTAAGTATAGCTATTTAATTATTTAAGGCTACTACTTTTATTACTTAATATTTATAATAAGGTATACCTTAAACTACTACTATAGTTATTATTATAAGCTATTTTATAAAAATAGGTATTAGTTCTTAATATTAACTTAGTTATATCTTAACTAATATTAGTTATATTAATATTATATTTTATAAATATTTTATTTATAAATATATTATAAATATCTAGTATTTTTTATTTAGGTTTACTATAAAGTTTAAAATTATTAATAAATTAAAATTTATAACTAAAGGCTAGTTATTATTTATTAAAGAGGCCTACTTTAATAAGTATTAGCTATTTTATTTTAAGGCTATTTATATAAAAGATTTTATTTTTAATAAAGTATTTAAAGGTTTTTTTTTTTTTTAGTTTATAAATAATTATTTTTAAATATTTTATATTTTTATTATTTATTATAATAAATATTATAAAACCTATAATATTTATAAAGTTATAAATATAAAAATTAAGGGTTTATTATTAAAAAGTAAAAAATAAGAAAAGTTTTTAAACTTATTAAAGAGTTAAGTTATAAATAACTACTATTAATAAACTATTCTTAAATATAAGCTTTAAGTTAAGTATAAATATTATTTTTTTTTATTTAATAAAAATAGTAAAAAAATAAAAAAAATAAATAAAAAAGCTAAATATATTATAAAAAGTAAGAAAAAGGGGTAATTAATTATAATAAAAATAAAGGTTTTTAAAAATAAAAATATTTTTTTTATTAATATAAATAAAAGTAGCTTAGGGTTTTTAGTAATAGTAAATTTTATAATTAATAAAAAAAGCTTAAAAATATTAAGGTTTATAAATAAAACTATAGTTAATAATATTAACATAAGCTATATAAAAGGTTAAACTAGAATATTAATAAGCTTTAGATATATTAAAAAAAAAACTACTTTTAGGTTTTTATTATTATTATAGCTATTTATTTATCTTAAGCTTATTAATAATTATATAAATATTTTTCTAAATAAAAAACGCCTTAATATATTTTTTAAAATCTTAAGTTATTATTTAATTTTTTACTTTAGTATAAAAAAAAATTATAAATTATAATTTATATTTTTATAAAATAAACTAAATACTAAGTCTACTAAATTATTATTTTTTCCCTTTAGGATTAATATATATTAATATAGCTGCGTAGGTCTAAAGGTAGGTTATTATTTTAATTATATAGCTTAACTTTAAAAATATATTAAAAAGTATTAAAAAAGTAAAGTAAAGTAATTACTACTATATTAGGGCTTATCCAGCTAGGCTATTATATTAAAGGTTATATAGGCAAGGGACTAAGTATAATATAAAAAGAAGCTTACTTCTATCTAGGTCCCTTCAGAGGGAAGACTGACCTATCTGGGTCTTAGGAGGTCATGTGACCTTACAGCCGTCCTGCAGTGATGGCTGGTGGTATGTAATAATGACACTTCCATATGTTATAAAATAATTTATTGGGAACAGCTTCTCGACCCGATTCAATAATTGGTTATTAGATACTGCCTTTTACGACTACCTATATCAAGGTCTACCAGTCAGCCCATTATGTATACAATAAAGCATTCGATTACACCTTGAGAAATGCTAGGCCACTCGACTTAGTTGCCGATCCTAGCATGTACATGTAGGTAGCTGCCAATAAATCACGAGCTCCTGGCAATGCTCTACGAATTAACCAACGAATAATGTACAAGAATCGAATCATCCCCCTTCAAGACGGGGATCACGAGTCTGCAAGACAACTGCGAGCCCAGATAAATGCTCTCAGGCAAAAATCCCATCAAGAGTCTAAAATTATTACCTCCAAGGCTGCTGGCTACTTCGAGTTATGGATCGAAATTCACAACCTAGACTCAAGCCGTCTTTATAATGACGGGGGATGGGATGTACGAATTACAAGGTGCCTGATGGCTTTCTTTTTGTTGTTAAAAAAAATGAACCTTGTTAAGAGCGCAAGGGCTTTGGTCATGCAAGCTAATAACAAGAGGTTGAGTCAATGTTATTAGAAAAAAAACGAGTGTTTATTGAATAATGTAAAGCGATTTCGTCACGACCCTGTATCTACAGTTGCAAACACATAACAACTCAACACCACTCTCCCCGTCATGAAAACATAAAGTCACAACCATACAGTAACACACCAATACGACAAAAACTCCAACTCTCCTCACAGCTTCGCCTCAGCAATCCCCTTATACTTCCTCAACAGCCTCGCCACGGCCGCCCTCGGACTCCCCCCATCCACAAACCCAAGAAACGGGTTCCCGACTTTATACCCCAGCATGTCCACCAACCTCTCCGGAATCTCGTCCAGCTTCTCCCAGTCCACCGCCAGGATCTGATTCTCCATCGGCCGGATCCACGGCTGGCAGTACTGCGCCGTCAGTGCCAACCTGCTCTCGTCGCTTGTATTCGCGCCGCCGCCGTGCCACAGCGTGCTGAGGAAGAAGAGCATGCTGCCGGCCGGCATAATGACAGGAATCGTCTCCTCGGCCAAAGGCACGCGGTGGGAATCCCATAAATGAGAATCTGGAACAATGACAGTTGCGCCGTTATCAGCTTTATAATCATCCAGCGCAATCATGACACCCTGCTCATGCAACATAGTTAGCCCTTTCCTCTCGTCTTCTTCATCGATTCACGAGAAAAAACACAAAAACAAACACAGTCACTCACCGTCCCAACCGCTTTATGAGGCCTCTCCATCGTCACATACCCATGATCGTAATGCAGCGTCTGCGCACTCTCCCCCGGCAAGATATTAATGCTCTGAAACGAATTCACCAAATACCCCGGATCCAAAAAGTAATCGTTCAGCGCAAGCACGTCCTCATGCAGCGCAAAGGCGTCAAACACGCGCGACTTGTTCGCCAGCGCGTACAGCCGCTGCGTCTTGAGCCCTTCAAACGTGTTGCGGCCCATTTCGCCCGCCGGCCCGACCATCTCGGGATCCGCCATCAGCCGCGCGACCTCAGCCTTGGCCTCGGCGACGATCGAGGGGGGGAAGGCGTCTGGCATGATGGCGTAGCCATGCTCGTTGATCTGATCGATGAGCTGCTGGATGCGAGCGTCAGGTGTCTTTGAGCGTGACGCTGTGTTCAGTCGCGCCGCGGACCCGACTTCGTTGGGGATATTGCCCACCGCAAGAGGCCGTTTATTGCTCATTTCATTGATATACACGATGTAGCAAGTACCTTATGTCAGACTACCTAGGCGGCACACCAAGGTACCTAGCTACCTTAGTCCCGGAAGGCACTTTTGACTTAATAGGTACAAGGAATGTGGACAACGCTGATTGAAGCTACTAAAAGCTACAAAGGAAGGCTAGCCAATTGGTCTTAAATACCTAGAAAATTGTGTGGGTACCCAACCTGCTGCCCAATTGGCAGGGGGACTTTTCCGTACCTTATCCAGATTCCTTCCGTCCCAAGGCACCTGTATCTGATCAAATGGATCAACGTTTCATCCTTTCCGGCAGGACCTCGAGGGGTGATGCAATTCGACAAAGTACCTACGAAAGAGGAAAATGCCAGATGGACCCAAAATAGTGGTACAGTGTTTGCTGGATAAGGTAGATGACCTCTATCAAACCCCAGCCTCAACTCCAAGACCTCGGGCCCGTGTATATACATACTCCATACCCCTTCCGGCCTACGTATAATCATTATACGAGCAATACAACTCTATCGAAACTCCATGACACACCAGCCGCCCACGCGGAAAAGCAAACGCAGATACCAGTGGGTCTACAAGCAAGGCCATCCTGGCAACCAACCCGAATCCAGCCCACGACAATCCCATTCCGTACTACAAGCCTTGCGCGCAAGGGATTAAGCGATGGATGCGTAATCAAGCTGAACCCCAACCCGCCAATCTAGCCAAAGCGTCGGTAAAAAGAAAAGCTTCGCGCGTGGTCCAGAGAAGAGAGAGACTGACCGATCTGCGGGATGCTCGAGATCGGGGGCTGGGCTGAATACCCACTCGCAAAGGGACGGTCAAGTGCTTGGCCGTCTCTTGACTGTCTATTGGCCCCAGACGTAGACACATGACAATCCATCAGCTATTAACAGTTAGTCTCATGCATACTATCCGACAGATTCAACGTCTAGCTTCGGTCATAGTAATTGGTCTTGTCTCGCAATGTGGCAAACATGAATCAGAATATATCCAATATATGCATTCGCTTTATTTAGCTAGTTTGTATATGTAAACAGAACGGGGCTTTGTACACTTTTTTTTTGTGCCCCCAAAAGTTATAGATATTAATGTATATACAAGAAGGCTCGACATTCCACGCTCTCCGCGCCGCCTCGTCTCTTGTCCAAGCTTAGTTGGAGCAGACGCCGCTCTTGCAAGAGTAAGGGTCAGAGCAGTCGTTGTCGTTGCCGCAGGAAGCACCGAGACAGTGACCCTCCCAGGAGCAGGTAGGAGGAGGAGGAGTAGAGCCAGCAGTGCCGCAGACGCCGCTGTTGCAGGTAAGGTCGTCGGAGCAGTCGTCGTCGGAGCCGCAAGTAGCACCGGCGCAGTGGCCGGCCCAAGAGCAGGTTCCGCTGGGAGTGCTGCTCTGGGTGGGGGGAGGAGTGGTGCCGGTGCCGCCAGAGATGCCAGCCTTGATGGTCTTTTGATAGTTGCCGTTCTTGACGGCCAGCTGGGCCTCCCAAAGCATGATGCCGCCGATGTTGGGCAGGTTGAGAGCGGAGACGCCCTGGTAAGCAGAGAGGAGAGTGTTGGGGCCGACGTAACCCGCATCGCCGTCGGCAGCGCTGGCCAGAGCACCAATGAAGAGAGTGGCGTTGCCAATGCTCTTGCTCCAGTTCTTGACGGCGGCGTTGAAGCCAGACTGGGCAATGTTGCAGTTGCCGTTGTTGTAGAACTGAACCCAGATGTAGTCGGCCAGCTGGCAGACGTTGAGGGGCTCCGAGGCATCGGGGAAGGGGCACTGGGGAGCAGCAGTCAGGTAGTACTTCTTGCTGGTGTCCTTGGCGAAGTTGGACTTGAAGCGCTGGGCCATGGCAAGGTAGCCGGTGGGGTTGCCGGTCTCGTTGTCTATCACGGAAAATACAAGATTAGCAAACAGGCAACTCGCAGATGGAAACGCAAGACACAGAACGTGATTCTTTTACTCACCGAGATCAACACCGTCCAGCTTGACGCTGCCAAAGGGACGGAGCGTAGGGTTGGCGGTACCACCGAGGAACAGGTTCCAGACGGTATCGGCAAGCTGCTGGCCCTGGGCATCGCCAGTGAGGGTGACGGCAGAGAAGTCGACAGCACCACCCATGCTGAGGATGACCAGCTTGCCGGCGGCCTGGCAGGCCTGGATGGCGGGGATCAGAGAAGTGCCGTCCTGGAGGTTGGTGGCACCGGCGGAGCGCTGGGCGGAGGAGGGGCCGCCGAGGACGCTCAGGGAGAGCTCGGGGTAGCCACCGCCGGCGAAGAAGCGGCTGAGGAAGGCCAAGTTGACAATGTCGTACGAAGGGTCGGCGCAGACGTTGGCAAGAGTGGTGGTGCTATCTTCGGCACCCCAGTAGACGACGAGCTTGCCGCCAGCAGCGCGCTTCTCGACGGTGGCGGTGGGAGCGGCGTAAGCAGCAGTGGCCAAAAGGCCGGCAGCAGCCAGTGCTTTGCTGAAGAACATGGTTGAGAGAGTGGGAGAGAGAGTGTGTGTGTGGTATATACAATCAGAAGGACAAGATATGTACAAGAGACCGGTGGGAAGATTACCAGATCTTCACTGCTGCTGCTGCTGCTGCTTGTGATGAGTTATCCAGAGGGAAACTTGCTTCTTCAACAAACGGCCGGAGCTGCCATCTCTATTTATCCTTTCTCAACGTCCAACATGGCCAATATAATTCCCAGGGTCGTCCGTGAAGCCGCCATAGCTCGTGGTGAAACAGCTGACTCTGTAAGCTCGGCCGAAACAGCAGAGTCCCGATGTGGCAGTCAACAAGACTTGGCCTAGTCGACAATCCGGAAGGTGGCTCCAGGGCCCGGCTTTGTCAGAGCCGGCTTGGCCTCGTCCGGCAAGTTGGAGGAACCCCGGACGGCGTTAATTCAGGGCGAGCACTTGTTAGCGTACCGGCCTAGACGACACCATGCCAACCTGGGGCACAAGCGTTTATTAGATGGCGGATCCTTCCATCAGATATGATATCCAGTGGAAGAACAAGTTTCCCTCTGACAACGTTACATGATGAAGTCGTGAGGGCTTCATATGCGAGCATACGAGCCCTGATGCAGAAGCCGGCAAGGCCAGAGAGAAGCAGATGCCCAACTGGGACACGCCACAGCACCCGATGGAGGAAAGACGGCGGGGGTTCTCGCGATAACCTCAATTCCAGCGGCGCCTCGAACGCCCCAAACGTGCGAAACGACCGACCGAGGGTCCGCCGTATGGGGCTGGTGACGGAAAATACAGCACCGTCTCATCGCGGCGGCTCCCTCTTGTGGCGGAGACAGAGAGGGTTCCATTCCGTCTCTTCCAGCTGCAAGCTTAAACACCAGACGGTACCTGGCTGCCATGCCAGGGCAGCCTTACGGAGGGCAAACGGGAGTCGCCAGTACCTGAACCGTGTTAGTGAATGCAATGCCCTTCTTGTGAGACGCTTATCTGGCCTGGTAAGGCCCCCTCGGCAATGGCGCTGGTGGGCACGATCTCCAGATTTGGCAGGTCACTAAGAACAGCTCGAGATTGAAGCCCACGTTGGGGGTCGTCAGCACCGAAGTGCAGCCGGGTCTGAGTCTCGTCGTATTGCTGGTCTGGGCCGATTGATTCCAACTTTCCTAAAGAGTTTAAGAGTTTAAAATGCCCATGTGCCGCCGCGTGAATGTTCATGTAGAAGCTCGTTTTAGCCGCGTTACATCCGATCCGTGGATACTTACTATAGTAGGTATCATCATGGATACCACGGAAACGATTGCGTCGCATCGTGCCAAGGCCGGCCATTAGTGGGAATGGATTTTTCCGTCCTTGACAGATCAAGTGCTGGTTCGAGGTGAGATTAATCTGCACACATGTCGATGCTAGCCGTGGTGTTGAAACAGGAACACGCCAAACAAGGTTAGAGATTAAAGCGCATCGCAGCCAATGGAGAAAGTCACTTGGGCGATGCAGAAGTCTTGTGGAGGTCGCTAAATTAGGCCAGGGGATCGCAAGAGGAACCGTCCCGTGAATTGGTTTGAATGTCTGCTAGTAGTAGTATTATCCCATCGTGGGCCGTCATGCTCGAGAGAAATCCGCATTGACGCGGCATGATCCCAGTCCCCTTGTTCATCTTTCCTGCGGGCTCTGGAGCTGAGGCGCGCACCACCTTCTATATGCGGCGGGCCTGGCCTTGACGATGCTCTCAAGCCTTGTCTGAGGCGAGTCTGGATACGAGAAACGACTCGACGTCATCAAACTCCTCTATGCAGGCAGAATGCTGCATACCCCTGTGTGGTTGGTTTTACGTCAGCAAAAGAGCTCGTAAACGGCATGACATGATTTGAGATGACAACACCGTGTTTTATACTTGTACATGTGGTAGTAGTTGCAGACAAGGCAAGGTCAAAAGGCATGATGGGGTGATGCTCACTCATATGCCTTCAGCTTCACGTCAAACCCCAACTCCTGGAGCTTTTGCTGAGTGGCCAGCCCCCAATCATAAAGAACAAACGGGTCGGAATCTCCATGCCCCATGAAGACTGGAGTTTCCTTGTTCGGGTTTGCCTCTGGGATGAACTCCTTGAACTTGTGTTCGAGAAGCAGCCAGGCGGACAAGCAGGCAATGCCACCAAGCTTGAAGGGAGCCGTCAGGCCAGAGAAGACGCTCATGGCGCCGCCTTGGGAAAAGCCGCCAATCACGATGCTTTCGGACGAGATGCCGTCTGCAACCTCTTGCTGGATGAGGGAGTACAGATAGGCACGAGACTCGAGAACGCCGGCCTCGTCCTCATCGCGAGATTTGGCGTCCAGGGTTTTGCCGAACACGCGACCGAGAGATTTCTGTTGGACGAGCAGGAGTTAGACGGAATCGCAAAGAAATGCATGAGTGCACAGGGGAAACAAAGGCAAGGCAAGGAGGGAGAGTCATACGACGTCAAACCAAGCAGGCGATGGGTAGCCTTGATTCTATGTACGGCGCCCAGCACCAGCATCAGCATCAGCATCAGCCCGTAGTGATACTCGTATGTCGATCGATTCACCAACTAACCATTGTGATGGGCATGACGCGAGCGTTTGGCAGCACAAACTTGACATTGTCCAGCCGGTGCTTCCTCTGCCACATCTGCACGGCATCAGCCCAGCCGTTGCCGCTGTCGCCCAACCCGTGGATGAAGATGACGGTGGCCGTATGCCGGCCCAGGGCGGGAAACACCAGCGGAGCAGCCCGGCGCAGCGAGGCCATTGTGTCGTCGAGGATGTTGGTCGGCGTCTGTGTCTGTGTCTGTGTCTGTGTCTGTCTCTGTCTCTGTGTCTGTGTCTGTATATCCTGCGGCTCCGGCCTCGGCTTCAGCTCTGACACGCCCAAAGACGAAAAAGATTCCAGGCCCAGAAACGACGGTAAAAAGGCCAATGCAATCGCTACCAACGCTGCCAACGTGACGCCCGAAACGACGATGCGGCCGAGGCTGAATCTAAGCATTAAGCATTTGATGAGGTAAAATTAGCAGGACGGCGAGCGGCTTCGGCGGTGGAGAAGCAAGTCGTGGCCTCGATCCAGTCCTTGGCCGTTTTGGCGTGTCGGGTCCGAGGGCCGTGATTGGCCGCTGCAGTGGCAGGGAGCCCCCTGGACGATTAGTGGCCTGTCCGCTGTAAACCCCCTGTAATTGCCTGCCTACCTAACTAAAGCGGTAGGAAGAATTGAGCCTTGTAAGACGGATCGCAAGCGGATCAAATACCGGACGATGGAGGACAAAGAGAGAAGCAGTAGAAGAAGAAGGTGCATGTAGTCAGAAATTACAAATGGATGCTTAATATCGGCAGAGTAAAAATACGAGAATCTAGCATGCATTATGTGATGTGGCTAAACACAAGATATTCCATGTAGGGTAGGCAAAGACCTGATGACAAAAACACCAGAGGATGCATCTTGCGGTCCAAGATGTAGTCAGTCAGTATTAGTCGAGATCGCACAGATCTGCCAAGAAGCCAAGAAGCCAAGCATCAATCGATCAATCTAGATACCCGTCCAGCTAGAAGGTTAATGTAGCATCGCGTGAATAAGTGCACGTGGTTTATAATCACTTCTTCATTCCCATCTCAACTCATCCACGAATCCATCCATCAATCTTCTCCCCGCCGTCTGGTCTTATATCGACCACGTCCTAACCAAACAGACCCATGAGAGTCAGTACATGTATCCTATTCGGCCAAACGCACATCATCATGCTCAACTACATTCGCACTTAATCGTTGCTGACGAATCTCTTCAAGCGTCAGCTGTGTCTTCAACGGCCCATCTCGCCCCAACACTGGCTCCAACCCGATAATCGTCACCGGCTTACCCGAAACAACAGCGCCATATTGAATAGACCGAATCTCAAACTTGGTGCCCGGAGCAGCTGTACATTCCATCTTGGCCGGATCGTCAGATAGCGGCGTGACAAACGATACACTGTCCCACGACGAGGCTCCTGCCGGGGGGTTCAACACAAGCACGATCCCGTTGGAATAATGCATTGCCTCTTCCATGCTATCCGTAAAACTCCAGACCATCTTGGTCGTGATGATGTTCCCAGCAGCCATGTAACTGGCCAGGGCATCCGTCAGTGAATGCGTCAGCTCGACCCCAGCAGGACCCTCGTTAAGCGGACACTCTTCAAACTCGATGCCGAACCGCCCTGTGCCGAGTTGCTCCATGTCAACCTGTCCGCTAAACAGCCGTGGCCTCGAAGCGATCGACGTCCGGGGCATCGACTGCATAGCAGCAACCAGAAGGCGGTTTTCGATCTCGCTAAAGTCGTACACCTGATCGATGACATCTTCGAGCTGGGCAGTGAGGTTGTCAAACGAATGCGCGGGCTGCATCAAAAAGGCTCGCATGTAGTCTGCATTCTGGGGCGTGTATACGGAAAAGTTGCTCTGCCAAATGTTGATGGCAAGGCTCTCACGATCCAAAGGATGAGGAAGCGCTGCGACCCCGGAGTCGATGCCGGTGTACTGGAAGATTTTGAAGAGCACCATGCGCGCAAACGACGCCGTTGTCCAGTCGTAAAGAGTCGCGGCAAGCTCAAAGTAGTAGGGTGTAAAGGGAAAGTATTGTCTTCCTAAAGCCCTGATTTCTTGAATGGGTCTCGTTGGGCCATCCGTGATGTTCTGGTACGGTATGAATTTCTGCTCAATCATTTTACTGATGAAGGCTGCATCGTCGGCAGAGATCTCGGGCAGAGGCTTGAGGCGGCCTGACACTTGTTTCGAAATGCTATAACAGGCTACATGCGTAGTCAGGGTGAGCTCATGGACATGCTTTGGCTACCGGTATTGGAGAATGACTCTAACCTGTCATTATGGGCGGGGTGTTGACGATGCTCAGGTTGAAGTTGCCACCATCGTCAATTCGAAGAGACAGGCTCAGCGGGTATGGACTGTTTTGCAGCGACGGGCAAGCAAAGCGGCTGCTACATCTCTCGTGTCTCTTCAACCATAGAGTTGCTCCATTAGCATCTAGAACCATCGAGTCCAATGAGCGCATCTCGGTGACATCTAGGAACCCTTGTCCGTCGACAATGAGGCGAGACGATACGCCATGGCCGCCTCGCCGTGCCGCAATTGGATTTCCATCACTAAACCAAAGTCGCGATGCTGCCAATATCTGAACAAGATGCCACATGTCAAATGTCGCAAACAAAACTGTATACCACTTGTAGTTCCCTTCTGAGAGCTGAAAACTCCAGAGGCCCTCGACGGGACACTACGGTAGCACCTCCTTTTTTATACATCCTATGCATGCAGACCAAGAGCTCAAGATCCCATCTTTGCTTTCTTTTTCTTCTTTGCCCATGTGCCCATCATCTCTCCTCTGAGTTAGATGGTCTCAGTTGGCTACGCGCGGTATTGAACGAGCTGGCCATCGCGTGCATGCATGGATCTCTGCGAGACATTGGCTCCGTTCTGTCCACGATTGCAATTCGAACAACAGCCAAGATACGTGTAGTTGTAATAAGGGATCTCGGTTAGGTCAGATGAATTGCCATCTTAGTGTTCTGGTGCAAAACAGACCTGGCTGCAGCGCAATGAAGACGACAAGAAAGGCTCAGTACAGAATCAACATCATGGCCAGCGGATGAGCAACCTCAGCTGCTCACCGCCAAGAGCGTCTACCAGCACCACTTGCAGGGAAGAGTTAGGTCCCGGTGACCTACTCCATATAAGTGTTTTGCTTGGCGTTGTATCGGCCGCCTGTTGTCTCTGGATGGCTGAAGGATATCCACGGAACCGAGCCAAAACCCATGCAGCTAGTACTCGTAAACCTGGATAAAGCAGGGCGAAATCCAGACATTTGTCAGAATGCTGGGGAGATGGATATGCCACCCAGGTCTGATCCGAGATTAACGCGTCCTCTCCACGATCTCCACGACTAATCCGGACAGGGGTCATTTCAGCTTGCTGTGAGATCGTCAAGCGAGCATCAAAAACAGGCATGTGTTTATTTAGTAAGAATTGCAGGGGTGACAAGATGCCTGTAGACTTTCACCATGATCAGCCAAATGTGAGCATATTGTGTGATGCCGCTACCAAACTCTTGACCGACTACAGCCGGCTTGTTCACACTCGCGCGGGACGCGGGACGTAAAGCCGAGACATTTGGCTTTCTTTCAGCTCTTAGTCTTTTGTTGTTTTCGAGTTTCGCACATTATTGAATACATGCACATAGTGTTATGACTTATGGACGGTCATGACCTAAATGCTGCGCCAGCGCGTGAATCAGCAATGCTGCTCACTCAAGCTCAACATGATTTATTACAGGTACATAGGTAATGTCCATACTTTACGGAAGGTGACGCGCGTCTTGAAAGGTCGAGAAATAGCAGGCATGAATCGTCTGGAGGACGACTTCTGGCCTCCTCCTCTTCGCCTGACCAATCACTTATAGTCATTCGCATTCATTCTAGAGTTTACAAAGAGTAGCCAAAGTGTCTGAGGAGGAAAAGACTCTTAGAGGATACTATATTTCTTCTAGATGATTATATCATCTGATTAACCTGATGACTAAACCTTAAATCTGTGATAGATCATGAAACAGCCTAAATCTCCCACTTTTCTATCCATGATTGAGCCCGGATCGTCCCAGGATGCATCGGACCTAGGACTTGATGCCGAGCTTGCGCACAGGTCTTCATTAAAGTTAGGGCATCATTATCTCGACCTTGCCTTTTCCACGTGTGGGCTAGGTTGTACATGCTGGCCAGTGTATCTGGATGATCTGCGCCTAGCTTTATCTTGCGAGTTCTCATCACTTGCACGTGTAAATCCTCGGCCTCCTTCCATCGGCCCTGGTATATGTATGTTACTGCAAGGTTGTGCATGCTGGCCAGTGTATCTAGATCATCTGCGCCTAATAACTCTCTTCGTATCTCTATTGACTCTGTAATGAACACCTCTGCTTGACTCCATTTGCCCTCAATTTCGAAGTAAGCAGCAATACTATGGAGAAGATATGCCCTTGCTATGTTCTCATCTCGTGATTGCAACCCATTTAACTGTAACACAGCGTTTGCATGTGAGAGGTAGGCGGCGCATTTTGTTCGGGTCTCGTATTTGCCGAAGGGATACATTTTCGACACAGTCATCAGTGCTTCCGTGCCGAATCGATGAATCGTTCCCCGGCTCGTAAGCCACTTGCGCGTCACCAACTGTACAAGCCGATGCATATCGAAGTTGCCACTGTTCTCCGTCACGAAGGAGAAGGCCTTGAGGATACCCAGCGCTTCTGTAAGCTCTATTTCGCCTCGCGGGACCGCGCCCTTTGCTTGTTCGCCATAATGCGATAAAAACTCAGCCGGGATATCTTGTCGATCGAGCATACTCATAAAGGAGAGGAGCTCGCTGGCTAAGACGTGCTGCTGCTCGATCTGCTGGAATGAAAGCATCCATGTTTGTGCTACTGCCTGAGGAGCTTCTGTCTTTCGTCCGACCGTCTCGAATTCCCTGCTCAGCAGGTGCATGATGTCCATGTCGCTATTTCTTAGTAGTTGAAGGTATTTGTGCACTGTGATGCTAGTTTTTTGAATGAACGAAGCAGCCTGAGCCAAAGCTAAAGGCAAGTGTTCTAATTGAGAAGAGAGCGTTGACAATTCAGTAATGGTTGCGCTTGTGTCTTTGAGCTTCGCACGGAGGAGCTGTGCTGACTCCTCCTCATTCATTCGCAACACTTCTATCGGCTGCCGTCCTTTGGTCATCCTGACTCCCACCTGTTTGTTCCTTGTCGTGATGAGAATTGTACCGTGGGCACATTCAGGCAAGTATCGACCCAGATTCTTCTCATCTTCCACTTTGCTGGGGCTTGTAGCAGTGCCCGGAGGCTGGCCAAAGAAAAGCTGCATATCATCGGCGTTATCAATGATCATGAGCCACTCTCCGTGGTTCTCCTCTTCCAACCAGTTCTTCACTAATAGCAGCACGTCAACCTTTGATTCCGCGTAGCCAGGGATGCCGCACTCTTGTGCGATAGATCCGAACGCTTGGCGAAATCGGGCGGCACTGCTAGCATGGATCCAGAACACGGAAACTATAGGGTGTGTCTTTTGCAGCTGGAATGCATATTCCAATGCGATTTGCGTTTTACTATCCCGGGTTAGCATTGGCATACGATATAAACCAGAAAGGTTGACAACGTACCCTGCCTCCCCTAAGCCATATAGTGATGCTCTTGCTTGAGATGTACTGCCCGTCTGTTGTGTATGCCCCAGCTGGTCCTTTAGTGTTTTCAAGATTTCTGAGCGTCCTACAAAGTCTGAATTACTTGTATAGGGTATCAAATCTAGACTTGGGTTAGTAGGTATTCGTAGACATTACTGACGACGGAAAACCCTACACTTCACAGTCGAAGTCCGCAGGACTCGCGCTACAAGTTTGCATTAGCTAAAATCAAGCACAAGGGTGATTGAATAAAGACCGTCTTTGATTTATATAGAACCGGTGAGAAGCATTCAAGTTACTTACAAAAGCGAGCTTTCACCACGTTTGAAGCTTCCTGCTCAAACTGTTGAAGCTTATCCAGCGCACTGGTATATCCCGTATCATTTCTATTACCAAACTTGACCATCATTGAATGATCCGAGTCCAGGGGGATTTTATCCTCCATGAAGTCGGGGAGTTGAAGAAGGGCTGAGTCGTTGTCCACCTTGGTAATGAAGTCGCCGGTTCTTTCCCAGCGTTGGCTGTCGCTGTCCTATTACCAGTGTCAGCCATCTCCTCGGTACTATGGTAGCATTTTGTCTTACAAATTGAAGCTGCCTAGTCTGCCTTGTTTCGTAGAAGCTTACAATCTTTCGGTCCCGGACCAGATTCTTGAAATCGGTTAGCTGATTCTCTAGCAAGTCAGACTTGAGTCTGATCTGCTGAAGTAGCGAGCTCCGCGGGTGGTTATCTCGACCAGCTAGCATCTGTTCAATATCATCTACCACTAGCCCTTTATGCGGAATCCCAAAGAGAAGCATCCCGTATGTAGCCTTGTGGAGCGTTGCAATCGTTGGATGATCGTCTTCGTTCGTTTGGACCGCCTTTACAAGGCACTATACTGCAATTGAGCTTTTTACATGTGAGTTGCAACGGATAACCTACGTGTGCGAGTATGATACCGCCAAAGCTGTGTGCGATGAAGAAGAGCGGTCGCTGCCTTAGCTAGATCGGTGCATCTATTAGCCTCCGATTCGTGCTCTCATGACAGCATGCAGCTTACCTCCTCTGTGTTCCGGATTTTCTTGAGTGCCTCCATCAGCCCCCGGCTATAATCCATAATGGTGTCGACCCCACGGGCTGAGAGCTTCGAGTTGTAACCATAGGTCATTGTACGACAGTAGGGCAAGTCCTTGGACAGGAAATGGCGCAACCACATCCGTCCAAGGTTTCCCTTACCCCTCCAGGAGCCATATGCGTGTCCATCGAGGCCGGTGATGGCGATTATACTGCGACCCAGTGGATTAGCATCAAGGCTGCGCACAGGAACAACAAGAGCAGGTTGCACCATTAACGAAATGTTACATACTCTGCGGTAACTGCCTTGTCTTCTTTGGGGGCGTAGAGCTGTGTAAACCCAAAGAAGTGCTGGTCAAAATTTATATCCACATCACCCATCTCAACCTGCCAATCTTCCAGAGGGTTCGCGTCCAGCGCGGACAAGAAACCAGGAACTCTGCCGCCAAACTCTACCAACGCAACCGTCTCCTGCCCATTGTTGGAGCAAGACGGTACGATGCTTGCAATGACTTTCAGCTGCGACTGCTCTTCACCCTTTAATAGATTTTCGCGGATAAAATCCACCAACGCATCGCTCGTCTGTGAGGCTGGGAGACCAGTCACGCGAAAAACAAGGTTCTTTTGCCTAGTAACCACTCGAGAAGGGTTGTTTTGTAGTCGAGGGGTAGCAGTTGCAAGCGCTTGGGTGTTGGATGAATCCCGAATTGTATCGACAGCGTTCGGCGTTGCCACCTCCACGAGGGATGGATTTTGGCCCATCTTCTGGCGTTTTGCGGCTGGCATCATGTAGTATCTGAACTATGAACCTCTCGTAATCTTAATCGCGTTCACAGACTCGGCTATCAGCCATTGCGGCGCCTATGGCATGCCAAGCAGGTAGAGAATGAGATGAAAATTTAGGAGAAGACAAGGTATCAAGAGTACATATTGAAACTACAAGAAGCGGGGGAGATCAATAAGGCTCCAGGCTGCTTCGTAAGGCTGAAATGGATTGCAACCAATGATGGTTTAGAGAACCTAGTAAGGCCTTAGTACATAGATTAGCGATGGATGACAAAAGAGGCACAGGTTTGACTGATAGATCAGGAAAAGCTATAGAGCTGATGATCAGCTATACAAAACACCGCCAAAAGTCACAGGTTTTAAAAATTAATAATTAAATCTACAGAATATATATGCGCCTAACTGAAATTTAATTTTGAGAATAATTGATAACGGTTTTATTTTTAGTAGTATTTCCCTGCAATATTAAATATGATAGCAGCTGTTGTGAATTAAACCTACATACATAAGTACCTACCTATGATAGATTATCCCCTCCTAAACTTGGCTTTTTTTTATGTTTTTTTTTTTTTTCGTTCGTAGACATTTGACCCCCAACTGTAGAACGGCCCGATCCTAGCGCTCTTTTACCCGTTGAATCAATACGTATATTAGTATCAATGAGATGGCGGAAACCACCTCTAGTGCTTGACCCATATGTTCATTCTAGTGTCTCTTGATGTATGGATGCCTTTCATTCTGAGAAATATTCTGCAGTGGGATTACAGTCCAGCGAGCAGCACGACAGAAACAGTAATTTAGCCTTTGCATCTGCGTACAACTGCTGTAGTCTTTTCTTTATTGTGTTAAGAAGCATTATCTATAACGAGGACAGAGTTACGCTCTGTTTACTTGTCACAGTGGTGTACTCCGTAAAAGCTGCCGCGATAACTGCTGCCGCATTAGAGACCGAATCTGTGGGGATTGAAGTCATCCCAACCCGGCGTCGACGCGCTGTAAGGAATTGGCAACGTGAGCTTTCGTATGAGGCATCTTTTCCCAGTGTGTTATACCATGTCCTGGTGTGTAGTTGCAGTTGAGGAGGTAAATGTAGCTTGTGATGTAGAGTACTGCGGTGAAAATAGGAAGACTCTTAACCATCTCGTTAGTCGACAAGCCACTTTGAACCATGGCATCGATCTCATTCTATTGGGAGAGACTAAGTCGTCAGTTTCTCGCCATAGACAAGCCCCAGTTTAATTAATTGCTAATACTATCATGAACGTTGAATTGACTCACCGGCAAGCAACTCCGTGGATTCGCGGCTTCGTGGGCGCTGACGTGCACTTTTTCACGCTACGAGTCCCCATTGCGCGTAACAGACCGAACCAAGTATTTATTCCTTAACTATGCATCCTTAAAACATCACCACAACCTGCCTTTTCTTTTATAAACTCAATAAATCGAAATCCTCCTAGTATATAATCTTCTTAAAAAAACCAACATCGACATCATGGAACACATCACCATCATTCCATTCTCCCCCTCTCAACACACCCATCTACTCCCCGCCATCATCCAAATGCACATTGATTGCATCCAGTCCGACGGCGCTCTCCTACGCTTCCACCCGCCCTTTACTCCCGAAAAAGTCCAAAAGATGAAAACTTTCTGGAACGAACGCCTGTCTCAAATCCCTACCGGCCGTCGCATCACCCTGCTTGCTCTGGTATCATCAGACGGCAAGGACCAGGGCGATGTGGCCGGCATCATAGAGCTAGGCATGCCGGAAGCAGACACAGGTCCTTTCCGAGGCGACGTCGAGATGCTGATGGTGTCGCCAACCTATCGACGCAGAGGTATAGCTAATAAACTACTCAAAGAACTGGAAGAAATCGCAAGAGAAAAGAAGAGGACATTGCTAGTGAGTTGTCAAGGCGTGCATTTTTCGCAGTTGGGTGCTAACATGCACGCAGCAACTAGGCACAGACGTTGGCTCTACGGCGGAGAAATATGTATATCCTCGCTTGGGCTATGTTCTTGTATGAAATACTCTGCATTTTATTGATTTCTTGGTAGTGGCCGACTTACTTACTCGTGCGTTTTACAGATGGGAATAATCCCCAACTATGGCATCTCGCCTCGGGATGGCTCGCTGAAAGACGGTGCTTTCTTCTACAAACAGCTGGCGCCTATCTGCTAATTGAATTCTGTATGATTATGATTTCACATAGATTTGATGGTTATACTTTATATGGAATTAAATTTCAAGAGAGATCCCTTGCTAAAACCACATCAACTACACTTGTGAACAACATCACGCGCTTCTACGCCACTATCCCAGAGCGAACACACACCAAAGACAAAAAACTCTGCTCCGTCTTCTCCAATCCCATCCACCCTCTCAATTCCCCTTCCGGCTATATCGGCAATACGAGCACCCTCCTTTCCCACGCTTCAAGCAACCCCAAATCCTTCTGCTCTGCCACATTCAAGCTTCATTGGCTTCTTCGGCTCAAGGCGGCCTAATTCGTCTCCGAGGCCACTCCACTCGGCCGAGTGGGGTCACAATCCGGCCGAGACGGGCCAGCAGCAGAGATTGCCGGATTGCCTCGTGCCGACGTCCCTCCGGCTCCGATCGTGAGATGCCGGGAAGACTCCCGATGATGGTGAATGATAGGCTTTTGATTAGACGGCGGAGATACGAAGGATTTTCCGCCTTGTCAAAGGCAAATTCTTTGGAATATGGCGCCAGAATATGCGGTGATATCACGTACGAGTATATACCATGATGAAGGCAGGTCTGTTATATACGGATGTAAGTGGTATATATATCAGCCAGATCGCCAAGCAGTTTGTTTCTCACCATCACCATCATCACCATTCAATCTCAGCAATATTATAAGCAACATCATACCCCATCACCAACACACCACCTTCCTCTTAGCCTCCCCCTATAAACCAAAAATCCCAAAGCCATGGCCACTCCATCAACCGGCGTCGCCATCATCGGCGCAGGCCTCTCCGGCCTCGCCCTCGCCCTCGCCCTCCACCGCAAAAACATCCCCTGCATTCTCTACGAATCCCGCAAAGCCTCCCTCGACATCGGCGGCGCCATCATGCTCTCCCCCAACGCTCTCAAGATCCTCGACGCCCTAGGCGTCTACGCCAACATTGCCCCCCTCGGCTACCACTTTGAAGAGCTCTTCTTCCGCTCCGATGACGACAAGCCCGTCGACAACTTCGAGTTTGGCTCCCAGGCCAAGCACGCATACAAGGCCCTCCGCATCTACCGCTACGAGCTCATCAACGTCCTCGCCTCCATGGTCGGCGACGCCGGCATCCCCGTCCAGTACAACAAGAAGTTCTCCCACGTCACCTCCGAGTCTTCTTCCTCCGTGACCTGGGCCTTTGCCGACGGATCCTCCGCCACCGCAAAGCTGCTCGTCGGCGCCGACGGCATCCACTCTCGCGTCCGCAAGCACCTGTACCCAGACCTCGTCCCCAAGTTCACCAACATGATTGGCGTCACGGCCGCCGTGCCCCGTGCGCAGCTCCGGGCCGGACCCGACTACCCCCTGCCGGTGACCATCATGAGCCCCAAGCACGGCGCCTTTGTCATTGCCCCGCAGCGCGCCGACGGCTCCGAGGTCCTCATCGGGAAACAACGTCGTCTCCGGCAAGAGTACGACCGCGCCGGCTGGGACGAGCTGATGAGCAACAAGTCCTGGTGCGTCGATTTCCTGCGCGAGGGGAGCGCCGACTTCCCCCCCATTGTGGCCAATGCCGTGGCCGACATCCCGCTCAAGGGCATCAACCTGTGGCCATTCTACCTCGTCCCCAAACTGGACGCCTGGACCCAGGGCCGCGTCGTCATCCTCGGCGACGCAGCTCACGCAATCCCCCCCACCGCCGGCCAAGGCGTGAACCAGGCCTTTGAAGACGTCTACACCTTTGCCGGTGTCGTAGCCAGTGTACAGCACCAGAAACAGTCGCAAGATGACCCACAAGACGCCGTGCGCGTCGCCAAGGCGCTCAAGAACTGGCAGCTGGGACGGCAAGCTCGTGTAGACAGGGTGTTGGATCTGAACGACAAGCTGAACAAGAGACGATTGCCGGATGCAGTCAAGGCTGGCGATTTTGAGCCTTTTGACTTGGAATGGCTGTATGGCGTGGATTTCGAGCAATTGATTGCTGAGTGGGCTAATTGATGGACCCCGAAGCTGTTGTATCTATGAGGTAGTTGAAGTTGTTTCTTCTTTGTTTCCTTTAGTAGCGTCCGAATTGCAAGCGAGATCTGTCAGCGTTCTGGAGCCAGTGTTGTACGATGAACCCACGCATTTCGTGATAGACAGGCCATGACGATAATCAATCTCATAGCGACTGTGAATAAATAAGATTTGCACATTCCTAAATCAACCAGCACATGATCGCATCTAGGGAGACCATAATCAGTTCAGCCATGGGTGATCCCAACCCTGGAATGGCATCAATCAATCCCGGCGACCACTATGGTCATATCACAATCCTGTCTGGCACGACGCAACGATACGCACCTTGTGTCACTGTTGTAAGATCCTCGCATCACGTCGTCATTTGAAGCATTATCTTTCTACACGTTCCCGGAGCAGCAGGGTCACCGAGCGCCCAAGCCTCCCATTTTATAAACCCCATATTGAAAAAAAGAAATGACAAGAAAAGACAATCCACGCTTCTAGTATTAACTCTAGTCATCTACTCGACCAAATAGTTGTCTGCTGCGGACTTGACATCCTTTGAGAAAGTAACCTCCTCGTTCTCTTCAATCAGCGAAACAGAAGTGACCTAGGAGCAAATGTTAGCGACGACGACATCCACCGGGTTGCTCAAAACCAGCAGCAAACTTACATCAACGTCCACAAACGGTGTTGTCTTGTTGAAACGAACAGTCATGGGGAAGAAGTCGTTTTCATCATTAGATTCCGCCTCAAACTCAAACGATCCGCTGGAGTTCTCATCATCGACCGAGCCAATGTTCCACTCCAGCGTATCTCCCGATACCTCGTAAGAGGCGTCGAAGCTGGAGACAACAGGCTCGCTTCCTTGGTAAGGAATAATGACGCCGACATCTCGCAGGGCATCGCCGCCTGTCAGCTCATACTCGACCGTGATGTTGTACTTGTCGGAGTCCTTGTTAATCCAGACAGTGAAGGTAATAGGACAAGCACTCGAGTCGTCCGCCTTTGGCGAGGCTCTCCATCGTAGGAGTCCTACGCCTTGGTTGATTGGGAATCCTCGAGCCGCATTGCTCATTTGCAGAACCTTGGAGCTGTTGAAGAGGTTGCGGTCCACGTTGGGATGAGGGCGGAACTGGGCACCATGGGAAGGAACAGCGTGCAGGCCGAGCTTGATCTTTGTTAGGCTGGGGTCTGAAACTCGCAACGTCAAGTCTCCGTTGATTGAAATGGAGTTGACTGCGCCTTCTCTCGAGAGCTTGGCGCTTATCGTCTCGGCAATTGTGACATGAATGGCATCACGGTCCAGCGTAGTTGACACTCGCGATTCGGGCTCGGCGGCGGCGGCAGGCGTTGGCGTGATGAGAGGAGCGTCGTCGGCTCCAGCGCCAAGGTCTCCTCGGACCTTTTCGAAAATGTCGGTCGTCTTTGACTTCTTGCCCAGCTGCATTCCCTTTGCCTTGAGGGTAGATGGCCTAGCGAACTGATTAGCACCATGGAGAGCAGGCAACAGGGTTTAGCATGGCCCACTTGTTGAATGACTTGTTCTTCTCAGCTTCGTATGAGTCGTATGCGCTGGCAGCAGGCTGGGAGGGAGGGGTATAGGTAGGATAGACGGGCGTTCGCGGGGCGGCAGGGCGGCCACTTCTGGCGGACTCCTTGCGCTGCATTTCCAGCTGCTTCGCCTTGCGTTTCCGCTCCTCGGTAGCCTCGAGCTCCTTGTTCTGTATCGGTGTAAGCAATTCGGCTCGCCAGGGTGGCACAGCAATTGGGTCCATACCCGTGCAATGATTTCCTGGATGCGCTCCTCATGACTCTCCATTTCCAAAAAGGTCCTGATCTGGCTGATGGTCAGGTTCTCTCGGTAGCCAAGCGTGACGAGTTCGTCGAATGCGCTGAGGAGCTCGTAGGCATTCCGGACGATTTCCCTCTCGTCTAGCGTCTTGCAGGTGCTGGAGACGACCTGGGCGAAGAGGTGCAGCGAGTCGATGTCTTGCAGAATGTTGGACTGTCGGTTGGTGATGAGCACCATGTAGAGCTCGTCGAGAGGCTGGTAGACGAATCGAACATTGTCCTGCTCGACGATTGTGTGCTGGGTGCCGCTGTCTGCCAGCTTGGGGAACGACGCAAGGAGAGCCTCAATGCGGGATCTGGGCATCTCTCGAAACTGCCTCGAGAGGACAGCTTTCCCGCCGCGGGTGCAGATGGAGGCCGCGAGAACAACCTGGCCAGCGGTTAGTGGTCACGGACGTTAATATGATTCGCTTCTCGGGGCATGTTGGAGCTGTGCGCGCACCATGTTGGCAATGACGTGTCGTGCACTGAAAAGCAATCGGGAGATGCTTTGGTGGGATGTCCAGATGGGTTCAATTGAGCCACGTCTAACTCAGGAGCTGGAGTTTAGTCGCTAACTCAGTGACAAGGCTGTTACTGTACTGCTGTCTGCCAAAAGCGACGTCACGTGTTGCGCCTGTGGAGGGGCTTTGAAGGTCCAGGTATCGGGTACCTCAAGATGAATGAATGGCTGTTGATGTTGTGCCCGTATATCAACCGCGGTGAGCTCAGGAAATACTCGCCATTTACTCCACACGAGTTGAACCAAATATTTCATGGATAAAACTTTATATAATACATCTCTTTTGAGACAATCATCAAGCAATCAACGACTCACCATCTCCTTTGATGTGCTGTTTGCTTGCTTCATCAAGCGCCTCTCAAAGCACAGGCAACAGATGTATAGAGTACAAGCCACCACCAACTTACCCCTGTCTCCCATTCACTCAAGTTCCCAGTACCCCTCATTGCCACAGCGAATCCTGCAGACATCAGGTACCGGGCACTTAGCGAACCTCCATCTCCGCTATTCCTCTTTTAGTCAGCTCTCTCACGTGTTGAGCCAGCTTTCTCCAGAGATCCAGCAAAGCTGCCTTTGGAAACTTTGTTTGTCGCATTCATTAGCCTCAGCCGCAACTTCATCAGGCTGCACTCGATCTGCCAGCGTCAGCCTCGACTACGATTCCTTTGTCTTGAACATCCGCTTATACGACGCGTTTCTCGTGCGCCCGATCCTATCTCTTCATTTTATTTTCTCTTCTCTCGATATCAATGTGTCGCTCTCCTGTTGCCAGCCACCAACCTGAAGACACGATATCGTGAGTGGCGTAACAACTATTCATCTAGCTCTCGGCTCAACAAAGGATTGCCCTGATCATCTCCGACCTTGATCTCCAGAAAGCGCTTCTTCCGCATTGCTTAGTAGCTGAGGAAGCTCACGCCTACTTGCAAATCCATCTACCACCGAATTACAACCATCGCAGCGTTTGCAATACCGGTCCGAAATTCACACCCTTGCATTAACGATACAGCAATCCAACGTCAGGCCGTCACGCGCCATGGCTGAGATTGAGATGGATGTTGACTTGGCCCCGTCAAACTTGATTGACGAGCAGGCCGACGATGACCTCATCGACTACGACATCGATACGACCGAAGACCAGACTCACGACCCGTGGCCATCTCACCAGGATGGGCAAACCTCAAGTGCGCCAGAATATGTAGGTACCGAATCGAAAAATACCGAACTCGAACACGACGGAGAACGCTCGCAAGATACGGGAGCAGGCCGCCCTCACGACGATGCGGTGTACAACCATGATGACATTGCTGAAGAATCCCATCAGCCGGCAGAAGTAGTTGCCGAAATACAGGATGAAAACGTTCTTTTGGAGGCGGAACAATCCAAAGCTGTTGTCGTTGTTGAGTCCGAACACGTAGTAGATGAGATTGATTACGAGGATAACGATGAAACTGCGACAAAGGAGCCAATCCATCATCTAGACGAGGAAGAAAATCCTGTGCACGACAATATCACAGCGGAAGACGTCGCCGATGCCACTGTGGCAGAGCCCGCCGTACCTCAGCCACCAACAGAACCTGCTGACAATGCCGACGTGTCGGAGTCAGCGGCCAGAGATGACGAAGATGAGATAACGTGGGAGCACGAGGATGGTGAGCTAGAGGTTGCCAGCGGCGCTGCAGAGGCCATCGTTCCCGAGACAATCGTTCCACCCACAAATGAAGGCTCATACGAGCACGCCGAAACCCAGAATAGTGATTCACACGACCAGGCATACGAACAGCAAACCAATGCAACGGGCTCTGATGACGAGGAGACAATGGTGGATGGCCCGGGAGAACAAGATTCTGTGGAATATCAACAAGACGAATCACTGTCACAGCCTGAGGAGACAACCTCTGATGAGCACAGTTTCCCAGCCATCACTGTACAATACAAGGGCGACGAATTTCCATTCTTTTCACAAGATAAAGCGCAAGGTTTCTTTTCTGACGTATCCGTACTGGATCATTCGATGGAGTCGGTGCTTGCTGGCCTTCGAGCAGAGCTGGAGAATGAAATCGCTGCACAAGATGAACTTGTCTTCCAAGTCGACGAACTCGGGCTCGAATTTACAGAGGTACGTTTCCGCATATGGGCTCCTTTTCCAAGAAACTAAACTAACTACTCTGCAGGCCACAGAACAAAAGTCCCTCGCGGCCATCACACTACGACAGGTGCTGGAGGTGTTTGACTTGCTGGTGAAAAACCAAGATCCCGATAGTTCGCGAGTTCTGTACACGTACCTCTTCACAAGGTCGAACGCTAGCAAACGATTCGAGTTCCTGGCTGAAAGCGCGGCAGCTGGTAGGGGGCTCGATGAAGTGATTCATTTGTTTGAGTCTCCTTTCGGACATCATCATGCCGCCGCTGATGCCCATCACGGACATGAACATGATGATGATCATGATGAGGCCAGCGAAACCAATGATGCCACAGAAACTCACGAGAGTGTTGAGGACGATGATGAGAATGATGAGAATAATGCCGACGGCGGCAGTGAAGAATCTGAAGCGTCAGAAGAAGATGAGGAAGAGGAAGAGGAAGAGGAAGAAACCTCAGCCATGGAAGAACAGCCTGTCGACACTGCGGATCAGGACGAAGAGGAAGAAGAAGAAGAGGAAGAAGAGGAAGTAGAAGAGGAAGAAGAGGATGAGGATGAGGATGAAGACTTTATGAGAGAAACTGAAGACTTCATCGCAGACGTCGAGGAGATTGCGAACCAGGAGGGCGACTACAGCGATGGCGGGGATGAGGAGTATAAAGATGAACAGCTTCAGGCGGTGGTTGTAGAGCCGGCGAATCATTCCGACAATGCGCATGCAAATGCAGATGCAGAAAACGCACCAGACGCAACATACTCATACGGTAAGGCCACCAACATGAAGACGACGTTTGTTTCCTCGGTTGCTAACAAATCACGCCCAGATGATGAGGATGACGATGCCGACGCCAACCCATTCATTCATCTAGAACTCCAAGAGACCATGGTAACCGATGGGGCCGAGATTGAATACGAAGAAATCGTGCATGTGGAAGGGGGTGATGAAGCATCTCGCCAGATTCCCATGCACCCGATGGACGAATTTATGGACTCCAACGAGCCCGACACCGGCACGACCAACACATTGGCCGATAATGCCGAAGCCATCTCTACCCTACTGGACGTTGGCGCGGTGCAAGGACTGGACCAGGAGATTACCAACGAGGACCTCGCCTTTGATGATGAGCCGCCCGAGATCGATTGGAGAGATGGCCCAGACGCCGCCGATGATGCTAAGAACGACAACGACGTGCCTACACCCTCTGGCCTACCAAAACGGCGTCGAACCGAGGACGAGCAAGGCGCAGAAGACGAACAAGGTAAGCCCACTCGATACCCCTGATTCTGACAAGACGGGAGCTAATTGTTTTGTAGATGTCAAGCGTCACAAACCATGATTGATCACATTCCACCAAGACTAACGACGACGATGCAAAACTCCATTTCCCCCAACATATCATGTCACGCAGCCACACCTGGATAATACCCAAACGGGCGATATGGCCCATTTAATATAACGGAATACTAACCGCAGTCAACAGCGTGATCTCTAACGATATATATCCGATACTCATCTGCATGCTATCGGATAGACTGTCATACACTCCAACGCTGTTGGACGAAGGCGAATTCCAGGTAGGGATCCAGCGGGTTTACTAACAATCAAGACATTGCAACTATGTAGCTGCAGACGACTTTGCCTTTGGGTCGCTTAATGGCCAATTTATTTTCACCTCTTGGCTTTTTTCTTGCTTTCTTTTTTTCTTCTTTTTTTTTCGTTTTCGTTTTTCCTCACCTTTTTTTTTTAATCCCCAGTCTCTTCATTTTACAACCTGGAGTTGGGGGTTCTGATATCACATTCTCCAGATTCAGGAGCCAGACTAGTATTTGGCACGAGCCGCTGTGCTCAACTTGGATCGCCGGAAAAAAGGATAGATATTCTACGGGATGGCTCTTGAGATGTGACACTGGAAGAAAAGGTATGCCACGCGACGGCAACATGGCGTTTTTTGGACAAGCTGGCCCCAGCCCCGATGTTAAAGGTGAAGTATGTCTGCACATAGATTTCGCTAGCTCTACGGACAGAGGTCTGTTGCACATGTCTTCAATGCACGTATCGAATGAATCAAGGCTGGCTTTGAACTTTGAGTGACAGGTGAGATGTGACTTGTACAGATAGATGCTCTCGTGCCCGAGTCATGTTGTCATTTGATACTTGGGCGTTCTTTGGACACATGGAGGCTTTATCAGGTGTAATATCACGGCCAGCTTCCAACTCAGATCGGTCACGGGATTCCCGGACCAACAAATCCGACGTGGTGTAGTGGCTAGCATACCGCGCTTTCAAATTGAGAGTACCGCGGCGATCCGGGTTCGACTCCCGGCGCCGGAATTATTTTTTGGCGTCCTATTTTGCTTAGGCATCCCTTCTACGCTTCAAGTTGCCTTCGTACGGGCTCTCCTTTAGAGTCTCTACCAAACAACAGCATCATGACCCTTGCACAAGCATCGCGATAGAATCTCGGACAGCTAAAACCCCCGATCGCGACAAAGCCCCAATTTTGCTTTTTTCCCGTTGTGCCCAAGATCGGACGGAGCTTTCCTGGCGCCCGGCTTGACGTGTTTCTGCTTTGCTTTGGCTGGATGCTGCACCACATAAACTCGGGGAACAGGGAACCAGGGGGGGGGGCGTCAAGTTCAATGTTTGCGCGTCCCTCAGGTCCACTTATCCAGGGGCTTTGTGGATTTTGTTTCCTCTTGTTCTGCACAGTTTGACCGGGGGGGCCCTAAAGCTGAAGCAAAGCGCAGGTCGATCACTTTGTCGGCACTGTGCTGGGAAGAAGCAGAAAAGCTTGGAAGCGGGCTGGGCTGGGGGGTCCCACTGGGTAACTAACGATTCAGGGATGAGTAGTTATGAGGCATGAGGGAGGCAGCCGCTTTGGTGTGTGGAGAGGGAATCGGAAGAGAGAAAATAGTTGATTGACAGGCATGTTGTGATGAAGGGAAATGGGATATAAAGCTGGTGACGAGACCCCCCCCCGATGGCTCAGCTGGTCCGTCAATTTCGTTATCCTAGATGGAATTTCACATCACCAAGTGCGAGTGTCTTTCGTGGGAATGAACAGGTGATTTGATAACGTATGTAGATTTGTTGGGGGGGGAGAGAGGGATGCATTGAGGCGCAGCATGTTCGTGTCTAAGAAGTCGTGATGGAGTCGAATCACACGGCCGGGTGATGTGGGCGCGAAGCCAGCCAGCGCTAGTAATGCTACCCAGTACAGTACTGCGGAGTTTGAATAGACTGACTGCTAGGTGTGAAAAGATGAGAGGGCCGGCATGAGTATTTCGAGGGATTGCCGTCAGTTCCTTGCTCTGTGTTAGTTGATGACATGGTTCCATCTCCGGGGCTGATGCTACCCTGTGACGAGCCGGCCAATGACGTCTTGGGGAATCGAGCTTTGTATCTGCATGTACTAGTACTCGTAACTGCTCTTTGATGGCGCGTCCATCCCGGCAGAAATGCGTTTGATGGGATGGGACAGGAACTGCGCTGTTTACCGGTAAGTGCCTATTGGGTGTGGCTCCGCCCATTGGAATTTTTTCAGGTTTTGTTTTCGCGCCGCCTTTTTGTCTTGGGTTCTGGTTTATTAAATTTCCATAATATAATTAGGTCACAAGGCCTAAGGGTATAGTAGATACCTTATGGAAACTATAAAACACTATATATTAAATACCTTACAGTAGTTAGAGGATACCGATGGTGTGACAATTGTTTGCAGAGCTGTGCTGGCTTGCGGATTGCGCGGTGATAAGGATCAGATGGAAAGACTGCCGTATTGGGTAATCATGGGTTAAAGCGTGGGACGGATAGACATACTTATAAGCAGCCCAGATATCTTGGTTTATTTTGATATGCCCATGGTTCTGTAAAAGCCGTGGATCTAAAGGAGGGACTTTTGTCTGCGGTAAGGCTAATATAATGACCGTTATGAAACCATGATTGGTCTCTTATATATGCTATGCTGTCTCTGTTATGCGGCTTGCATAAATCCGTCTGTGGTGTGATGGGGAAGGTCTGGCCTTGACCTGGACGGTCGGTGCTATCTACAGAGGCTCGATACATCTAGTCAGTCCCTGAGTAGTTGGCGAAACTGACGCTACATCTACATTGGCAGAATGCGGTTTTATTATGTAGAGATTAAGTAGAAGCTGATAGCAGACAAGTAAAAGCCAGTCTCAGTCTCCCTTTGTTTTCGTGGGCGAGGTATTAGAGTTATTGCTTACGCTACTCCACTCGTTCCGGCTAGAATAACCGAATTTTGCACCACAAACATTATCCCCATGGTTAGTGGAGATACTTACTCTAACAACGACGTCTAACTCCGTGATGCAAAAGCGCCGATGAAGTTGGCAAGCTTCTCCGCACCCTCGAGAGAAATCGAGTTGTAATTGGATGCTCGGATACCTTTTAGCTCGCGATGACCCTTCAGTCCAGTCAGCCCTACAGTAGCAGCATCCTTTAAGAATGCTTCTTCGACAGCATCGCCACCCTTGATCCTAAAGCAGATGTTCATGCGTGATCGTACTGCTTCGTCGGGGATGATCTGGTAAATGGTAGGATAGGCCTCGAGGGCGCTATAGATGAGTTGAGCTTTCCTTTGGGATAGGATCTGCTGTCCTTGGACTTTGTCAGGATGTTGTAGTAATAGCTGCTTCAAAACCCGGCCGGCAATAAAGACACTATAGAAAAATTATTTAATTTATTTAAATTCTTAAGATGAGGTATTTTAGGAAGATATACTTACTCAAAAATACTCAATGTGTTATAAAGACTATTATTTTTAATAATAGTTTCGAATTCGAAGATACGGGGCGGGATTGGCAATCCGAGCTGTCTCATCAATGCTGCAGAAGGCTGTGGTAGGAGGTGTTTCTGGATGATAACGACAGTAATACCGGCTGATCCGAGGTTCTTCTGGGCACCGAAGAATATGGCTGAGAAATGAGATATCGGGATCTTCCTCGAAAGGATATTAGAGCTCATATCAGCGACAACAATTGGTCTGTCGGGCCCCGGCTCGAGACACTTGGGAAATCCAGGGAACTCGACGCCATGGACAGTCTCATTGTCGCAGTAATAAACCATGGCAGCATCGTGGGATAGATTCCAGGTATCTTCGTTCGGGATCGTTTCAAACTTGCCACTGTTTGCTTTACGGCTATCGGCCACGATGTTGACATGTTCCGAGCCAAAAAGCCGCTCGGCTTCGGCCGCTGCTTTCTGTGACCAGCCACCAGTAATGATATAGTCGATCTTGAGATTCTTTACGGCCGACTTGAGCTTTAGGACTGTGCTCTCGTCACTTTCCGAATCCTGCACCTCCTTGTATTTGCGGGTGACCCAGTTGCCAACAAAGTTGTATGCCATGGCAGAAAATTGTGCGGAACCTCCTCCTTGCATAAAACAGATTTCGTAATCGTCTGGAATGTCCAGGTACGAGGCCAGATCGGCCTTGGCCTCATTGATGATGGTAGTTGCAATCTCCGATCGATGCGAATGTTCGGCAACTATATGTAGAGAAACCAGAAGTCAGCATCAGTCATCGGAGACAGCCGTCAAAAGGTCACTTCAAGATCCGTGCTGGGGATAGTAGTAGAAGGAGGAGGACGGCCTCTAGGAGCTCCATACCTCCAAGGCCAGTCGCATTGTAATTGAGGAGCGCTGCGGCAGCTTCCTCAAGGACGGCAGTAGGTAGCAAAGCTGGACCTGCACCGAAACTGCCACAGTCACTAGTTAGCAATATCTCATTTAAGAATATTCAGGAGCTGTATTGGGGATATTGAGCCATGTACAAAAGACACTGCTGCTTTTACGACAGGCTAGAAAGGAAAATATCAACGAACTGTGAGAAGTTTCTTACTAGGTGATGTCTGATCTGGAGGGCATGGCGGCGATGTAATCGTGATTGCTCGGGTTTGTTAGGGCATGAGATATTTGACTGATAAACAGAATTGGTCGGGAATGTGACTTTGAAGCAAAATTCCCCCCTCCATGTGGGCCCCTCACTATAGATTAGATAAACGATGAGATAATGGAGCAGCAGAAGAGCCGCTCCGTGCACGCACAGACCTTGGGACATAGGTACTCGTGCGGCTTTCATAGGTAAGCAGCTGGGCAGGGATTTTACTCACTTTGCTCGATCCGTGCGGGACTTTAAATCGCAAACGGACTTTGAATCGCAAATTTCTTAGACACATAAAATGCACGAATACTACTATATATATAATGTCAACGCTAACCAACTAAATTTCCAGCTTTAACCATCAGATTTTTTGGCACGGGCCTCGTACACTTTTCACACAAGATATTAGTTCTATTTTTTGTGCGCCGGAATTTGCGATTCAAAGTCCGTTTGCGATTTAAAGTCCCACACGGATACGAGCGAAGCGAGTAAAAATCCATGTGAGTTGATTAGGTAAACCACACGAGTACATCGTACTTTGACGTCAACGCAATGCCGCGATGCTTCGTTAATACACCGGCCAGCCTAGCTACATGAGCAGCAGAGGCTTCCAAAAAATTTCATCGCTCTTGCTATTCTTAAAGAGTATTACTATTTAGGCTGTGTATTTTTGCTATTTGGGCTATAGTTTTACCTAACTAAGCCTAATTAAGCTAGAGTTAATTTAAGCTAGCCTAGCTTATTAAATTATAATATTAAATTATAGTAGTTAGGTTTTAATAAGGGTAGTAGAGACTATAGTTAAGGACCTCCTAACTAACTTAAAAAGGGGTATTAGATTTTTATAATATAATTAAGTTATAAAGCCTAAGGGTATAGTGATTACTTTATAAAAACTATAAAACGCTATATACTAAATACCTTATAGTAGTTAAAACCTTAAGTTCTTATATAACATTAATATAATATATATATTATATTATAATATAGTTCAGTTGGCATTAATAGTAACATGAATACATCAAGTGTACCTATGCTACACGAAATGTACGAGTACGGGTTGGTTTGTTTGCTTGTGCTTGATGCTTACTTGCATGTACCGCAAGTCAGTGAGTGAGCAACAGGCAAGGTAGAATATGCGGGTAATACCAGCTGAGCAGGAATATTACGTTAGCACTACATTCAACATGTTGACAGAACATTGAGACACTAGGGAAAACACGAGGATATCATGTTAACAAGATTACCGCCATTGACCATCATGACACGGGGAATATCAGTGTCGACGTCTCCAGCCTTGCCGAAATGAAGCGCTGATGCCCACGCCAGCGCGCATGAAACAAGCCAGACACGATCAATGGTATCAATCTTGTTTTAGGACGCTCCCCGATCCATCTGCTCTGGTGCTTTGCATGGGGCCCGGAACTGGGATTGTGACTGGGGGGGTTGTCCATCTCCTTGATTGCATGCAGTCCATGTGCCTTGGTAAATTGGCCGCTTTCGTTGTATACTGTACATAGTCGTCCACACGACGCCTCACCGATTATGAGGTACTGTCTACCACCACAATGCAAGGCAAGCAAGGGTTCACATGTTACTTTTAATAGGGCTCCATGGGTTGGGTGCTGTAAGAAATCAGTGCAGCCAGCTAAATGGCCCGCTAGCCCCCTCAGGTACCCGTTCTGGTCCCCTCCAGCTTTAGCGCTGTGCTGTGCTGTGCTGTGCTGTGCTGTACTGTGCTGTACTGTGCCGTGCTCCAGCTCCAGCTCCAGCTCCAGGGCCTTGCGCCTCTGTCGTGGCCCGCTGAGACCGATGCCCGCGCCCTGTACACGCACTGCCAGAAGCCGCTGGTGAGACGCGCAACTTGCACGACTTCAATGAACTGACAGTGCTAGGTTCGCCTCTCTTCCCCCCCCAAAGCGCCACCCAGCCCAGCACAGTCCAAATTGATCCAATCCAGTCCATCCATTCGATCAAGCCACCACCGAATACATCCGCAATCGTTCCTTTTTTATTTTTTTTTTATTTTTTTTTATTTTTTCCCTTTTCCATCTTCTCTCCTTCACTGTGCAAATCCCCTTCTTCGCCAGGCCTCTCTTCCTCTTCCTCTTCCTCTTCCTCCCTCTCCTTTCTTTAACCCACGGCTCGGCGTTGCGTCTGTGCTGCGTTTGCATCTTTGACTTTTTTTCTTTGCGTCGTAACGAATTGGACGGACGAGCAACAGCATCTGGTGTGACTTTGAACGGGCCACGGCACGACTCCTAGCACTGGACCTTTTGTCGCCTCTCCCTTTCTCTCCCTTGCGAAAAAAAAAGAAACGAAAAAAAAAAACATTCACGACGATCCAAAACGACGACAGGAGCCTCGCTCTCTCTCTTTTCTCTTTTCATGGGCCTGATCTGATCTGATCCGATCTGACGACGCTTCTCTTTACTCTTGCGCTCAGCATTTTCGACCTTTCGGCTCCCCCGCCTTCGAGTCGCCGCGAATCCCCAATTTGCAGCGTCTTCTTTTTCGTTTCTTCGTTTCCTTCGGCACCACGCATTCGCTACGATCCCGCCCTTGCGCACGCACGCTCATTTTGTCCCGTTCGCGACTCTTCCCTTTTCCAGGGAGCGCTGAGCAAGACTCGATCGACACAAGACGCTGCCTTTGACTCTGCCTCTGTCGCCGTTTTGCGCGCGCCAGAAACCACTCGCTCAGCATGATTGAAGACAAGTGCGTCTGCATCCAGGAGAGGCCTCTCTTTTTTTTTTGGACCAGCAGAACGTCGTCCCGCTGACTTTTTTTGCCCTTGCTCTAGATATGTCGGCCTGGCGTTGGCCATGTCATCAGCCCTGGCCATTGGTATGTCCAGCCCCTTGTGACTCCTTCTCCTTCGCGGCGTCTTCATGCTGACTCTTGCGGCTCTTCAGGCACCAGTTTCGTCATTACCAAAAAGGTCAGATCCCGTCTGCGGCGCCCATGGCGGTTCTCGGCGGCGTGCGATGCTCGGCCGGCCCAACCGAAGACTGGAACCTGCTCTGCTGACGCCTTGCACAGGGATTATTACAAGCCGAAGAACGACACGGATTCGAAGGCGACGGATTTGTATATCTGAGAAGCCCCTTGTGGTGGGCGGGCATTGCAACCCGTGAGCATTCGACACCCATCCCCGGCCCTGTTCGCGCACGCGTGTTAACCTCTCCCCCCTCTCTCTCTAGTTGGCATCGGAGAAATCTGCAACTTTGCCGCCTACGCATTCGCCCCGGCCATCCTCGTCACGCCTCTCGGCGCTCTCAGCGTCCTGATCGGCGCCGTCTTGGGTTCATACTTTTTGGATGAAGAGCTCGGCACGCTGGGCAAGCTGGGCAGTGCCATTTGCCTCATCGGCGCCGTCGTCATTGTTCTGCACGCGCCCCCGGACGAGGACATCCAGACGATCGATCAGATTCTGCACTATGCCATCCAGCCAGGTACGGACGACAACGGTTCCCTCTTGCTGTTGCTCTCGTCCTTTTTGCATTTTGAGCTCCCGCATGTTGTTATCCAGAAAACTAATGGCGACCAGGCTTCCTCTTGTACGCCTTTGCCGTCGTGGCCTTTGCAGTCTTTATGATTTACCGAATCGCACCCGTCTACGGCAAACGCAACGCCCTCATCTACCTTTCCATTTGCTCCACCGTCGGCTCCATCTCCGTCATGTCCGTCAAGGCCTTTGGAATCGCTCTCAAGCTGACCTTTGCCGGCCACAACCAATTCACCCACCCTTCGACCTACGTCTTCATGATCCTCACGGCAGTCTGCATTCTGACCCAGATGAACTATTTCAACAAGGCATTGGCATCATTCCCGACCAACATGTGAGTTTTAGAGCTTGGTGGACACCAGCCTCGTCTGAATTTCTCTCTTTTGCGAATCGCCAATACTGATTGAGAATTTCCCAGTGTGAACCCGCTCTACTACGTCACGTTCACGACCGCGACTCTCTGCGCTTCCTTCATCCTCTTCAGCGGCTTCAACACCACCGACCCCGTCAACACGCTCTCGTTGCTCTGCGGCTTCCTCGTCACCTTTACCGGCGTGTACCTGTTGAATCTTTCTCGGGGAGACCCTCACGGCCAGAGGCTGGTTGCGTCACGCGGGGACTTTGACGCTGCCGGAACAGATATGATCTCTGGCTTCCAAACTCGCCGCAGCATGCAGTCCCGAAGGAGCGAAAACACCTCGAGGCACAGTCTCAGCAGCTTTCACGGAGACAGGCAGGGCCTGATCCGGGCCTACGACGAGGAAGAGGCTGCGGGTTTCGGCCTCACCGACCTCGCCGATAGCGATGACGAGGGCCGTCGCCCCAACGGCGCAAACGGCTCCAATGGCTCGGCCAACGGCTCGGCGAATGGCAAGAAGCAGTATACCAGCAACGACATTGAGCTCGAGTCCCGAAAGCACACCGAGAGGTAGTGGGAAAACTTGCTCGACCAGTTTTCTTTTCCTTCTTTTTACAATCATCGACTTACATGAGAGAGGTCAACGTATGAAAACCATTGCCATACATCTCTTGTGAGATAAAACCAAAACAGTCGGCCGGAGTGGTCAACCAAATCTGTATATTTGCCATGCAATGCCATTTCTGAAGAAAAATGGGGAGAGGAGCTATAATTTCCCATAGCGCAAGGGAGGAGGGATGTTGTCAGCCGCGTATGCAGGTCTCAGCTACTGCAAGCCGCTATCGGACGTCCGACAGAAAGAGATGGAGAAGTTTCTAGGCCCAGGTGGCCTTTGGGGGGGTCTTGTTTCTCAAAGATCTTCGCTCCTCTTATCTCTTCTTCGCTTCTTTTTATCCCCCTATCTTGTCCTCCTGGGCTGTCCCAAGTTTCCTGTCATCGTTTACACAATGGGAGCAAAAGTTCGCCGCTGGCTGCGGCCTCTTAACATGAAAGGAGGCGGGGTTCCGGAATCTACTTGTCTTTTTTTTTTAAAAAAACCATCTTGCTTTTCTTTTCCTTTTTTTTCCTTTTCCTTGGTGGGGGAGAGGCGTTTAAACGTGTGTGTACGTGTCTTCTGTGGGATAACTTGCTTCTTATTTTTACGGTAAACATGACTGAATCGGAAAGGAAACTGGATTTGAAAGCATGCCTCCTGTTTTGTACGATATATATAATCTTTTTTTCTCTCTTGGGTTGGTTTTGCATTTTTGGTGGCAAAGGTAGAAAGAAAGAGAGAAGAGAAGAGAAAGAAGAATCAAGAAATGGGCTCTTTGGAAATGAAAAGGAGAAGAGTGAGGAGGGAAGCGAGTGTTGTTGTTTTTCTTTTTGTGTTGACACGATGTGTTATATATACCACAGGCTGCTTTTTATGGCCTATAACAACGAACGGCCAATTTTCCTTTCATCATTCTCATATCCTCCTTTTTCTTACCTCGTTTGAATGTAAATTTAGTATACTTACCTTGTATTACGCTTTGTCTGGCTTACAGCTGGATATTATTCATGAATATATATTTGCCATACCATGCACATGCAGCACGGCACTCTTACGGGCAATGAATAGGGGTGGTTATTTGGCCATGAAGTGTTTTTTTATATCTCAAGATTCTTTCAAGACGAAAACCTTTTTTTTCCATGCCCTTGGCAGATGCAAATGATCAATTGACGCCTTTAAGTTTGACCGCCATCCCTTTGCCCTGTGGCTTGATATATCATCCTCTCGTCTCCCCCCCCGCAAACCACAAAACCTTTGTTTGTTCCTTTGCTAACACACACACACACAAAGACCCTTTTGCCTTTACCATTCCTCTTCCTCTTTGGAGCCATCCTACTGCTCCTCAGCGGCGGGCTGGGCCTCCTCAACAGCACCCTCCTGCTCGGCGACTCGCACGTCCTGGCTACCCTGGGCGGCCTGGGCGGCCTTGGCGCCGTAGTCCTGGCTGACGGGCTGGAGAACAGCCTGCTCCTCCTTGGGCTCGATGATGGTGACGGCGTCGGGGAGAGACTTTTGGGGGCCGGCCTTGCCCTCGGGGTCGGAGCCGCGCATGATCTTGACCTTGATGCCCAGGACGCCCTGGCGCAGCAGCACGTGGCGGGTGGCGCTGTCGATGAAGTCCTTTGCGGGCTGGCCAGAGTGGATCATGAAGCCGTCGGTGAACTTCATGGACTTGGCACGGGCGGCGCGGAGCTTGCCGGAGACGACGACCTCACAGCCCTTGGCGCCGGACTCCATGATGAAGCGCAGGACGCCATAGCAGGCGCGGCGAACGGCCAGGCCGTTGAGCAGCTTGTAGCGCAGGGACTCGCACTGGGCGACGGCGGAGAGGCCGCGGTTCTGGACCTTGGCGGCGTACAGGGAGACGGAGTTCTCGGGGAACTTGAAGCGCTTCTGGATCAGGGACGTGAGCTCGCGGATGCGGCGGCCCTGCTCGCCGAGGACCTCCTGCGTGTGCGTGGCGCGGACGATGATGTCGGTGACGGTCGGGGTGACGCGGACCTCGACGCCCGAGTAGCCCTCCTCGGCGAGCTCGCGCTGGAAGAACTCGTTGAGCTCGGCGTAGAAGACACCGTCGGCGACGAACTTTCTCCGCTTGGAGCTGGAGAGGAAATGTTAGCGGATGTGGTCTTGCGTATATGCAAACGATAGGAGTAGCAGCAAGGGCTTGTGATGCTTGGTGGGTGGTGGTGGTGGTGACAATCCCTCCCAGTATCATCGTGATAACTCTTTGGCCGTTCGTCGATGTTTGTTGATGCCCTCAATGGAGCAATGCCATTGTCTCTTTTCCTTTCCCTTCTCTTGTTCCATATTCTTCTCCATCTCTTCAATCATTCTCCGACGATGCCATCACCACCAAACCACCAAGAAAATCAAAAACGCCATATGCTCGCATGTGCATATCGATATAAAGAAACAAAGCAACGACACGGAGGGGGAAAAGGCAAAACTCCGCACTCACATCTGAGCACCAGGGTGGGACATTTTGGCTGGATAGGGATTCAAAGTCTTTGTGTGTTGTGACTTGAAACTGGTGGTATTGTCTGGCCGTGCAAGGAACAAAGTTCGCGATCTCTTTGGGGAGGGTTTTTGGCGGGCTTGCGGGCGAGAAGAGGAGCTTCCCTTCACACACACTGGCAAAAAATTCGCTGGGCTTTGGAGCGCCGCAAGTTGCAATTTTCGCCTGTTTTTTTGTGTGGGTTGAGCCCTAAACCGGGACGAAAGTGGGTGCCTTTTGGGGAGCCGAGAGAAAAAAGTGAGGTACGTATCTGAGGCCGCTAATCTGGCATGTACCTTGTACAAGTGCCTCTACCTTAGCTCCCAACCGGAGAATCAGTTTTGGCGAACTGCCGGCTCCCGCCACTTGCTCACGGCCTAACGTCACTGTGGTTGTTCAGATCTCACAGTAATAAGAGCTGATAAAAGAACAAAAAGCGAAGCAATGGTGGCATCTGCTAGAAAGATGCAGTGAAAAAAGTAGGGCATGTCAGAATAAGCAGCAATATTAGCAAGCACTACCTGAAAAGCCAGTGACAGCAGCAGGTATACATGAAGAACCAGATGCATGCATGTCCATGTAAGTGCCACTCACATCGTTCGTCATGAAGCAAAGGAGAGCAAAGCGCAACACAACCTCACCAGAGATGAGCAAGAGAAGTCCATCTCGTTTCAAATCACCGCAACTCCCATAGTTCTCATTTCAAACCACGCTATAAACATTCCCGAGGCGCATCGCCTAGTCACTGAAACTCCCTTCTACAATCTAATCTGACATTGCTGTTTTACACGCCGCCAATCATTGCTTTTCACCCCTTTATAGTGACGCAGCCATATTCACAACACCCCAATTGCTCAACCAAGAGTCAAATAATCAAGCTGCTGATGCAGTCGTGCTATCCAGGGAGCCGCTTGTTGGATTAAAAGCCTGTCACCCCCATATCATACAACCCGCTGGTACTTTTGGCTAGCCAAATCATACGCCCCGTCCTTGCCACAACTCGTCTTCTATCGGCTCTTCTATATGACATTGTTTCTTTTGGTAGCCAAAGTCTGGCCTTGGCAAGAGGAGGGGTTTAGAAGACAACAGAAAAGAGGGGAAACATCATGATTATCATATCTATCGTTTGGGTTCATTGTAGCCACATCAATCTCACCCTACACGGTCATCTTGAATGCCATCATTCACAGCCTTCCAAAAAGGGAGATGCCACGCGTCTTGCATCCGATGGTTGGTTTACATTCCAAAGCCGACTCGGATGACGACTCGGATACGGGATCAACGTTAATCATCGTCATCTCCGAAATAGTACGCGGTCGGGCGTGGCGGCGGGTGTTTTGCGTCTCCGTGATCAAATAAGGCGCCGGGCCTTGGTCTGGAAACATGACCTCCTATGTCATCTCTCGCATCTCTTGATCGCGAGAAATGGGCGGCGTCGGGCCCTGCGCAACGGGCTCGGCAGCAGGCTCGGCGGGGCGGCCAAAGTTGGACAGGACGGCCTTGCTTATGTTCAGCCCGGCGATGCCATCGCGTAGGGCGGCGAACGCGCTCACCCCGTCCGCGGACACGCTGTGCTGCAGAGCGGCCTGTCTGTCCTCGGGCGTCAGGATGGTGTGTGCAGTCTCCACCGCCGTGAGGGCTGACTGGCTTGTGGAGAGGCTGGGTGGCCTTGGGCTCGGGGCCGACGATTCCGGGGCCTCTTCGACGCGAGCAACGCTGGGGTAGTTGAGGCTGGAGACGGCGGCCTGCCTGTCGCTTTCCGCAATGGCGGCGGCGTTGAGGGCGCCGTTCATTTCGTCCTCGGTCCTGCCAAACAGCTGATGCCACCATCGAACTTCTTCAAGACGCGGCAGAATGATGCGCTCTTTCCCCTTGATGTGGTCATCAATCGTTGGGTCGTAGTCCGGGTTGGTGAATTCGGCTCTCCGGCAGAGGAAGTAGTCCCACACGGAAGACGTCTTTTCCGCCACGCCGGCATCTTTCCTCTGCTTCTCCGAGTTGTACAAGAACGTTCCGTACTGACACGAGTACGAGTGGTATAGCAGGCGCCGGAGGAAGCGTTCGTTGAACTCGAAGCGGGTCTTGTTCTGCCGCAGCAGCTGGTACATGCAGTCGAGGAACTGGTGGAAAACTGGGCTAATCATCTTAGGAGAGGTGGCTTCCTCATCCACCACTTGACCGCTGGCACCCTCACCCAAAGTGGCCAGATCGGCGGGATCTTCTTTGTTCGAGGTAAAGAATCGTTTGGCGCCACTGATGACGTTTTGGAAGGCGTCAGTCCGGCCGTCGTTCTCTCCGGGTTGGACCTTGAGACCGGCGAATGCGTCCTTCTGAATGGTAAACCAATCCTCCGAATTGAGATGGCCGGAGCGTAACCTAAACATGTAGCCAAAGGACAGCCAATCCTTCTCTACGAGGACGATGAAGCCGTCAATGGTGCGATAATAGGGGTCCAGCATGATTTGGGACAAGGCACTCAGTTGGCTGGTACGATCCCAGCCGTCTGAGCAGTGGATCAGGACGTGCGAGTGTCTGATGCCAACCTGGCGAGCAATGAGGGCTGACCCGTCGAGGATGTCGTGAATGTGTCTCAGCCAGTTGCTCTGGTGTAGAAGCTCGCGGTTGGGAGGCAGAGGGGACAGGTCGGCATCTTTTAGCGCCTCCACCACCTTGAGCAAAGAACTGCGCATGATGTGAATGTTGTCAATGTTGAGGAATATCTTTTGTGCGAATTTGTACTTGTCCATGGGTTCCGAGCCCATCCCCTGTACCTGATTCATTATGGCGTTGATTGTGGGACGGGCGTCAACAATCAGATTGTTCTGCTGAGCGCCATAGATGAGCCGCTTGCCAGTCTTGTCGTCGTAGAGGGCGGCAGATCTAGAGATGAGCTCATCCTCGTATCGCTCGGTTTCCGTCAGCTGCGTCTCTAGCATGACGCTGCTGGTGGACACCTCTGCCTGGCTGGACATTGGCGACGAGTCCTCGGAACCCCCGTTGCCTACCGAGGCTGAGAAGGAGGCAGCGACAAGCTTCTCGTCTTGAACGTTGGTCCTCCTGGTAATGCCCGCCAGCGGCTGAGAGCTTCTTGTAATGGTACAGTTATTAACGGGGTGGATGTATGAGAGGGCGGGTATCCGGTTCCTCGAGCGAAACTCCTTTGCGTACTTGAGGACATTATCGGAAATCTTGGAGGGCACGACGAGGACGGCCGGGTAGGTATCGCAAAAGCTATAGTCTTGGTTGATGTTGGTGATCCTCCAGCCTTTGTCGGGCAGCTTTTCGCTGATGCCCTGCCGGCGAAACTCTGCCCTGGGGTCATAGAGATTCCAGCCGTTGACCTCCTTCTCCATCTTGGACGGCTTGTGGCTAAAGGCAAAGAGGTTGTGTACGGTGCCAAGCTTGCAAGTCCGGCACTTGATGTGGTCATAGGCTTCTCTCGCAACCTCGGTGGAGGTGAAGTTGAAGGCGATAAAGGTAAAGTCTCGGCATTGGATGCGTATCGACGGGGCCTGGCGGGAGGACGGAGGGGTCGGGCGGAAGGTGCAGTGGGAGAGCATGGGATACGTGATCCATCGTTCGCGCTTCTTTGGCGGAGGAGCCGGCTCTTGGCCCTGGTGTTCTGGCGGCGGCTGTTCGATGGTCGCGCTGAAGACCATGTGGAAGTCGGTCAGCGTCAGCGTGCCCGTGGCCGTCTGGCCGCCGTTGATGCCCTGGACGCGCTCGATGATCTGCAGAGAGAGCCTCATGGTCAGGAAACTTGGGAGACTTGAGACTTGAAGCTTGTCATCTGCTTTGAAGGGAACAGAACTTGGCATGACAGCCTCGGGACTGTGAAGAGTGAGGGGTGAAGATAGTACCGACCTTTTTGGCCTCCATGATGGGCGCAGGGCACAGGCACAGCGGCTGTGATGTGAGGAGAGAGGGCGTCGTCAGAGCTCCAAAAGCGGCATCACATGGAGAGGTTGAGTTCGAGTCGAGTCGAGTCTCAGCAGGGCCAGCGCTGGCGGGGCACCTGCTCGGGGGTGGGGTTACCTGGAAGTTATGCTGAGAGCCCCCCCAAAAAGACGTCAGGCGCAGTGGCCATAGCACCTTAAATACCGGGTACATGTAACATTTTGTAGAAGCCCGTGCGTTTTGGGGTATCCGCCGAGCGATGCTTTGTCTTGGTACTTTACCTGGTTGCCTGGGATGCTTTGTCTACCTGGAGATGCTTTGTCCTAGTACATCTCCATAGATACCTGATTTATCCAGAGACAGTCGATCTACCTGGAGACATTTGATCTAATGACGCTCCATGTACTTACAGAGAGAGTTTGCTCTTGATAAGAGTTCATCCACTTACAAAAAAGTATAGAGGCCCACAAGCAAGATACATCCATGGATCTTTCAACAACAAGGTAGCCCCGAATATTGAGAGAGACTTGATAGAGCTGGAGGACCTTATTATCTGTCCATTCTACCCCTATAGGTACATAATATTCACTGGTTTTGCACAATTACACGTCGATTATTGCATTTTGCAAGTCATATATATCCAAGGTGACTGTAGAAAGAATCCTGCAGCGACAATCGAAGCGAAATAACAACCTGACAGTGACTAGGTACCTACCCTACAAAAAGATCTACGAGTATAAAAGGTACCTGTAATTATTCGCCTTGAACTTTCTTCCAAATTCTCTTTGTCCTCCACAACGTCATCGCTGGAATGCTGCCTGACAGTTATCCCCTTTATCTACAGTCTATTACCCTACACCTTTGTGAGATGGCCCTTGACTTATACGTTGCACAACAGCTTATTTGAACAAAGACACCGGCAATCCGTTTTTGGAAAAGATTTCTACTGCTTTTTAACCACCAGATCTACTGTATTTCTCTTTTTTCAAAATTTCTTTGTCTCTTTAGCCGATAACCTCCAATGCCTGTACGCTCATGAGGTCTGTGGCTTTAGTGAAGCATGCAGATTATAGGAACACTTCTAGGTTAATCTCCAAAGTACTGACGGGGAATCTATAAGGGGGAGAAGGAAGAGATGATAATTAGCGTCTTGGACTGTATTCATTCGTCGAGATAGTCAAGCGAAGAATATGGACAAAACATACCTTAGATCAAACTTTTCTAGCACAGTGGGATGCAGAACGCCAAACTCGCCGATGCGCTGCTCCTTGCCGCCCAGTCTGAGATAGACGGCGGCGGCGTGGCCGTGGAAAAAGGTGTCCTCGTTGAGCTCCTCGATCCAGTAGCCATCGGGCTTGACAGAGGCGCCGCCGTCGGTGCCGGCAACAAAGTTGGTGCGCAGCATGAGCATGAGACGATCCAGCAGGCCGTGCACGACTTCGAAACCACTCGACTTGCCACACCAGGCGGCGGCAAAGTGGCGCTCGTTGCGAGCTCTGCGCTCCGACTGCTCGTCCTTGAAGACGACGTCGGCCGCCTCAAAGATCTTGATGGGCAAGCTGTGGCTCTTGTTCTCGCGGATCGTCTTGATCAGGCCGGGCAGCAGGGAAGTCCGCACGACCTGGTACTCCAGCGTCTTGGGGTTGGCGAGCTTGACGACCGTCTTGCCGTCATCCTTGCGGTTGAGCCAGCCAAAGTTCTCGTCGTAGCTGCACAGCGTCAGGGGCATGACCTCGCTCCAGCCGGCCATGGCGGCCTCGATGCGCACAATGTCGCTCAGCTTGTTGATGGGCAGAGGGGCCGCCACGGTGGCGCTGTTGTTGGGAGAGCTGCGAGGAAGCCTGTTGAAGCCGTAGCAGACGGCCACGTCCTCCATGATGTCGGCCTGGTGCAGGACATCGGCGCGGGTGGGGGGGATGGCCACCTCCAGCAGGTTGGGGTCCTTGTCTGACGGGCGGGCGACGTAGGCCATCTTGGCGAGGAGCTTGCAGAGGCTCTCGCGGGACTCGCTGAGGCCGGTGCAGCTGTTGAGGTAGTCGACCTCGGCGTGCGTGACGCGGGGGCGGAGATGGGGGGTGACGCGGGTCTGGTTGTTGTGGTCCGAGACGATCTTGACGGGCTCAACGGTGAAGGGCTCGGCGCAGTACTCGGAGAACATGGTCGCCATCATGTCGGTGACAATGTCCAGCTTGGTGATGTCGGTGGCAGTGATCTCGATGAAGACGTTGGTGGTGTTGAGGGTGATCTTGGAGTGGTCGCCGTTGATGATGGGGGGCAGCGAGCAGATGACTCGGTTGGAGTCGAGAATCAGGGGGTATACGGGGGCATCGCGGATGATGTGCAGGTAGCGCCCCAGGTGTCGGTCGTTTTCGTAAAAGGTCATGAGCGTCTCGCCGGTCAGCTCCTGCGTCTGGTTGAGAGGGACGAACTTGAAGTCCTGGGGCGGCAGGGCCTCGTATGTAAAGGGGCCCTTGATGGTGTCGAGGTCGTGGGTTCCGATGGACACCAGTGTCCGCTGGCGGGCGAGGTTCTGGTGCAGCTTGTCCTGGAGGGCGATGAAGGACTCGTACCGGTCCTTGGTGAACTTGATGTTGCGCAGGATGGCGCCGGACACGTAGGGCCGGACCTTTGCTGTCTCGGGAGAGACGGTGATGGTCTGCAGGATGCCGTCCTTGGGCTCTACCACTCTGTAGTTGGGAGGCTTGGTGCGGCCGAGGAAGATGTTGAGATTGAGGGCGATGCCCTCGAAGCAGAGCATGTCATAGCGGTTGGCGGGAATCTCAATCTTGAGCTGGGGGGGTTCCTGCTCGCCATTGACAATGGGCCGTTCCTCGTCTTCGGTGTCTTCGTCGAGCTCGATGCCGAATTCGAAGCAGAGGTCCTCAAACTCGGCCGTGGTGAATCTGGAATTGCAAACGGTTAGACGTGCGCTATAAGCTATACCGGACATATGCTACTGCGTGGGGGGTTAAGCAGTGTATAATGTCTATATCTATGTCTGGTATCGCGGGCCATGGAGACGTGGATGGGTAGATGGACGGATGGATGGAGGGAGGGGTGGGAGATGGCATTCGCATTCGCATTCGCATTCATAGACGCAAATGCCCAGCTGAGGAGACGTACTTGCGGCCGAGAGCCTCGTAGAGCTTGTACTTGTCGACGGAGATGGTCGGCATCGTGAGGACGAGATTTGATGGTTTGGGATGCCGGATTGGCGAGTCGTGCAAATTGTCGTCGCTTTGAGTCACAGGAATTTTTGGAGGGACGATGGCGGGGTGATTGATAGGTGGTATTGGTGGTGATGGCGGAACGATGCGGAGGGACTTGGCTGGAGGTGGGGAGCGCTGCTGAGAGCCAGGTACCTCGCTAACTGGCAGCACAAGTCGGCGCTTTCGCAGGTCCTGAAATCGGCGGGGTGACGGAACATCGATGCTCCCTTTTCCATTCATCTCACTTTTTCGCAGCTGCATGTATCGAGTACGTACTCCGTGCAAGTACCTCTACCAAGGCACGATCCCCGCCTCAGCGATTTGCTGGGCACATGCGCCTAGGAGCCCAATTACTACCAAGGCTCACACATCTCTAGGCGCCGTATCAGTGGTAATTGATGCTAACAAATAGGGCTAAGACACGGGTGAGGGGAACGAGGAGGGGCTGAAGGCAGAGAAATCGGTTGGAGCAAGATGTTGTCTGAAGCTTGCGGTCATTGCACAGCGGCCTTTGGACAATCTAAATGCCTGTACCTCTAGTAGCAGTATGATGTATTCGATCCGTCTCTACCAGGTATCAGGTATGCGAGACAGGTGTAACGCTGAGCAGCATCTTGTATGTATTTTGTTTTCACTTCGTATTGTACCTGGCAGTTATTATTGTCTCTAAGGTACAGGTAGGTAGTCCATATCAAACCATACCTCTGCACCCTGCATTTCGATTCGACATTCATCTGCCAACAGGCGGTCCTCGTACATGTAATCGCTCGTACACGTACCTGTACACACGGCAAAGGGGCAAATTACAATAAAAGGACGGCTACAGGGGCAGCGGGTGGGGGCTCACAGGTACTTGCGTGGCGGGGCACTCCATGTTAGTGCTCAGGCGATGATCCCACCGCCGCCGCTAACGCCCTGCAAGCACCGTCGCTTGTACCTCCAGCTTGCTAGTCCCTGTAGCATCTGGCAGCACCGCTATAACCGCCTCGCTGCTAGGCTCTTGCTGGGCTCCAACAACAGCTTCGTGTCTCTCGATCCAATCTTCACCCCTCAACTCCGGCACTTCAGCTGTCCACCTCCAGCCTCGTCCCGCCCGCCTCTCAGCCCTGCTTCTCGAGCTCTCCGGGATCCGACTCTCGCAGCGGCAAGGCGACAGTCGCTGCTCAATTCCGCCCTGGTTCTGCCTCTGCTTCGGCTTCAGGCTGCGCAAAAGCCATTCGTCCATTGCATCACCAGCTTCACCTTGACCCCGTCTCTACGCCATCGGCCTCGTCGCTCGCCGCTTGTCCCGCCGATCCTCGATTCCCAGCTACATCTGCGGTGCTTCAACCGTCTCGATTCGACTCGCTCAACGCGCCCCTTTACTTCTCTCCGCCACTCGTCTCCTGCTCTGCCTCCCCCCCTCGTGACACGCCATGGCTGAAGCGCCAAACGCAAACGACGAGCTCTACCCCATCGCCGTGCTCATCGACGAGCTCAAGGTATATCACGCCCAGTAACCTCCTCTACTCCATCTTCTTCTTCTGGATACGCTTCCCCCCCCCCTCCTCTTTGTGACGTGGTGCTGACTTTGGGCTCTCTGCTGTTTGCTAGCACGACGATGTTTTGCTCCGACTCAACGCGATTCATCGGCTCTCCACAATTGCTCTTGCCCTCGGCGCCGAGCGAACAAGAGATGAGCTGATTCCCTTCCTCGACGGTCAGTAACAACTCGACTCTTGCTATAGCCATGCTGCCATTTCCATCCCTCCCACCCTCTCAACTGTGTTTGCCTAGTCTTGGGCTCTAATCTGACGTTATGACGCAGAGTCTGTCGAGGACGAAGACGAGGTTTTGGTCGCCCTGAGCGAGGAGCTTGGCAACTTTATCGAATACGTCGGAGGCCCCTCGTGGGGTCACGTCTTGCTCTCTCCCCTCGAGAACCTCGCCGCCATTGAGGAGCCCGTCGTCCGAGACAAGGTAAGACGCTCAATGACGCTAACCCGAGCGCTTTTGGCTGACGGCGCGAAATTCTAGGCTGTCGAATCTCTCAACAAGATCTGCGAGGAGCTCTCACCGCAACAGGTTGAGGAGTTCTTCATCCCCCTCGCAATTCGACTCGCCAAGGCAGACTGGTTCACGTCCAAGGTGTCCGGCTGCGGTCTCTTTACAGCTCCCTACAAGAAGGTGTCTCCCCCCGTCCAGGAGCAGCTTCGCCAGCAGTTTGGCCTTTTGGTCCACGATGAGACTCCCATGGTCCGCCGCCAAGCCGCGTCCAACCTGGCCAAGTTTGTCAAGGAGATGCCCCCCTCTATCGTCATTGAGGAGATGATTCCCCTCTTCCAGCACCTCGTTTCAGACGACCAGGATAGTGTTCGATTACTCACTGTTGAGATCCTCATCGCCATTGCCGAGGGCGTGCCGAAGGAACAGCAGGCTAGCCATGGTGTCCTGTTGACTTCTCTGCGAAACCTGATCGAAGATAAGAGCTGGAGAGTCAGGTACATGATTGCCGACAGGTTCGAAAAGGTCGGTAGCAAGATGCTTGAAATGTTGCCGTCATTGCCTTGTTGCTAACTCCCCTTTGCAGATTGCCAAGGCTGTAGATGAGGAAGTCGTCTCCAGGGATTTGGTGCCCGCATTCGTCAAGCTTCTTAAGGATAACGAGGCTGAAGTCCGGACAGCCATTGCTGGTCAGATCCCCGGCTTCTGTGGCCTGGTGGACCGCCAGACGCTTCTCAACGACATCATGAGCAGTGTCGAGGATCTCGTCTCAGACACATCCCAGCACGTGCGTGCCGCTCTCGGAACCCAGATCAGCGGCCTCGCTCCTATACTGGGCAAGCAAGAGTACGTGTCTAGACAAACCCCTTGTAATATTGCTTGGCTCACTCACATGTTTGTAGGACGATTGACCATCTTCTACCCATGTTTCTCCAGATGCTCAAGGACGAGTTTCCCGAGGTTAGACTGCACATCATCTCTAAGTTGGAGCTGGTGAACCAAGGTACGAACCATGATGTTGTGACGTGATGCAGGAGGATCCTTGTAGAGCTAACAGTTGAAAAAAAGTCATTGGCATCGACCCCTTGTCCGTCTCGCTGCTGCCCGCCATTGTCAACCTGGCCGAGGACAAGCAGTGGCGCGTACGACTCGCCATCATCGAGTACATCCCCCTGTTGGCCAGCCAGCTTGGCGTCAAGTTTTTTGACGAGAAGCTCAGCAACTTGTGCATGGGATGGCTCGGCGATACCGTCTTCTCCATTCGCGAGGCTGCTACGCACAACCTGCGAAAGCTGACTGAGGTCTTTGGCGTGGAGTGGGCGAGCGAGGCCATCATCCCCAAGGTCATGACGATGGGCAACCACCCTAACTACCTGTACCGGATGACCACTTGCTTTGCCATCTCGGTAAGTTTTGACTCTGTCACGTTATAGCAATGCCCACGGCCGGCGACTAACCATCTTTTGTCTTTTTCTTGGGTACAGACACTGGCCTCTGTAGTTAGCATAGATGTCATTTCCAAGTCGATTCTCCCCATGCTCGACAAGATGACGGAAGACGACATTCCCAACATCCGGTTCAACGTTGCAAAGACGTACTCGGTCCTCATCAACGCCCTGCAGCGCCTGCCGGAACAGGGCACTCTCTACACAATCGAGCAACAGGGAGCCCAGGCGGCACCGCCGACGCCTTCGCCTCGGGGCCAGGAGCTGATCCAGCAGCGCATCGTCCCGAACCTAACCAAGCTGCAGAAGGATGACGATGTGGATGTGCGTTACTACGCGACGCAGGCGGTCGCCGAGGCTTCAGGAACCGGAGCGTCAGGAGGCGGAGAGCCCATGAATACTTCACCATAGATGAGAGAAAACCCGTAATGAAGCAATGATTTTGTCCCTCGTCCCTGTCTGTGCTGCAGCGGCTTTTGGTCTCTGCGATTTCAAAGGTTTCTTTTTTTCTTCATCATTTTACAAATTTTCTATTTTTGAGTCCGATGTCATTGGACAAGCTGTGGCGTGAGAGAAGTACAAGATTTTTGATGCGACAAATCACACAGAGGCAATGTCGACTTGAGGGGGAATGGATGAATGGATGGATTGGGAGGGGGCAACAAGGCAGACATGGGGAGTAAAGAGGAGAGAAAAAAAAAAGAAGAACTGATTAGTGGATAATGGGCAGCATAAAGGTGGAAGCATCTTTTGTAGACTCGAGAGGTGTAATGTAGGGGGGTGAAGGTAAACGAACGTGCCATTTTTCTTTTTTCTTTTCATAATCCTTTTGTCGTTCTCTGGTGATGTAATTGAAGTCGTATTGTAATTGTATCAAGGTGGCATCGTATGTTTTGCCCATGGTATTTTACTCGACTGAGAATGCTCTTCATCTTTTCCAAGAAATTCAAGCTATATATACACACACATCTATTCTAATGTTCCCCTCCAAGTTTTCTAACTATACGCCACATGGTATCATCCAAAAAGAAAATTTCACTCGCTCACGCCCTTCCCCCTCCTAAAGCACAGCGTCGTAATCGTCTGGCCTTTGACGCCGCCAAAGGTAAACGTCGGATACTCGACCCTGCCGACGACGCGCAGCTCCCCATCCTCGTCTTCCTCGAACCAGCTCCGCAGCTCGGGCTCGGTCCAGTTGCAGCTCGTGACGAGGAAGACGCCGCCATGGGGGTTGAGCAGCTGCAGGAGACGCTTGCGGTACGTCTCGCAGGGGTTTGTTTCGGAGGATGCTGCGGACAGGCTGATTGCGTCAAAGGTGCCCTTGTCGAGGATGATGTCGAAGAGGGCTTCGGAGGGGGCAAAGGACAGCGGGGAGGAGGCGTCGGAGGCGGAGAGCGGACCGGCGAGGAGGTCCCATTCGAGGAAGCGGACGGACGGGGTCTTTTCCGCGTCTTCGGTTTGTTCTTGTTCCTCTTGAGCGTCCCTCGTCTCGCCGATGCTCTTCGCCAAGGCGACGCTCTGCGCGCTGTAGTCCACGCCCAGCATCTGCCCTTGCCACCCGTCGTCCCTCAGCGCAAACAGCAGCTCGCCGTTGCCGCACCCGAGATCCATCAGCGCGGCGCTCTCCTTGGACAGCGGGCTCTGGAGGAGTTCCTGGTCGTCTTCGGTGAGGGCGTCGAGGAAGGCGACGATGCGGCCCTCTGCGTCGGAGTCGTCGAACCAGTTTGTGCCGGTGTCGGAAGGGTTGGCGGCGTGGTTTGTGAGTTCGGCGGTGTAGAGCTTGTCCCAGCTGCGGAGGCGATGATGGATGTTAGAAACATGATGTCGAGTTTGTGATGTATAAAGCGTGGAGAGGGAGAGGGAGACTTGCTATTCTTTGGTGCCGAGCTCGGAGGGGTCGAGATGCGCTGGTTTACTTGACGATGCCATTGTTATTCTGAAATTGATTCTAAAAAAAAAAGAGACGAGGCTATTGAAAAATATACAATGCTTGTGTGAGAAGGGCTATAGAATACTATGGTTGGCAAAAAGATTGTATGTTATAGAAGATGCATGTATGGAGGGGCAGCTAAAGTATTGGATTGCAAAGTGCCTGCAGCCAAGTCGAATTGGGTGCGGGCTGGATGTGGTAGGCGGTGAGTGTCGCTTGTGGGTGAGGGGCATTGCCTGAGCTGCAAACTTGCGTCAGAAGCGGAATTTGATGTTGAATTGGATGATATTCAATAACAAGCATATGGATGACATGTGGATGGTTACAAGTCTTGTTAATGGAAGAATGACTTGTTTATTGTTGGTTTCAAGATGTGGCAAGCTGGAATAAGTTCAGCATTCACCATCGCAAAGAGACGGTCCAAAACCATCCATTACACAAGAAACAGCCCAGTTTCATCTATTGATTCAGGCCTCTTCCTCTCTCTGTAGTAGATACAGTAGCCATGATAGCTACAAACAGGATCCAACATCAAGTGTAAAAAGAAAAGTGAAAAAAAAGAAAAGAAAAAAGTAGTGGTCAAAAGTAAATGTACACTCAAACGCCTCCCATGCATGACCAGCATATCTCGCGCGCCCACGAGTGACCGCCGTCACCCCGTTCGGTTTCCGTCTTTCTTCTTCTTCTCTTCTTCCAACACAATCCCGAAGAAAAAAAGACGGTTTCGTAAAGAAAGCAAACAAAATGGGTTCCCATCAACACCATGCCTGTGTCGGTTTGTTCAAGCAATCCCAAAACAAGTTACAAGAAAACAACATCAAAAAAGAGAGAGAAAACGCTTAGTAAAAACTCTCCACCATGGTGTCCTTCATTGTGGTGTTGATGTTGCTGGGGCCCTGGCCTTCGCCGAGTCTAAAGACGCTCTCGATGACGCTCAGCTCGGTGGACGTGGTGTCGAGTCCGGTCACGGCCATCCAGTCGTTGACCACCATGCCGGCGCCCACGACGTTGCTGCCGCGGTTGACGCTGCCGGCCACCAAGGGAATCTGCAGCAGGCTCGACAGCTCGTCCTGGTCCTGGATGGTCGTCTTGGGGTGCACCAGGCCGCCCTGGTTGGAGATGCTCATGTAGCTACCGACGAGGACGTTGTCGGCGACGGTCTGGCGAAAGACCTCGACGCCCAGCACGTCGGCGATGATCTCCTCCGTCTCGCGCTCCAGGTCCGGGTGCACCAGGGCGATGTGGTCGTTGGTGGCGATGACGTTGCCCAGGGCCGACAGACGCTCCTCGATGCGCTGGATGCGCACCGAGTCGGGCAGCGAGTTGCGCAGGTGCTGCAGCTCCTGGTCCGACGTCGTCGTGGGCACCAAAAGGCCCTTGCGGTTGCCGGCCGTGAGGCGTCCGATGATGCGCGTGCCGGCGATGGTGGTGCGCACAATGGGGATGACGTCCTGGAGCTCGGCCTCGAAGACACTGCGGGAGACGGCGTTAGGGCTCAGCTCGTTCCCGTCGCTGGTCATGAATATGGTGGTGTTGATTTACCTGTAAAAGTTCTCGCTGGCGCCGAGAGCCACCAGGGCGTATGAATTTGTCAACGTCGCAAAGACGCCAACCCTGCGAGAAACCACCAGAGTCAGTCAAGGTTCGGATATCCAGTAGTTTGAAAGAGAGAGATGAAGAACAAGGGAATCGCAAAGCAATGCGATCCCAAGTCGACAAAAGCTCGAGATCCCTTTTCGTCCCGTCTTCACCCCCCTCCCCCGCCGTCAATCACAACAAGAAGAAGAAGAACGTACTCGTTGGAGTTCTCAAACTGAGCACGAACAGCCATGATGCGAGTAGTATCAACAACACAGTTCTGTATCGGTAGAATAGTGACGGTGTTTAACAAAAACAATTAAAAAGAAAAGCTTCGGCTCTGAAGAAAGCTTGTCTTTTTTGTTCTGTTGTGTCGATGTAGGAAAAAGAAAAAAGAAAAGCGCCCGCTAAAAAAATGCTGATGCAAGCAAAGTGCCCCGCGGATCAAGTTTTTTTTTTCTGCCGGAATGGGAATGAAGTGGGAGAGGGGGGAACGGACTAAGTGCAGTGGTTTCTCAGCGCCTTATAAGTACTAACCAGCGAGCGCTGAGGCACAGGTACCTGTACATGCAATCCTTCTGCGGGCTAGCGATGGATGACTCCCGCTCTCTCTGTTTCAGTGTAACAGTCCACTGAAAAAACAGCCTGAGATTCGCCTTGCAGCAAAGCCTCATCTCATGTCAGCTAATCTCATACTCCATTCCACGCCCCAGGAACAAAAGCAAAAGAATCATAATAAAAAAAAGACAAAAGAGGAAAAAGAAGAGTCACAAAGTGCTCACAAGCAGCATAGCGCAAGAAACCAACACACGATCAACTGGATTGGATGCCAAATCAATTCAAGCCCTCGATGACTCAGTCCAGCTCAGCTTTAGAGGCCAAAAGTACCTAGTACCAACTCAGCCAGGACCCTGAAGCTGTGACTCAACACCGAGATTGGAATCGTGCATTGCCACAGAGAACAGGGTGCTGTGACTCTTTTTTTTTTTTTTCTTCATCGCATTGACTTGATCAGAATGGCGGGAAACAAGAATTCAATACCGAAAGAGGCAAGGAAGAAAACAAGAAGAAAACTAGCACTCTAAAGCCCTGCTGAATATCCATCATCAAACAGGCACCTCTTTTGAACCCTTTGAGCTCCAAGCTTGTAGATGTTGGGTCGTTGTTCATCGCCATAACAGAGAGGCATAGTAGCCACTTCTTGTTTACTTCCAATACACTTTTACAATTATACTGCATTTAGCCCCTAGCCAAACAGGCTTGCATCTTCAAGATCTGCTGTCTCCGTGCTCATGTTGCAGAATGCACTTACAACCAAGATGACCCACCACCAAATCCGTTGCTATAAAAGCGCCAACGAAGCCAACGACGAGAATACCGTATCTTTACAACTTCAACAACGATTGTTGTAGCGGAAAACAGACTCTGGATTCGAATTCTAATGGTACCCTTTTCACCTAGAACCACAGCAGTCGGGGGTCCTCGGGTATACATGTCCATGTATGCTGCCCCCGAGCAAGCGATGTAGTCGTATGCCCATCTCGCATCACCATAGTAGCTATCTCGCGGACTCCGTCACGTACGCATGGGTACTTTATAATGTCAGCGTTCGAGGCAACTAAATACCGGGCTGTAGCGGTTATCCAGAAAAGAAAAAAAAACAGAATTGATATCCATGAATCATACCGGCTACAGTACCGCTCTTAGTCACGCCAACAACACAACCTCCCTTCAGTGTGGACATCACCTCACCACAGCTTCCATCTCAACAAAAATGGACAAGTGCATAGCAATCGTCTCATATCATCTACTCTAATAGCCTCTCAGGACCGTCCATCTAAGTGCTCTTTTTCTTTTTCCCCTCAGACGGCCCACAGGTCTATTTGACAACAAAACACAGCATCGCCTCGCCTCGCCTCGCCTCGCTTCAACATGCCCTCATGCCAATCGTCCTCATACAATCCGTAACCAAGTTAAACACACAAGGTAAAAAAAGTCTCTCTAAACCATCCACAGTTCCAAGAGAGAAAATTAGAGGGAGGAAGAAGGAACAAATAAGATATCCATTTCGGTCATCGGTACCAGCCTCCGTAGAGAAGAAGTGAATAAAGGAAAAAAAAGAGGAAAAAATGAAAAAGAAAAAGAATCGAGGGGAAATAAAGGGGTGTCATTTCGCCCTCATCACAACATGATGCGCTCTTGTCACCGCCCTGTTCCAACCCTCTACAATGTCCATACCGGGGCCTTCATCAACACCTGTCGCCCCCTTACTTCAATGGCCACAAATCCTGCAAATCGCACGCGGCCGGGACCTTTTTTGGTCAACAAGTTAGCAAAAAGTTCATACAGCAAAGATGAAGCAAGATAACCTACCGGCCTTACTCGAATCTCCGCTGCTGCTGTTCTTATCCTTATCTGAATCGGCATCCAACTTGGCCTCTCCCTCCTTCTGGCCATCGACAGAAGGCAGCCCGCCCTTTTCGACTTCCATGAAGCCCGCCTGCATCACGTCTCCCGGCAGAGGATACATGATGGTCACGTCTCGGCTCTCCCGCGGCAGGTTGGCGGCGATGCCAATGGCCAGCTCCACAATCATCGACGTGCTACCTTCGACTCCGGCCGGCGGCGGCTCGTTGAGGAACTGGTACAGGTGTGCGGCCAGGTTGGTTGTCATCTTGGCTATCAGCCCTGCGCGGTGGTCTGCTGCGGTTGTCGAGTTGAGCTTGTGCTGCAAGCCGTCCAGCGTCGCCATCCGCCAGTTGACCACCTTCGTTGTCAGCGCGTCAAACTCCTCCTGGCTGTGCATCGTGTACGCGTTGCCTCGGATGTGGAGCTCAATCTCCTTGAGCTGGCTGCTAAAGGCGGCGTCCAAGTCTGGGTGGAAGCACTTGTTGAAGACCTCGTCCACTACCCACTTGGTGATGACGGCTCTGCCCACCGCCGTCATCTCCTGCTTACCCGTCTTGAGGGCGTCGGGGCTGACGAATTTCTCGAGCCACTGGGGCAGGCGTCGCCAGTCCTTGCGAATGTTGAACGACAGGTTGTTGATGGCGCCGTTTAGCCGGTTGAACCTGTTGACGTACTCGTTGTCGTCGAGGGCGGTCCGCGACTGCGACATGCGCTGGTTGGCGACGGCATTCTGCAGATGCTCAATCTGGCCATTAAGCTGTTCGATCTGGGACTTGCCATCAAAGTAGAGGCGCTTCACGTTCTTATACTTTGTTACTGTACAAACGGGCAACGTTAGCTGTACACCTTACTTGGATAAGCCACGCCAGCCCAATCCCCCATGTAGCGTAGACAAAGACGAGACGAGAGGGGAGAGAGTAAAGGAGATGGGAGACAAACATAATTCTTTAAACGCCTTTTCCGATTCGGCATTGTCGCGTTCATGAGTCGAAGGCTGAGGACTATTCCGGCCCTGATCGCCAGTCGCCGCTTCATACCGTGGAGGGGCACCCGCGCCGCCGGCAGCGGCACCTGCAGCGGCGGCAGCACCAGCACCAGCAGGCTGTTGGCCGGGCTGGAGAGGTGCGCCGGGCACCGAGGTCATGTTGGAGTTGGTGTGAGTGTGGCGATATCCAGGGGGTGCGCCAGGAAGGGCCTTGTCAGCGTCTCCGGGTCGACGGTTCGTGGGCGCGCCTCCTCCGGGCGGTGCCATGGCAGGTTGCGAGAGCTGCTGCTGCTGCTGGTTCGTGGGCTGGACGGGGGGGAGAGCGATGCTGGAGACGGATTCTTGCGCCGGCACTGAGTAATGGACGGCAGGTGACGGCTGCTGGTCCAGCTGCTGGTTGAGAGAACGCTGGTCCGAGTCGGGGGCTGGCGACTCGCGTGAGAGCTGAGAGATGGTTTCCGGGTTCTGCTGCTGGTGCAGCTGCTGTTGGCCTAGATGCGTGGTGACGATGCGCGGGTCTGTCGTCTGCTGATATTGATCTTGCGGTGAGCTGGCGGCGTAATACTGCTGGGGGGCGTGTGGCAATGGCTGCTGCTGTTGCTGAGGGTGGCCCTGCTGATCGTAGACGGCCTGCTGGGGATCGTACTGAAGCTGCTGCTGCTGTTGATGCTGCTGTATCTGTAACTCAAACTGCTGTTGTTGCTGCTGCTGCTGCTGCTGTTGCTGAAACTCAAACTGCTGTTGCTGCAGGGATTCCTGAGATGCAAGCGCTACCTGTGGGTGGGCAGACTGGGGCTGCTGCTGCTGCGAGTGGTGATAGTCGTCGTAGGGCGATTGTATCTCGTCGGCAAGCCCCTCGCGGATGGTGTTGACGGGCGGCGCGGACAGCCGAGGGTCGTGCTGGAGGCGGGCCTGGTCGTGATCGTAGCCGTACTCTTCGGCCTCGCCCACTCCTTGCAGCGGCGACGTCTGGTGGACGGACGAGTTGGGCGTGTGCCAGTCGCGGTCGGGCTGGGGCGAGAGTCCCGTCTTGACGTTGGGGGGGTTGCTGTGACCGATGCGCTTGGACGGCCTGCGGGCGAGCCCGACGGTGTTGTCGTACGACTGAGAGGCTGCGGGGGCCTCGCGGTGGTTGTCGTGGCTGTTGCGGCCGGAGAAGATGCCCTTGATGATCTTGCGAGCCGATCGCTTCTCGGGGGCAGAGCCTTGCGAGGCTGAAGCGGAGGCGTTCGCGGCCTGTTGGCCCTGGTGGTGGCCCGTCGGTTCGTTGAGTGACGTCTGCGAGACGTTGAAGAGGTGGTGGAGCGATGCGCTGTAGCGCTGACTCTGGCGGACGGCGGAGGCGGCTTCTGCAAAGTCACCTGCGGGCGGCGGCTGTTGCTTCTGCAGCTTGCCGGTGCTCTGCTGGGGCGGTAGAGGCGGTTGCTGAAGCTGATGCGGAAGCTGATGCGGGTGCTGATGCTGGAGTTGCGGTTGAATCTGAGGCTGCGGTTGAGACTGTTGTTGATTCAGCTGATGCTGCTGGAGCTGCTGGCGGCCATCAAAAGCGGGCGCTGATCCAATGACGGCGGGGTTCTGCACAGGCGAGGGGCCGACGCCGGACGAGCCCGAGTGAAACAGGAGAGCCGGACCAGCACCAGCTCCGGACTGCTGCTGCTGCTGCTGTTGCTGCTGAAGCTGCTGTTGCTGTGCTTGCAATTGCTGTTGCTGCTGCTGTTGTTGCTGCGCAACGTTAAACGACTCGCTCGAGCTGAGGGCGCTCGTCCGCAAGGCTGACTGAGGGGTCGCGTCGGGGTGCGGCGGGTGCTGCTGCAAATCTGCCTCAGCCGGCGCTGGCGGTGCTCTTGTAGGTTGTTGAGACGACGAAGCTCCAGCGGGTTGCTGCTGCTGTTGCTGCTGCGGCGATGCCTCGGCAACCGCGTGCTGCGAACGGTTGCTGTGCTTGCCCAGGCGACTGAAGCTGGGCATCCTCAACGGCGATTGATGACCTGAGTCGAGTTTGCGGCAGGTCAAGTTATTTTTGGCGCCGATGATCCAATCTGATGAGCTGGCCTCGCCTATGCGGCTTAGGCGTATTAAAGGGGGGGGGGGGCGCCCAACCGCTTTGCCTGAGCTGCTGCAAGATCAGGTTTGGCTTGTGCTGTAACTATGCTCTCTAGCCTCGACGCTGTTCCTGCACGTCAATTCAATTTTCCTGGTTTCCCCTCCTCTTGTTGGACACAAAAAAGGGCTGAGTTTGTTTTGATGCTGTTCCTTGTCGAGTTGCCGGGCTTAGACTCGAGTCCGGCGGGGGAGTGAGGCTGTGTAGATTGCCTGACCTGCTGTACCTGTAGCTGCACCTGTAGCTGCACCTGTACTTGTACCTACCTACCTGGCAACTAAGGTGGTAGCGGTGCTGTGCTAGTACGCTGGAGTGTGTACCTGGTACTATACCTAACACACGCAGAGGCGGACAGGCTGAGAAGATGCGCGAGTTGTTGGCGACCAGGGATAACAAGGCCTTGTCCAATCCAAAAAAGAAAAGGAAAAAAAAAAAAAGAAAAATAGTCGAGAGGGAAGAAGAGACACCGCAACCGTTTGTCGCTCAATCTAAAAAGGGCCTCTTCTGCGGCAAATGCCCGCTCTTCAAAGGCTGGACAGCCGGGGGGTAGCGCGACACGAGGATGCAGAGGCTTCCTTGTCCCGGTCAGCCAAGATGGACTGGACGGGATGGTTTGAGTGAGTGATTTGACAAGTTTGACAGGCCGTGGCGCGGGCCTTGCTCTGCTAGTGCTCTGCGGTTCAGTTCAGGTGATGGACCGGTGCGGTTCAATGGTTTCAATTCGGACGGCCGATGGACTGGAAACGACCCAGAATGAGAGGGAAGACGAGACGAGGTGGTCCGGCTTCGAGCCATGGACCGACTTGAATGTGTTTTTGCAGATATCGACGCTTGTGCCAAGGCCACGGTCCCCCCCCCCCCCCCGGCGGAAAAGGCTGCTCGCAGGGCTGAGTGAGCCCGTTTCTCGTCTTGTCCATAATTTTCTTTCCTTTTTTCCCGGCCCTTTCTGCCTGCTGGGAATCTTACACCAACCTCGCATCCGAGGCTGCCAGCGGCTCTCCGTCCCCAAAACCCACCTCACCCACAAGAGCCGCAGGGCTTGCCCAGGATGGTTAAAGTCCTGCTGGCGGGTGGGCGCTAGGATCCCAAAGCCCCAAAATCGCCGTGGCTCGTGGGTCTGGAGAGATATAATTAGAACCCATGTCATTTGATGTCCATTCCATTGTCCGGTTGTGTTGTGTTGTGTTGTGTTGTGTTCTGTTTCGTTTCGTGGTGGCGTCTGTATTAGTACCGTAGTTGGGCATGGGGGTCATGCCTCTTCAGCTCTGTCGAACAAGGATAGGGAAAAGACGCTGATTTGATTGATCGAATCAACTTGAACTGAATACTTATCCGCTCGCAGGCCCCTCGTATCAACATTCTGTACTGCCACAATTGTGCCAAGCATTGCGCGTCTCAAACCAGATCACAGCAGCTCAAAGGGATTTGGATTGGATTCGGTGTAAGATGGCAGGATGATGCCGTACGAGTACCGGGGACGGGCAAGTACTAACGCGGACACATCATGTAATCAAGACTCATAGCCATCGATTCAAAGCCCAGCACGGCCCGATTGACAGGTACAGGTACTCCGTCATCCCATGTCCAAGCCCGTCTGTTCTGCGTCTCTGTACCAAAGACCCTGAGCGAGCTGATGTCTTCCGCTACCACGGAGCTCGAGCTCTGCATCCTTAGCGGGTACCCGTACCCGTACCCGTACCCGTACCCGTACCTGTACCTGTACCTGTACCTGTACCTGTACCTGTGCGGACTGAGCTCTGCAGATCCCCATCTGCCACTTGCTTCTTCCAACTTGACCTCAAAACCTCCGTCACATGCCGCAACGTGTCCAATCCAGTCCAGTGGAAGATGAGAAAATGAAACGAAAACGGCCATCGTCATGCATCGTGTCGACCGGCCCTCCTGCATGTCCCTGCAGAGCTCATGCACGGCAAGTATAAATAGCAACGCGAAACACAGCCATCGGCATTGTACATGCACTTTGCCATCTGCAAATCAGAAGCGCCTCGTCTCGTAAAGCGATGAATGATGTGCGAGAAACGAAATACGATGGCGATTTACAAAAGCCAAGTGCGTATATCGAGGTGCATGTGCATATGCATACAATATGGAGCACCAGGATTTCATTCACTTGGTGTTGTTGTTGAAAATCAAGATTCAGTACGGCGGTGGAGACTGCCGATGGATCGTTGCATCGAGGGCAAAGCTTAACAACCCGATTCTAAAAATGAATTCCATTGATCGGACCCGAAATGAAATCCCTTTTCTCGGTCACCTACCTAATCTATGCATATAGTGGTGGTGCGACCTCTGGTTGTCGTGGTATCACCATCTCATCTCCTACGAGTTGCACGCTGTGTCCGGGACTCCATCGGCTGCAGCTCTCATGGATTGATTGCGGCAGTGCAAATGTCCTTTCTACCGCTACTCGTCTATGAAGTCCACGGCTTACAGCCTATCCTAAACTGGAACCCATCTTCTCTTTTGAACAGACAACTTGAAGCTGAAGGTGAAGCTCGTCTCAAGCATCATGACAGTAGACACACAACGAAGCCTAAAAAGACAAAGGTAAAGAAGCAGCTTCACATTCACACATCACGGCCACTCAATTGGCAAAGCTAACCGGGCCATGCGATGCCCGGACACCAATGCCTTGCTCTCACAATATTGTCCATTAACGGCAAAGGCCCATCACCACCAATTGCCTATCCAGAGCTTCTGGTTTGCCCTCTCCGGCTGCCTTTTGCGGGGTTTCGTGGGGAATTCGCGGCTCCAGCGGGGTTTGTCGATAGATGGCCCGTTTACGGAGGTTGTGAGTTTAAGACTAAGGCTTTAACGGGCCCTTTACCTCGAGATTGCAATGATAAGAACATTTGAGGCCGTTTACGAGTTCTCTTCACCCGTCACTTGAACGGGTCTTCCTCATGGATGAATCCCCTGTCGTCTGTCCACGGTAATAGTTGAGCCACAGCGAAATCCAGGCATCGTCATGCTGCTGCTCTCTCCCATCACCTTGGTGGCGGCAGCAGCCCTGCTGTTTGCCATCCACTTGATTCGACGCATCACATCTCCATTGAGTAAAATCCCAGGACCGGCAGCGTCCAAGTTCACCTCCTTGGTCCTCAAGTGGAAGGAGATCAAGGCCCTCAGGACGGTCTACATTCACAAACTCCATCAGCAATACGGGCCCGTCGTCCGCATCGCCCCCAACGAGGTGTCATTTACGTCTTGGGAAGCTTTGAAGGAGATTTACTGCTCCGGAGGCAGCGGCTATGACAAGACGGAGTTTTACGATCTGTTCAAGATCTACGGCAGGAGGTGAGGCAATGATCTTGTTCTTGTCTTTCAGTATGGAATCAAAATGGCTTACTGGTGATGCTCTTCTCCAGGACCATGTTCACCACCTTGAACAAGGCAGACGTATGTTGTTTGCCGATCATCTGAATGTTAATGCGTCTCATCTAACATGGAGGGCCAGCATGCCAAACGTAAAAGGATTCTCGCCGACCGTTATGCTAACAGCAACGTCATGAAGAGCGCTTCAGTCACGGGGGTCCAGGAACGGTCTTCCAAGTTTGTTCAACGCTGTACTTGTGCTCCAGGAGGTGTATCGGACATTTTTGTAAGTCTGGACCATCATGTAAAACGCCATTGAGAGACAAAGGCTGACAGGACGTTTCCTTAGATGGGTTTGTCTCAATGGCTTTTGGAAAATCTAGGGACGGTACTAACTGCCACAGCCTTGCATGCGTATGCCTGCGATTGCATCACGCACCATCTGTTCCATCCCTACGGTACCGACTGCATCACCAAGAAGCAAGACGAGGAGATGATGCACCAAGTAGCGGCCGATGACAGCCTGCAGAGCAAGTCGACCCTGGAACGCCTCAAGCCAAACTGCCCTTACTAACAGCACGGATTCATAGATCGCCTCATCTCGCACTACGCTCCTACTTTGCATCGTCTGTTCTCCAAGGTGCTGTATCTGTTTGCAAAGCCCCGAGAGACGCCCCTAGCCGACGACTACGTGCTGGAGACCAGCCAGCTCAGCGGCACGGCCTCGTTCACTCTCATGAGCCGCTTTGACGAAAAGACGGGCGACCTCGACTACATCGACAAGGCAGCAGAGTGTCTGGACCACATGGCCGCGGGCATCGACACCACGGGCGACGGGCTCTGCTTCCTCCTGTGGGAGCTGTCGCAGCCGCGCTCGCTCGGGACCCAGCGCAAGCTGGCCGAGGAGCTGCGGGCGAACCCGGACACGCCCTTTGACAAGCTGCCCTTTCTCGACGCCGTCGTCTGCGAAGGCCTGCGGTGCTTCCCGCCGATCCCGATGTCGCTGCCGCGGTACGTGCCCCAGGGCGGGCGCTCCATCGACGGCTTCTGGCTGCCCGAGAAGACGGTCGTGAGCTGCCAGGCGTATTCGGTCCATCGGCTCAACGGCGACATCTTCCCGGACGGAGACGTGTTCGATCCCGAGCGCTGGCTGGAGGCCGAGGGAGATGCGGACCGGAGACGGATCCAGTTTGCTTTTTCCAACGGAGGACGGGGCTGCGTCGGGAAGCAGTAAGTCCCCCCCCCGTGCTCTCGAGAAGATGGACAACTGGACGTGATGGTTGACTGAAGATTGTTTCTAGCCTGGCTCTTGTCGAGATGAAGACGCTGTTGCGGGATGTTTATTCCCAGTACAGCACGACGCCGCACGAGTCGATGCAGGAGGAGGCCATGGCCATGTCGGACCAGCTCATCTCGGCGCGGCCGCTGGGGCAGAAGTGCCTTTTGCGATTCCAGCCTCTTGATGCGTAAGTCAAGGTGTAAGATGCAAGTTGGTAGTGAAGATGAGCAATAGAATTGATACAAGTCACATGCAATGATTGTAGGAGTTGGTGACAGTAATGGGCGTGCAGTGACCATGAATGGTCAGTAGCATCAGAGTCGATTGGCCAGTTACCAAGTACTAACTAAGAATGTCTGTCTCCAGTAGTACCTGTACAGAAGAGCCCAAGAGACAACACGACATCATCAAAATGTCTCAATGCCCGACGGCAACCACTGGCAATGCGAGGGCAATATCGGGGCACCACCGCTTGGTTGGTTGGGCGAAAATGCCGATGGGTGCAGCTGCAGTTGGCTCCGAGTTGAGCATCGATCTGCAGTGCAAATACCAGAACACCAGCACTTCCGCTTGTCGATGCCTCGGTACTATAACCTGTATGGACCAGTACACGTATGTACATGTACCTCCAGTCCTTGACACGAAAGTTCAACCCGGACCTGAGTTCTACATGCTCGGTAGAAACATCCCGTCGGTGTTAGTAATTGTGTACCAACAGTGGCATGATGCTGTTCCATACGTCTCCGCTATATTCTGGCACGCAACAGCCCGGAATGTGCGTTCTCGGCCGGCTCTCCGCACGAATCTAGGGCTCAAGCATGATCCCATCTTGTGCTCCATCCGCCATGCCTCGTGCCAGCCTGCAGCTTTGCAACGGCCAGTCGCTGGAATTCTCTGGCAGATAACCCCTAAAGCTTCAATACATTCACTCGTACTGGCATCAACATTCAAGTTGCTGCGTGTGAGCAACCGCCAGTCCCAGAGACGCATTCGAGCACACGTTCACATTCACATTCATCCTCGGTAGCCCGGACAATCCTCGTATGCCGCGTCTTGCCGCAGACTCTCCGAGCCAGCGAACCTACTACCTGGTACTAAATGCACGCACTTCTGCGTCCAGCTCTGCACAACGCACACGTAGATGTACCGGTCCACGCCGTCGAGCGCTAAAGAGCGCCAGCACCGACGCGCTGAAGACGCAAGTGATGCCCTGCCGTCAGTGCTGCCAGTGCTGCTTTAGCGGACGGCAGCGCCCAGCAAGTTTACATAACGTTTTGGTTGGTACCTCTGCTGTAGGTAGCGCACCGGATTTTAGCCTCCAGTCCGATTCCTTCCACTAAGCTTCCTCGGTGCTTCTCCAGCCCGTGGATTCACCAGCGCAAAAAAGTTGAAAAAGAAAGAGAAAAAAAGAAAAATAAATGTTCCGCTTTTGCTGACAACTCTGCCCCCACTTGGAATCTCTGCCTGATTCAAAATCCCAGCAGCCTCTCAACGCTTTTCTTCTTCTTCTTCCCTTTTCCCTCATCACAACTCGTCGTCTCTCCAGAGATTGCATCTGTCAGACTCCCCGAGCATCTTGTCTCGCCCGCTATCCAGCCACCTGCCAGGCCTGCTGACTGTCTTGCCGGTCGCAGCGCACTTTCCCCCCCCCCAGTCATTTTTTATTTCTCCTCGCCTCCACAGCTACAAAGCACACAAAAAAAATATCAAAAAAGTCGAACAGACAGAGACTCCCCCATCTTGCCGTCTTTTTCTGCTCTTCTGGCCAATCTCCTAGATTGTCTGTCCACCAGCATTCTGCCCACTTAGCAGCTCATTGCCGGTACTTTGTTGTTTATGTATCAGCACGATTCCGCCTCCGTATCCAGACGTTTCTTCACGCTGCAGTTATTTCGCATACCGCGGAAACCTAGCAGTCCCGATATTAGATCTGACGGTTGATATTCGCCTCGATTTCCGAGTTCATGCCTATCTCACTGCAATCGCGAATCTGTCCGGTCCGCCACATGTCCAGTACGCATAACTGTTGAGTTGTTCAGCCTCCCTTTGGTCCTCGACTTGTCCGCCCTATCCGACGCCAATATATTCGTCTCCAGCCTCTTGATGCCTATACCTCCGTCTCAGGCATAATCCCAGCCCTCGTCAATCCAATCCCCACAGACAAACCTCAAGCATCCCACTCTGCCACCCTTTTACAACCGTCACCATGGCTCTCGTCAACGTTCGTCGCGATGTCAGCGATGCCTTCTACCGCTACAAGATGGAGCGCATCCAGACCAAGATTGAAGGCAAGGGTAACGGTATCAAGACCGTTGTCGTCAACTTGTCCAGCGTCGCCCAGTCTCTTGCCCGCCCTGGCTCCTATGTCATCAAGTACTTTGGTTTCGAGCTGGGAGCTCAGACCAACATCGACCCCAAGGACGACCGTTGGATCATCAACGGCGCCCACGACGCCGCAAAGCTGCAGGACCACCTCGATGGCTTCATCAACAAGTTTGTTCTCTGCAAAAAGTGCAAGAACCCTGAGACCGACGTCGTCATCAAGGACGACCACATCGTGCTCGATTGCAAGGCCTGCGGTCAACGCACCGACGTTGATCTCCGCCTGAAGCTCAGTGGATTCATCCTCAAGAACCAGCCCAAGAAGGGAAAGAAGGACAAGGCCGAGCGCCGTGCCGCCAAGAAGGCAAAGCAGAACGGCCATGGCAAGGAGAACGGCCAGGGCAGTGGCGAAGATGGCTCCGAGAATGGCTCCAACGACGCCGCCGAGAACGGCGACGTCAGCGATGACGAGTTCCAAAAGGTGCAGGCCGAGGCAATCACTGCCGCTACCAGTGCCGAAGTCGAGGTTAAGGACGACGAGTGGGCTGTCGACATGAGCGCCGAGGCCGTCAAGGCCCGCCAGGCACAGCTCCCCGGCGAGCTCAAGCAGAAGCTCAACATTGGCGACGACGAGGATGAGGACGGCGAGGGCGGTGGCAACACCGTCTACGACGAGCTCGGCAACTGGATCGCCGAGCAGGCTGAAGAAAAGGGCGGCATTGACAAGGTCGATTCCATCAACATCTACGTCAAGGCCAAGGAGCTTGGTATCGAGGCCAAGCACCGAACTGTCCTGGTTCTGGTGCAGACCGTCTTTGACAAGAACATTGTTGCCCAGATTCCCAAGCGCGCCAGCATGCTCAAGCAGGTGAGTTTTACGCATAGCATCTTGTTTTACCACCTTCTAGTTACTAACATCGTCTCTTTCTCAGTTTGTCACTTCCGAGAAGCATGAAAAGGCCCTGCTCGGTGGTACCGAGCGCCTGATTGGCGGCCTCAGCAAGGAGAACCCTGATATCATCCAGCAGGTCGTCAAGATCCTGCAGCTGTACTACCACCACGACCTCATCACCGAGGAGGTGGTCGTGCCCTGGGGCTCCAAGGCCAGCAAGAAGTACGTCGACGTCTCTACCTCTCGCAAGGTCCGCAAGGCTGCCGAGCCCTTTATCACCTGGCTCCAGGAGGCTTCTGAGGAGGAATCCTCGGAAGAGGACGAGTAAAATCGCCCCTCCTTTTTTTTTTTTCACTTGGTAGACATGTCTTTTGTTTGTCCTTTATCATCACGTACTAGATTGAAACTTGTGATGGGAAGGGAAAAGGCTGCCAAGGAAATGGCACAGAGACTCTGTTGCCTCATGATTTATATTTGTATCGCACTTGTGTAACCGGACTTTGTGTATTTAGCTAGATTGTTTATTAGTCACAAAGTGCCCAATTCCACTCTTGACACAAGACTCTCGTGCCCTTTGTTGTTGTTGTTGTCCGTCTTATATGATGAAAATCTTTATATTCCAATTTGACGCCCTTGGGTATTAGACCCGCTCTGTAGCATTTGAAAACATAGCAGCCATTCTCAAGGCAAATAACGCAAAAAAAAAAAGGAAAAAGTTTTCCCTTTGAAATCCTAATCCCGCCATCATCATACATGGTTCCATTGTGTGCATACACACACACACACACACACACACACTCCCTGAGAAAGGAAAACCCTCCTCACGCCTCTTCCTCGCCATTTGCAGACGGGGCGTCGGCCATGTTCGCATCGCCGTTGGTCTCGGCGTCGGCTTCCCCCGCGAAGATGAACTCGCCAATGCTGGCTGCCGTCTTTTCGACATCGCCGTCATCCACGATGATGGTGTCGAAGAGATCCTTGGTCTTTTCCTCGTCGACGTCTTCGGAGGAAGATTTGATCAAGATGTATCGTGCTGAAAAGTCCATGTCTTTGGCGAATTGCGCGGCCTAGTTTAGGTGATATTAGCGATAGTCGTTAAACAAAAAAGAAAATGTTTACATACCTCGAGGTCAAGCTCAACAATGGGCACTTTGCCCGTGTCGACGACGGCATCCACGGCCCTTGTGCTGGTGCCATAGTCTACGCTGTCGCGAGTGCCGTACTCGACGAGCCGATCGCCGTCTCGCAGCTGATTAAACTCCTGGGCCTTGACGAAATGGAACGTCTTGCCGTTGATTTCGTCCTCGGCGGGCTCGCGCGCGGCGTGTCGCACGACGGGAGCAAAGACGCCCTTGTGCTCGCCCATGAGCTTCTCCCTCAGGGCCGATGTTTCGAGGCCCGAGGATGCAGATAGGATGATGGGGTCGCGATTGCTGGGCATGTCTGCCTCGCTCGCCGTCGGCTCGGCATCTTCCTCGTCCTCGTCCCCTTCAACGTCGTCTTCGAAAATGATGTTAATCTTCTTGGGGTCGTCGATCTTGTCGAAAGACGCCAGCTTAAACCGTGACGCTATCCGAAGGGCTCTCCAGCTCTTGCTCGCCTTGCCCGCAACGGCCGCGGCCTTGGTCTCGTTGTTGGTCGGCATGTCAATCTCAAAGTCGTCATCCGCGATTTTGCTCTTGAATCCGTCGAGTTCAGGCAGCTGATAGCGTTCCGCAGACTTGAGTTCCTCCATCGCCGAGCTTTCGTCTTCGTTTGCCAAAAAGTCGAGCGGCACGGCATTCAACGGGTTTGGCCGCAGGCGCTTGTTCGTCGCCATCTTCTGCGCAGCGTCCTTTGACTCGACGAAGCTCGCGGCCGACACGGGGTCGCGCTGGATGGGCGGACAACTGGCCATCTTCCAAAAGACCCAGTTCTTGTCCCTAGCCAGCACTGTTTCTACCATGCGAAAAAAGTATGGCCCATCACTTCCTTGCTTGAGATAATCTGATATTACCCTTTTCATGTCGGTAGCCCACTTTGTCTAAGAGGAAGGTGAGTATATGAGCAGGGGAGGTTGCTTCGGATCAACTTCTTACATTCTCCTCGTTGAGTTGGTCTGGGTAAATGACCGACTTGTTGGATACGTTGATGTTGGTTCGCTTCTCCCTTTCTTCCTTTGATAGCGATAGGAGAAAGTCTGTGATGATGAGGGATTGCACGAGAACGTGTCGTCGAAAGGAGAGGTCGCTGATCTGTATGTGGTCTGACTGTTAGCTATTGTCAAGTAGGTGCGCATGTAATATTGTGATACTTGCCTCGAGCTGGAACAAGTCCTTGCTGGTAAGATACTTGGGATTGAACGCCTCTGGAAGTGTCTCGGTTCCGTCGTCGTCCCTCTTCCGCTTCAACGTCCGCTTCAGATTCTCCATCGACTTTGAGGAATAAATGCTGTCTTCATGGATGGCCTGGAACGCACTGATTGTGGACTCCAAGCTGCTCTTGAACTTCGTAAAATGGCCGGCATCAAATAGTCTCAGGGGTTGGCTGAAGCTCTCTTGTAAAGACCAAAACAAGGGGTAGAGTGTGTCGGAATCGAGGGCTTTGCTGGAATCCTGCGTGCCATTCTTTGCGCCGGTCTTAGCATCGCCCTGCTCCTTTGGAGCATCATTGGTATCGACTTCCATTTTGCTGTCGTCATCTTCTGCTATTTCAAAAGCTGTCACATTCTCAACATGGTATTCTCCTCGAAGGTTAACGGAGCTTCTGTCTCCCAGCGGGAAACTCTGAAACATAAAGATGAACACTCTTCCACAGAAAGCCGTATCCTCAGCGCGTGAGAGTCTCCGCAGCAACTCATTGCAGCTTCGGAGAATCACAAGATTCTTCTGTTTGAAATGCTTGGCCGTGATGCGCTCTCGCCTTGACTCGAGATAGTCGAATATTTTGCGACATCCCGCGATTGTCTGGCTGTCGAGGAGCTCTTCCACAAGCCAGAACAGCAGCGCGGGGTCGCATTGGCCATCGTCGGAGAGGATTGAAAGGATATCCAGCAGATTCCACATCTTCACAAACTCTGGGCTATCAATTGAAGTTGTCGCCTTCATGGATTAGTGTTGGACGTCTGGGGCGGGCAAAAAGGTTGCTCTCGGCTTACGATTAACTTGCTGAAGAAATCGCGAGCCGCTGTCTCTACGAGGGCAAACTGCCGTGATCTGAGTGTGTCTGGAGGCGCATTGTTCTCCGTGCTGCCCGCGCTCTTGGAGCGGGTGAGCGAAGAAGAAACTCGGTCGTGGATGTTGACAAAGTCGGATTTCGCGAGAGCAGGCTCGAGGGTTGTCGTTTGCTTTGCCGCTGAGGCTTCGTCCAGAAGCTCTGTGAGAAGCCGCCCGAATGCGCCCACGGCTGAGACGCCCGGGTTATCTATATCGAGAGCCGGCATGATGAAAGCAGCCGCGCAAGAGGCACAAGGTTGGCCGTCAAGCTGGGCTGGAGCTCGACACGGATGGCTTGGCTGTCCAGCGGAGATATTCTGAACGCAGCGAAGCCGAAATTAATCGAAATGACGGATCATGAATTAGACGTGAGTGGACTCGGCAGAGGCGATATTTAGGGGAGCCGAGCGCGTTGCCCAACAAACGAAACGCTATAGAGCAGAGATGATGACAAGAGAAAGTCGTCGCGAAAGGCTCCAGGATAAGATGCGAGATGGGAAGGCTGAGGACCGCTGATGGCCCACGTAGTTCCAGGCGACTGCAGGTACAAGCAGCTGCCGCGGTGGCTGCGCTGGCGAACAGGTACTAGCCGCGAAAAGATACCTGTGCCGCTACTGCTCAGCGGGCCCGCAGTGCGCAAGGCTGAAATTTTATGCACAGGGACCAGTAATTCCGTCTGCCAGGCGTGGACTCAACTTGGCTGCGCTTTGTATGACCTCGCTGTCCCGTCTCCAGCTTCACCAAAGCTCAAGCTCCAGCACGAGTCTGCCTTGCAAACGCCGGTCGATCCATCGAGTCTTTCCCAGCCCATGACGCGACGCCCTCTCAATGCCTAACGCGAAGCGATCCAAAAGCTCTGGCGGGCGAGCTGCAGCCACACGCGAGCCGCCAAAGGATACGACAGACGGCCGCCCGACTCCGGCAGAGGTGGAGGAGCAGGAGCATCGATTTGTGCAGGTTGCACGGCAGCATTGGCTGAAACCCGGCAAGAAGACGGCAAAGGTCAAGGTCAAGAACGACGTCATCAAGCAGGGCATCTGGGACGTTCTGGAGCAGGATGGCTTCTCATATAAGCCGCTGCTGCTGTTGGAGAGTCTGCAGACGCTGGAGAGGTATGGCTGCCTTCAGATTTGGTGGAACTCGGCGTGAGAAACAAGTTCTGACGCGGTGGAATAGCTATCTGTGGCCCGGATATTCGGAGCAGGCGTCCAACTACCACGTCCTGATACTGGCGTTGATATGCAACGTCAAGAGACGAGAGCACCTCGAAACATGGAGTAAGTTTGGCAGAACTGGCCCCCCTCCGACTTGTATATGACAAGAAGCTTACGGTACAATCTAGAAATCTTTGAAGAGAGGCCCGACGACTTCTCGTCCCTCTTCCGCCGCATCCTATCCATGACCCTCGACAGAACATTGTCGACGACGTTGCGAACACACCTCCTCTGCTTTCTCATCCACGCCTTCCAGAGTCTAGATTGTACCATTGTCAGGAAAGAATGCGCTCCTCTGGTGTCGATTGGCATCTGGCATAACCTGTCCACCGAGAAGCGTCAAGAGGCCCAGCTTGACTCTTCGCCCCATCTCAGAAAGGCTTGGAGGGCGGCTCAGAAGCGATATGACGCCGCAGACGAGGCTACCAAGGCGCGGCTGAGGTTTGAGCGTTCATGGCTCTACACCCTTATCCTTGATTTTACAAATCAGCTATACAACGAAAGCGGTAAATCAGGTACGTCAACGAGCAGCTGAAATAGTCATGGGTATCCATGTTCGCCAAACTAACCTGTTTCTATAGACCAGACGCTTCTCTACTGCGAACGATTTACCGAGTTCATATCTGACTTGCAGAGCCAATTGCCGACGCGGCGTTACGTCAATGCATTGGTCCAAGATTTACATCTCACTCCTCTGATGAGATTGTCTCCGCTATACAACGATGCCGGCAGTACTCTACTGCGTGACCTCCACGGACTGCTCTCTCACTACACATTCTTTGCTATTGATGACCAGAGTGGCATTCAACTCACTCGAACAGAGGCCTTTGACCGGCATTGCGCATTGCTGGGCAAGCTTCAACGGATTGCTCTCAAGCATTTCAAGGACAAACTCACCATTTTGGCCTTGTCAAACTACGGGTCTATTGACAAGCGAGAAGAGTTGATATCACATCTCGATCCCCTGACCGATGATGAGCTGCTCGACTTGGTCAATCTTTTGGATCTGAGGTCTGCGTATCCCGAAAGCCTCGGCTTGACCATTGACCGCAAATTCCTCATCGAATTCCTCCTTACTACCTTTGAACGGAAAAAGACCTTCCAGGAGACTGCCCAGAGGATAAGCATAGTCCCGACCGAAGATGCGTTGTTCGACGACAACTTTCAACGGGCGGATTCTTACGATGGTTCACATCCCCTGGCACTTCCGAAGCTCAATCTGCAATATCTCTCGGTTGGTGATTTTGTTTGGAGGGCACTAGTGTTGTACCGCTGCGAATCCTTTTACGGAATCCGCAAGGACATCGAGGCCGCGCTGCGTCGTCTGCGGCCAGAAGTCAGGCGGCCTGGCGAAACTCATTTTGCGGGCTTCTCGAAAATGGCCATGCCCATTGCCAAACCGACAATACTGGAAGTCGTCCCCGCCCTCGTTGGGGATGACAAGCCATCCCTGGTCCGAGCCGAGGTGTATTTCGATGCTCGACGCCTAGGAGATGGTGTGCGCAGGGAATGGGACACTCTTCGACCCGGCGATGTCGTCTTTTTGTTAGCGATCCAGCCCTCCCCTTCGGCCGGCCAAGCTGTCGCAAATGGTAACAAACCGGCCCAGTCAGAGGCTGAAAAGGCTGGTGTCTTGACGGTGAGAGCTGCCGAAGTGGTTCACATCACCGATGACAGAGGGCGCCACGCCAGGGAAGGGGCTGAGCGCCTCGACCAGAGACGACGTATCCAGCTGAAACTGGATTCAGCAACATACGCACGCGATGCTGAGCAAGCAGCAGCCGGCAAGCCTGATGTATATCCAGGCATCAACCTGCTTCTCCGACGCAATAAAAGAGAAAACAACTTCAAGCCGGTTCTAGATGCCATTCGTACTCTCGTCCTGTCGGAAATGCCTCTGCCTACGTGGCTTCATGAAGTATTCTTGGGCTATGGCGACCCAGCCGGCGCACACTACAAAAACCTGCCCAACCGGCTCAAGACGATTGATTACAGGGATACCTTTTTAGGCTGGCAGCATCTGGTCGAAAGCTTACCTGGCAAGACAGTCGAACCTGATGACGATGTTACCGGGAGCTTCGGGCCTCCATATGTCCTTGAAGCCGTCGATAAAACAGAGGAGCCCCAGGGCGGGAAGCCATCCAAGAAACGGCGGCGCGATGCTGAACCAGCGCTGCTCTCGGAAGTGGAAACCCTCAAAGTTTCTACCTACTTGCCCCCCAACAACGGGCCCTACCCCATTGACGCGCCCAAGCAGAACACGGTACGATTTACCCCGGCTCAAATTGAGGCCATCATGTCCGGATCTCAACCCGGGTTGACTGTGGTTGTTGGGCCTCCGGGCACAGGCAAGACGGACGTTGCCACACAAATCATCAACAACATCTATCACAACTTTCCAACCCAAAAGACGCTACTCATCGCCCACAGCAACCAAGCTCTCAACCAGCTCTTTGCCAAAATCATTGCACTGGATATCGACGAGAGACATTTGCTGCGTCTTGGTCATGGCGAGGAAGATCTGGACACTGAAGGCAGCTTCAGCAAATACGGTCGTGTTGAGTCGTTTCTGGACAACCGAGACAGGTTTCTGTATGAAGTAAAGAAGCTCGCAGCGAGCTTGGGAGCTCCGGGGGCGCACGAAAACTCGGCCGAAACCGCAGGCTACTTCAACGCTGCCTACGTCGAGCCAGCTTGGGCCAAGTTTCTTCTGGTGGTGGAATCCGGTGCATCCACCGCCTCTGACATTGTGCAGAACTTTCCCTTTCACTCCTACTTTTCCGACGCTCCCCAGCCCCTGTTCCCACAGGAAGCGGACCGAGCACAAGTTTTGGGCATTGCTCAGGGCTGTTACCGCCACATTAGCAAAGTCTTTTCTGAGTTGGCAGATATTAGGCCCTTTGAGATTCTCCGCCGTGAGAAAGATAAGGCCAACTATCTCCTCACCAACGAAGCCCGGATTATTGCAATGACGACAACTCATGCAGCAATCAGGAGGGGCGAGATTGCGGCCCTCGGATTCCACTACGACAACGTCATCATGGAAGAAGCAGCTCAAATCACCGAGATTGAAACGTTTATTCCTCTTGCCATGCAAAAGCCCATCGACGGCAAGCTGCCGCTACAGCGAATCGTGTTATGCGGCGACCACTTCCAGAACTCTCCCGTTATCCAGAGTTTGGCTTTCCGGCACTACGCCAACCTAGAGCAGTCGTTGTTTTCTCGACTGGTACGGCTAGGCGTGCCAACGGTTACTTTGGATCAGCAAGGTCGTGCTCGGCCATCCATTGCCAAGCTGTACGAGTGGCGTTATCCCAAGCTCGACAATCTCCCCGACGTCCAGACGAACCCAGAGTTCCTGCGGGCGAATGCTGGCTTCAAGTACGACTTTCAGTTCATCAATGTTCCCAATTACAAGGGCCGTGGCGAGGCTGAACCGACGCCGCACTTTATCCAAAACCTCGGCGAAGCTGAGTATGCGGTGGCCATCTATCAGTATATGCGGCTTCTCGGATATCCCGCAGACAAAATCACCATACTCACAACGTACGCTGGCCAACGGGCTCTGGTAAAGGATGTGCTTGCTCATCGATGCGCAAACCCTATTTTTGGTCTCCCCAAGGCTGTTGCCACAGTCGACAAATACCAGGGAGAGCAGAATGACTGTAAGATTGCTACCTCTCGATTTTGAACCTTTGAATACTTGGACACTAATGGCCGCTTTCTTAGACATTATTCTTTCTCTGACTCGCACGTCGCGAGTGGGCTATCTTCGCGACGTCCGTCGCATGACTGTGGCCTTTTCCCGAGCGAGACTAGGGCTCTACGTCCTGGGACGCCGAGAGGTGTTTGAAGCCTGCCCCGAGCTCCGACCAGCGTTTGACGTACTTTTGCAGCGTCCAGACAAACTCATGTTGGTGACTGGAGAGCTGTTTCCCACTGAGCGGCAAAGCACAGATGAGGACGGTCCCGTGGAAGGAGAAGTAGTCATGGAGGGCGTCGAGCACATTGGGCAGTATGTGTTTGAGATGACGAATACAAGGATGCAGCAGCTGCAGGCAGAGCAGGGCGTGCTGATGGACTCTACAATCGATGAGGCGGAGGAAGAGGGGCAAGAGGGGTATTACGACGACGAGGATGAAAAGACTCTGGACCCGGACATTCTTGAGGTCCGAGAGGGGGAGGCGAACTAGGCGTCGCGTTTCCGAAGGATATAGAAATGAAACGGAGAAGGAAAGAAAGAAAGAAAGAAAAACAAAGGGATTAATGTTCGTTTGTTTGAGGATGGGGGGGTGGGTGTTTAAAGGGGGGGTTTTGTATTGAGAAAATGAAATTGCAACATTTGTGCTTGGAGGGACATGTTTTGGGGGTTTCTTCCCTTTCTTTCTTTCTTTTAGACTATGGCAAAATGATGAAAGATTTTCTGATGGTTTGGGTTTGTTGAAGATGAGCATGTGATTTGATGTGTGGTTGCGTGGGGGGAAGATTGAAGTGCGTCAGTGAGAAGCGGGTGATCTGCGACGTGCAGATGGTCTGGGTGCGACGCTGTAAGATTATTGGTCTCTAAGTGATGGTTTGTGTGTTTTTTTTTAATATCATCTTTGGGACTTCCTATATTTCCTAGGATCTTTATTTTCATGGCTCTGCAGGAATTGAAGTGAGGCCCTGGTTTTCTCTGGGTTTGGTACAAGAGGTGATCTTGTTGGATTGAAGAGGCAGAAGCTTACCCGGGAGTAAATAATTTGCACAGTGAACAAAGGACGTGGATCATAAGATAGTATAGAGACACCTATTTCTTTTCTTATGTTTTATTCCAGGCGTGTCTATGTTGGCGTTCCTATTTTATCAATTTCATAAACACTAAAGGCTGCTGACACTTCACCTTGAAAACAAGCCTATCTTCTGTGACAAAGTGAGGCATCACGAAGAGCATAGTGTCCGAGAGCCCAGCGTTTCGGAATTACTACACGTATTTGTCTCGGCGAAAAGGATGCCGACGATTTCGAATTGTCATCAGCTGATGGGCGGGTGGCTTCAAGTTACTTTCCCCAACGGTTTGTACTACAGAGACTGGGATGGAGGATGGGCAAACTGATGATTGGCATAGGCAAAAAGGTCCATGACGGGTGACGGTATTTTCCGCTGTACATTTGATAGATGTGAGCTGTAATTGTTCCGCCATTTTCGGTTCTGGCTAGCACTTGTTGTTTCCAGTTGATCTCACATTCTATAACGACAACAAGGCTCTAGAGACATTATTCTTTGATATCATCAACAACAGACAGTGCCCTAAAAGAGGAGTTTCGCACATGGCTCGTCACTACAGTAGATAACAAAAAAAAAAATAGGGCGCTAATAGGAACTAAAAAAAGCAAAGAGCTCCAGTGATGAAATGAGCGCCGATAGAGGAAAAGAAACCCTTTACGATTTTTTTTTCTTTCGAGTCATACGCACACACCCCGGGGTAAGCAGACTAAAATCGTTGTTCTTCCCTTCTTTCTGCGTTTGCATGTGGTGAAATGAGATGGCCTTGGCGGGCTGCTAATCAAGGCGCTTATTAAAGGCGATGGCAAGTGATTGGGCTGTTTTGGTGCTTTGGGCGGGTGGTTTTTGATGGATTTCGCACATTTTGAATGTCACTTTTCATTTCGCTGGATGGGGGAGTACTTGTAGATTTCGTTGTCTTTTTGTCTGTGAGCATGTTCAGATGCCCTCTATATCCTGTCCATATTGTGTTACGAGGTACCTACTATAGGTAGCAGGCAACCAAGATGTACTCTGGGCGAGAAGATACCTCGCACAGTATTGGGATGCTCTCTTCTAGGTTAGTAGTACCGAGTAAGAAGTACCTAAGCCGTCAGTACAATCCCCCGTATCTTTTGTTCCCCCTCTTCTGTTTTATTTTTCTTTTCTTCTTTTTTAATTTGCTCTTGCTGGGCCTGGTGGAGAATGATTCTGGGGAGCTGAAAAGGGAACGGAAAAACAATTGAATGGAAACAAATTGTGGCGTAGTGGTACGAAGAAGAGGTACGTACCAAGGCGCCGGAATGGCGGGAGCCAACTGCAGTAGCAGAATTGCCGTCTCAGCTCGAATCAGGTACCAAGTGCCCAGTACTTTAATACCTGTAGGACCAAGACACTGCAGTTCAACTCATCAGCCACTTCAACCTCAGCTTCTGCTCTGTTGTCTATAGTATATGCTCCTTTCATATTGTGAAATCTCGATCCGTGAACATAAACATGTTTATTCGAATCTTCAAGTCTACAACGATGCAATACAAAGCTACACACAGTACAGAGAGGCCTGAATCTGGCATCGGGCCTGCATGTAGAGACAAACGCCGCTGCCTCGCACACCGCTCGCGGCAGAGTAGCCTGGCAAACTCCCTTGAGCTGACTGCATATTACAGCACTGTTCATGGAACGTGAAACTGCAGCATGCATTTCCATGCATCTTCAGACCCGGTTTCTGCAATACTATCGTCTCCCCAGAGCCCTGGACGGTGGCTTTGTTGTTGACGTGGCCCAGCTACTTTAGGTACTGTACAGGAGCCCGGAGTATAAACCGCGCTCTGTTAACGCCGACAACGCCATTTGGAAATAAGGGCAGAAAACCCCGGAAACTCGGCGGAAAGCTTCTACCGTGGAAAGACTAAATGTAACACAGCGTAGGCACTGCCAAACAGCCTACCTACAGTACTAGGTAGTCCTTCGAAAAAAGACCCGCCGATGAGTCAGTGCCCAGCAGCGAGATGTCACATGTGATTCTCTGTCTCAAAGACGGGGATGGCTTCCTCCGCAGGCACCAACGCCACATGGATGGGCTGTGCTAAATGGGGATTGTAATATGCTGGCAAAGATTCACTGAGAAGCTCGTTGCTCACTGTTGAAGACGAGAGCTCGGGACGTTTGTACGATGGGAAAGGTACTCTGGACATTGACGGCGCAGAATCAGAGGGTTGAGAGATGAAGTTCAAGTCACGTGCTGATAGCATCAAGTAAGCCCACGTCTTGTCGTTGACGATGCATTCCTTGCCGTTTGCCCAGCAAGTAAATTATCACTATTTTTCATGCGTTGAGACGCTCGAATGGGTGATTTCTAGAATATTGTACCGGTAAAAGGACTGTTAGAATTGTATCGTCGTCCTGGAATCAAAAAGGCAAAGCTAGTCTCCAGTATCCCCAAACCATCAAAACGACATGGATAACGGGATCGACGAAATGCCGCTACGAACTACTAACCCAGTAGAGAAGTGGCATTTGCAAACCCTGGCGTGAGCAATGAGAAGTAGTTTAAGAGAGACGTCTGCGTCACCACGACGAGCAGTCAGTGAACAAGAGTTTCCGCCTCGATTTAGGTTAGGTACCTCCTAGTAGGCAAAGTTACCTAGGTGGTCCACTTTGGCCGTGGGGAGATATCGAGATTGAGGCTGGCTGGCGCAGAGTTTCCGTGATGCCGACAAGGTTTTGTTTGTTTGTCTGCTACAAAGTGTGTAGATGTAAGTGAGTTTGCTGTTTGCCCTGCCAACCGATGGCGGCCAGAAGCAGCTGTACTTTGATTGAAATGATGGTAGCCAGGCCGATGCATCTTCCTTTTACATCTACACACACTCACCCCTTCCAAGCAGAATAGCAACATTGTGCCAAACCACACGAGCAAACACACTCTCATATTTCCTCCTCCTCCTCTCTTCTGGTCTACGGGCATATACAATACTATACCTCCCAGCACAGTCACCAGCTGGTGTATTACTACATTGGTACCGTCTGGGTACTTGTTACGCCCGCAAACCACCCGCCAGACGCCAAGTATATACCCGGACCCCTCCAAACCAGCCCCAAAAAAAAAGAAGAAAAAAAAAAAAAGAGAAAGAAAGAAAGAAAGGCGTGTAGGGAAAGAAAGTCCCAGCCCAGTCCCTAGCGCCACCCCTCTCTTAGTGGCCACTGACTGCCCCTTCCGCCCACATCCATATCCTAATTCCTGCTGCCCAAAATTTTCTTACAACTTCCTCTCCAACCCTCACCACTCCAGAATCGTCTCAGTGGCCGGTGGAATCTCCCTCACCTGGTCCTTTTTTCCTCCTAGCATTGAGCGTCTTCTGAAGCCTCGGTAACAGAAGATTGATTTCATTGCTCTCCTTTAGACGCCGCGCGGGATCGTAGCCAGCCTCAGTCTACGGTCGTTTCCCCCCACTCGGTCGCTTTCTTTGTCCTCGTCGTCTCGATCCAGGCTCGCCTCCCGGTCGAACCAACGAACGAACGAAGCAATATCCTCTCTCGGCTGTGTTCTTGATTTACTTCGAGAACAGTCTTTGTTTTTTTTTTCGGGCATCGCCTAGCTGATTCTCAACGAGATCTGCGGAAAACTCGTCTCGGCTTTCTTTTTTTTTTTTGGCCCTCACTTTTGGCCCCGCCACCGACCAAAAAAAAAAATTTAATCAAAAATCAAAACACCAACCACTCCTTCGTTTTCCGCATCGCGAATCGCCTCTCCCCATATGACGTCGCCTGCGAACCAGCAGACTCCGATCCCGGCGACCACCACCAACGCTCCTACGGCAACTTCATATGCCTCCGCAGCAGGTGCGCCAAAGAAGTCCGCCCAGGCGCCTGTAGTTGCGCCCTCGTCCAACGCCCCTCTGGTCGTTGGCTCCTCTGCCCAGCCGGCACAGAATGCCAAGGCAGCCTCATCGCCTTCTCCAGTAAACGGCAAACAGGCCGTTCCTCCCGCAGTCCCGGCCGTCGCCCGCGGCTCCTTCAACGGCTCCGGCCCCGATCACTTTCGAAAAGGCTCCGTCACCATGGCTGCCAACGGCCCTAGCGGCTACGTCGCCAATGGTGGCTCCATTGGCGGTGCCAAGTCTGGAATCCAGTTTGGCTACGACTCGCCCGCCATGGGACACAGCACTCCTCAGGTCGGCCACTCTGCTCCCATCCCGGTCCCCGATGCGAACAACAATCACCGAGTGCCTTCTCCCGCCCACTCTCCTGCTCCCATCCCGCAGCCCTCTGCTAGCGGTGGCCGACCTCCGTCGAGCTTGCAGCAGCCAACGAACCAAATGACCTTTGGCAGCCTTGGTAGCGACGGCGATGTATGCTCCCCAATCCAACTTGATCCTCCAACTTGATAGAAATGACTGATCTGACAATGCTTCTAGCGCCACATGAGACAAGGCTCTGTGCCTCCCAACTCGACCCTGGGATCTCAGGGCACACACTTCCGCCGCGAGTCGAGCCATTCCGTGCAGAGCGACAGCAGCCGTGGCAACTTTGGCCCTCAGAACAACCGACCGAACCGGGGCTCTTTCAACCCCCATGCCACTCAGTTCAACAACCAGATGGGATACCCTCCCAACAACCAGTTTCGACCTCCGGGCCAAAACCGCGGCATGCCTCCTCCTTTCCAGCCCGGCATGACTCGACCCTACCCGAACTCGCCTCAACCTGCCCGGAGCCCTGCTCTGGCTACCCTCAACCCTTCGCTCCCCGGCACGCCGAACATGCCCCCCGCGACGATGCAGCCCAACATGGCCATGCAGAATCCTCCCACATATCACTATCCGCCACCGATGGCGGCTCCTCATCAGCCACAAGTACAGTACCCCCTTCCTGCAGTAGTCAACAAAGTGAATTTAAAGCCCAGTTGCAAAAAGACAAAGGGCCGTCGTGAGCGCGACGGGCCTCTTCAACCGGGACGCCCCTTGAATTCCGCGCGCGAGCCATGTACCAGCGACGTTTTGCAGCAGCCGCAACCGCAACCGCAGCAGCAGCAGCAGCCGCAGCAACGCCGTTTTGGTGGCAATGGCCAGCGTGCAGATCCAATGTGGCGTCACGACAAGAACAACATGCGTCCGGTTTCTAGTGGAATTCCAAAGGACTGCCCTCCTCCCTCTATCCCCGTTGTCAACCCCCCAAGCCACCCAACCTCGCTTGACCTTTCTCCTGAAAACGGAGGATTTGAACTCTGGCTAACATGGAAGAATCAGACTTTCGGTTTCCCCCCTCAGCAGATGAGCCAGTATGGCCAGCCCATGCCATACTATCCTAGCGGGATACCATACATGGGCCCTCAGCCAAACTCTCAAACTTACAACCCGCAGTTTGCCCCCCCTACTTACCACCAGCAGAGCCACAGCATGTCCCGATCGCCCTCACAGCCTGAGCGGCCGGTCAGCGCCAGCCAGCCCAGCCAGCCCGCCATTGTCACATCAAACCCCGCAGTCGTGAACTCCCAGCCAAAGCCCCAATCCTTTATCAAGCCCAGGAAGAGTGCCGCGGTTCAAATTAAGAATCCTGCTGGCGAGGTTGTCGATACTTCCACTTTCAAGCAGCCGGCGTCTCCTGTGCCCAGCACTCATCAGACCAAGACTCCTCCTGTTGTCGCAACGTCCACTCCTCCTCAACAGAAACTCGACACGCCCACTCACGCCCGCACAGACAGCCAATCGCCGTCAAAGACGGCCAAGGAGATTCAGGACGAGTTGAAGGCCAAGATCCAGGCTGAGATCAGGGCTGCTGCTAAGGCCGCTGCCGCCAATGATACCAAGCCCAAGGAAGAGGAGAAGAAGGAAGTGGCAGAGGAGCCAAAGGCCGAGGTCAAGCCCGAAGTCAAGCCCGAAGTCAAGCCCGAGGTCAAGGCCCAGCCCGAGGTGGCACCCGAAGTCAAGCCTGAGGAGAAGAAGGCAGAGCCTGCCGAAACCAAGGTGGAGGCCAAGCCTGAGCCTCAACCGGAGGCTCCCGCCAAGGTCGAGACGCCAGCCCCTGAGAAGCCTGCCGAGGTTGCCAAGACTGAGGAGGCCCCGAAAGCAGAGGAGCCGGCCAAGACTGCCCAGGAGACTGAAGATGAAGAGCTTGAGCGAATCATCCGGGAGATGGAGGAAGCGGATGCCAAGCGTGAGGCAGAGCAAGAAGAGCGCCGCAAGAAGAGAGAGGCTGAGAAGGCCGCACAAAAGGCGGCTGAGGAAGCAAACAAAAAGACGAATGCCGAAGAAGCAGACCGCAAGCTGCGCGAGCAGGAGCGCGAGATGGAGAGACTCGAAGAAGAGAAGGAGAAGCGACGAGAAGCCGCCGAGTCCACCGGAAAGTCTCTCTCCGTTGCTGAAGCTCTTGCTCAGATGCGTGATGGTGGTGATGGCCAGGGCAAGAAGGATGAGCCTGCTGACTCTGTTGCCGATAAGCTCGCCGACATGAGCATTGGCGACAAGTCTGCCGATGCTGCCGGCCAAAAGGAAAAGCGAGTTGCCAAGCCCGCCGCTCTTAACCTGGCTCCTATCAAGACCAGCGCCGTGGAGCCACCTCAGCCCAGCGCTGCTCTCCAGTCCTTGAAGTCGGCTCGCTTCCTCCAGGTCATGGATCAGAACATTTACCCCGAAGGCATCAAGTCTCCTAACCCGGCCCTCAACGCCGCCGTTGCGAAGAAGGGCAAGACATTCAAGTACGACGCTGCCTTCTTGCTCCAGTTCCAGAAGGTCTTCACTGAGCAGCCCTCGCTTCAGTTCGGACAGCAGATTAAGCAGCTGATTGGGGATGGTGATGGCAACCGATCTGCATCTCGGGGCCAGACCCCCAGCTCTGCCAGGCAGGGATCCCGCGGCGGAGGCGGTTTCCCCGGCGGCACGTTTGGCGTTCCCACCGGACGTACTCTGCCTCCAGGAACCACATCTGCCGACCGCATGGCCATTGCCAGTGGCACTCTGCCGCGGCCCCAGGTCAACCCGATGGCGTCCTTCCAGCGTCCCGGCGCCGCTTTCCCCGGATCCTCTTCCATGTCCCGCACTTCTTCCCAGAACATGCGCAACATGCCCAACTCCCCGCGCCAGTCCAGCAGATCCACTCGTGGTAGCCGACGCAACGACCTTGCTGCCAAGGAAGCACAGGCTGCTAAGACCATGCCTCTTACTGCCGGCATAGAGGTCAAGCCTATTTCCGTTTCATCTACTGGCTGGAAGGCTAGCAGTCTTAGCAAGGCTCCTACCGCCGCTCCTCAGCCTGGCTCTGGCCAGCTCCTGGACCCCGAAACGGTTCAGCGAAAGGTCAAGGCTGCTCTCAACAAGATGACGCCAGAGAAGTTCGACCGCATTGCGGACCAGATCCTCGTCATTGCCTCACAGTCAAAGGATGAGTCCGATGGACGCACGCTGCGCCAGGTCATCCAGCTCACCTTTGAGAAGGCCACCGACGAAGCCCACTGGGCTTCCATGTACGCCAAGTTCTGCAAGCGCATGCTTGAGACTATGAGCCCTGATATTCGCGATGAGAACATCAAGGACAAGAATGGCAACGTCGTCAGCGGTGGTAACCTCTTCCGCAAGTATCTCTTGAACCGATGCCAGGAGGAGTTTGAACGTGGCTGGACGTCCAACCTGCCCGAGGCCCCCGAAGAAGAGGCCGACAAGAAGCTTGGAGAGACTGCTATGCTGTCTGATGAGTACTACGCCGCCGCCGCCGCCAAGCGACGAGGCCTCGGTCTCGTTCAGTTCATTGGAGAGCTGTTCAAGCTGGGCATGCTTACTGAGCGTATCATGCACGAGTGTGTACACAAGCTCGTCGATTATAAGGGAATACCCGACGAGGCCGAGATCGAGTCACTTTGCAAGCTGCTTCGCACTATTGGTGCCAACCTCGACGAGACCGACAAGGGCCGTCCCATGATGGACATTTACTTCCAGCGTATTCAGGGAATGGCTGATCTACCCGAGCTACAGAGCCGTATGAAGTTCATGCTCATGGATGTCATTGATCTGCGAAGAGCGCGCTGGGTGTCCAAGGAGGCCAACAAGGGCCCCAAGACCTTGGACGAGGTTCGCGCGGAAGTGAGTTTCAACCCCCTCTCCCTTCTCCTTTACTACGGGAATACTAATCAACGTTAATTCAGGCCGAAGCTGCACAAGCCGCCAAGGCTCAGGAAGCGGCACGAACCAGCCAGCGAGGTGGCCCCGGCGGTGGCCGCCCTCCTGTTGGCCGTGGCGATGCTCGAAACTTCTCTGGAAACTTCAGCCAGCCGGTCAGCAACCAAGTTGGCATGGACGATCTCAGACGCCTGAAGGGCTCGTCTGTCAACCGAACCTCGAGCTCAAATGTCACCCTGGGCCCCGCATCCATGCTGTCCTCTCGTAGCAACAGCGGACGACGATTCGGACCAGGTGGCGCTCTTGGTCGTCCTGGCGATGACTCCAACGGCTCGTCCCGCGCTGGAACTCCTGGCCCAACAAGCTCTAATGCTTTCAGGTAAGCATTCCCGGTTCCCTCTTCCTCCCCCTACCAAACACACCCCATACTGATACTTTTTTTCCCCCTCTCTAGCTTGCTAGCCACTATGGATAATGACCACCCGGCCTCCCCTCCGTCTGCTGGACCCTCGCCTCTCATGTCAAAGGCAGTCCCTGCCAGTGACAAGAAGGACAATGAATAAAAAGACCAATTTCTTTATTCTCGGTGTCTTTGCATTTTTGGGGGGGGATAGACTCGGCGGGGTTGTGTTTTTTTTCTTGCATTTACAAGGCTTTCATGCGACGTTTTCACTAAAAGTTTGAGCACGCATTTCACACGCGATACCTTTTGCCCCATAGACCATTTGACCAATCGAGTGGACAGATGTGGCCTCCCTCAAAGAAGAGGAGATAGGGGGCACTTTTTTATTCTTTTTTTTTACTATTTTCTACCGTCTTCCGGACTAGGGATTCACCATGCCTTTTTTTATTCATGATTGTGTTTATACCTTCTTCTAATGTCCCCTTTGGTGTGCTCCAATTCTTAATGTTGAGTGGCTCGGAAACACGAGAGAGAGAGAAAATAAGGACACAACTGATGTCATCATCTCCCGGCATAAAAAGGGGCTATGCGTGGAAATCATGGACGCAATTACCCCCAGCTGTCAGTTTTGAGGCCAATCGGCGAGATGATAGAATGCCCACACCCGAGACTTTGTGAAGGGGGGGAATGGAAAGCACAAATGGGATGCGTCGTGTTTGGAAGTCGAGGTTTTTTAACATGAAATTTCAAGATTCAAGACGCTCATGGTTGACAAAAAAGGCAATACTGGATGGGCTACTTTTGTCTGGCCAGCAAAATGATGATGTATTTATGAAGGAGTGTGAAAAACAAAAGGGGGGTTTTGGAGGAGGAAAGACGGATCCGGGACGGAATATGGTGTGTGGTTTTACAAATCGGGGGGGGGGGAGGTCTTGATATCTGATATTTATTCCTCATGTTGCCCTGAACCAATTTTCTCGTTTTGCAGATTTTTTTTGTCTCTCGTTATGTGTGACTGTGTGTGCGTGTGTGTGTGTGCGTGTATGTGTGTTGATGGATGGGATGTTTATGACTCCTTTTAATCATCATTGGTGTTTTAACTGCTTTTTCTGATTTGGTTCTTCCATTTGGGAGCGGAGGATCATGAGCAGAAAGAAAAAGGGGGGAGGATGAGAAGAGCCAGAATGAGACTCGAGAGTAACTTCAAAGGGAGACGTAGCACCTTCATGCTGGTAATTTGGGAAATAATGCCTGTTGATCTGGTGAATGGTTCACTACCTAATAAATAGCACCGGCATCAGATTGTCCTTTACCCCAGTTACACATTCCTCCTTCGATACGTGATACAAGTAACCTCTCATGTGTACACAACCAGCTCTTGCTTTGATTACAAGTATAAAACGTCTCCCTAACCAATATCAACACGGCAAAAAAAAAAAGTCATGTCTTGCATGATATATATCCCAAGTCCCAAAAACTCCAAAGCGCCCCTCAGATCTGCTTAATCAATCATCTTGCCCTTGTTTTCTTTTTCTTCCCATCATACCCAACACTCCCAACCCATGTCATGCAAAAAGATATGTTTGTTCATCCTCCCCAGAGAAATCACACAGTATAAAACATTCCATCATGATTGCATTGTCTCGCCCACGTCCTATGAGGCGGCAACAGCAGCAGTCGAGACAGAGCCCAGCATCTTGCTGAACCCAAGCTTCGTAAACAACGTGTCCATGGCGACCCATTGCCTGCCACACTTATCCAGATACTTGTCAACAACCGTCTTGACAGTGGTGAAGCGTACACGGTTGTGCTCCGCCATCGCCCGGATCTTTTCCCGTTCTTGTGCCGTCAGGTCATTGTTGGCATCGCCGGCCTTGGTCTTTGCCTTGTCTACGTCCCACAAGCTGGCAAAGTAAACCAGTTGGTTATAGATTGCCTTTTCGGTATACTCGTAAAACATCTTGCCAGTGCAGTCACGCGCCAGGCCCTTTGGTCCCAAACAGCATGTGCCGTAGACGCTCATCTGCCGGGTACGGTTGCCACACTGCGGATCATTACAGACGAGCCAGCCTTCGTAGTACCGGGACGTCTGGAGGCGAACCGCATGCTCTACCTGCGCTACAACAGACAGGGTCGGGATAACTGCACCGCAGCCAGGGCAGGTGACGCCCGACGCGGTAACGCGATCAGGGGAACCCATAAGGCCTTCGAAGTCAGTAGTGGCTTTGCATTTGCGGCAGCGGAGAGCGAGGCGTTTACAATCGACGAAACGGACCTCGTCGGGAATCTGAGACTCGAGAGGGTGGATTTCGAGATCGTCGCTCGAGCCGCTCTGTTGTGCTTGGGTAGATGTATACCGGCGAACATCCAAGCCCAGCTGTTCAGCCAGCTGCGATGTCGAGGTGCCCGCAATGTTGGCACACAGACGTTCCACAGGCGGGAAGATCTGCTTGGCAATGTACCAGTCCACGTCGGGCTGCAAAGAGGGATCAGCCTTGAGGTCTGGCGGAGCATAAGCACGCTTCGGCGCAGGCTCCGAGCTTTGGCTGGTGCCCGTCACAATGTAGGAAATCACATCACCCTTGCGGACGGTTTTGCCCCTGGCCATGTCGCGGAGGGCGACTTGCACTTGAGGCATGGAGTCGGCATTGGGGTATTCCTTGGGGCTCTTTCCGAGCTGCGTGTAGATGGTGTACTTGGGCACGGGGATCGCAAAGTCGCGCATCTTGGTGGCAATATCGCGCAGGTATTCGTGGATGCGGGCCACGGACACCTCGATATCGTCTCCAGACAAGATGTCGTCAAGCAGATGCTTAGAGACCTCCTTGGAGAGCGCACAGTACTCACGACGCCTCATATCCAAACCTTTCACCTCCATCTTCTCGATGAATTTACCATCCTTTTCAATGAGGTTAATGGCGGCGTACTTCTTCTTGGCTTGCAGCAAGATGCGACGGAACACGTTGTCAATGTCAATTTCCAGCAGCCTGTACTGCTCGTTGACGGCCTTCTTGAACTCGTTGCCGACCTTGAAGGCGTCTGCAACGTTATCGACGTTGGCGTTGATCATGACGGAGTCCGTGTCGCCGTAGATGACTTGCAGAGATTTGCTCTCGGCAAGATCCTTGGTGCTGCGTAGAATTTCTCGGCCCTTGTGCGTGGTCAAGATGGCGAGGGGCCGAGCATAGAAACGGGACCGGGTATAACCCAAACAACCGTACATGGAGTTGGCTGTAAGCTTCAAGGCCAGCTGTTTAATGTCCCAAGTAGCAAGCTCTTCGGGCGTGGCCTTTTTATCCTTCATTAGATTCTTGACTTGGCGACGACGGCTGACGAGTGTAGCAATGAGGCGAGGGAGAATGCCCTGGTCTTGGTTAACAGGTACTTCGGGGACAGCGTCTTCATCCTCGGCCTAAATGATTCATGTTAATGAGGGCTGTTTGGAATGGAGAGATTTGCAGATGCTCTTACCGATGCCGTTCTATCCACAGTGGTAAAGCAGATGTTGAACTCCTGGATGATGGAAGGATACAGAGAGTTGAAATCCATGACAAGGACAAACTTGTCATAGAGACCCTTTTCTGGTTCAAAGACGAGACCACCCTTGTACTTGTCCTTTTTCTTGCCTTCGCCTCCCTCGTCCTCGGCATGCTCCTCCTCGGCCTTTTGCCGGCCCTTGAATGTCTGCTTGTCGGGACAGATGTACTTGCTGCGGTGGAATTCGTGGAGGAGAATGTATTCGTTTCGCTCAGCGCGAGTACCGGTCAGGGTACGAGCCCAAGAGTTGCCAGCCAAGTTGGTCAAGACCTTGGTGAGAGGCAGCAGCTGTACACTGACAGCCAGCGCGGCAATGTAGTGCGTATCAGCTTCCATATGCGTCACGTAGTCCATGAGGCCCTGGCTCTCCTTGGCCCAGGTGTTGAGAGCCACTTCATTGTCGACATCACGACGGCGGTTGTCACCTGTGAGATATAGGCTGCACATTTCCGTCAAGCTCCACGTTTGACACTTGAACATGGCGGACTTTCCTGCATCGTTGGCGAGATCGCACAGCAACCGGCCGGCCATGACCTGACGCTCGGCAAACACGTTGCCGCCAACTTTTCCAATGGCAGATGGCCACTGGGTTCGTCGCAGCCTTCCGAGCCTCGACCACTGATGGACCTTTTTCTCAAACAGACGGTGCAGGAGCACGCTGTAATCAACACCTTCCAGCTGGTGGCCGAGGATTACATCGGGATCTGCTACGTCAACCTGGGCCAAGAAGAAGCTCAGCAAGTCGGATTCTTGTTTCTTCAGGACAATGAGACCCCTGTCTCTCTTCTTTACGAGCGCGTCAAAGCCCATGGGAAAGGCCTGTCCGTGAGGCCGAATGACGGTAAACGTTCTGCACGGGAGCTTCTCGGCGGGGGTTGTGTCGCTGAGATGCACCTTGTCGTAGATTCGCGCACTGATGGCAAGGACTTCTTGCTTGTTCTCCTTTGCGTTGAAAGCCGTTCGGAGAGCGATGCTCATCAGCGTCAGCGGGGGCATGTCCATGTTGTCAGAGTCGCTGATGGTCGACACCATGTTGGGGTGTTCGGCCAACACCTCGAGCTTGCAGTGAGAGGCATTCTTGATGGCACCAAAGTCGGCATCTTGGATCTTGAGCCAGCAAGGGCCCATGATGTTCTTCCAAAGGACAAACTGCTCGAATAGGGCAGTGTTGGTGCCAAAGACGTGGGAAAAGGTCTCTCCCTTTGCATCCATGTTGATTGCGGGTTTTGTGTAAGGATACAAGAGCTTCATGTACTCGGCTTCCTTGGGGATCTCGGACAGCTCAAAGGCATATTTCCGCTCGCACTTTTTGATCTTGTACATGCCAACATTCATCTTGGTCATGATGTCGTCAACTTCGTCGTAGACTTCGCCCATATTTACTTCCTCTCCAGTTTCTTCACCATCCCGGACGCGCTGTTGACGGGGTAAAAAGTAGAGTTTTCTGAGGATATTGTCAATCTTGACAAAGCAGCTGACGTATGATTGTGTCTTCTTGTTTAGCACTTTGCCAAAGAGACAGAGACTGCCATTGATTTCGGTATAATCAGTCCAGAAGAAGTTCAAGGATCCATCAGCCTCGATGGCGTCATTGTGGTCTATTTTGCCAATACCCTTGGACTCCGACATGGGGATGCTCACGACGTTGAGCTTCTCCGTGAGTTCGTTCCAAGATGTGGGATCGACCGAGACGTCTGGGGCCTTGATGGGGGACGAAGCCACCGCCGGCTCTTCCTTGATAATCTTCTTCACCGGTCGAGAAGCTGCCATGTTTACACTGGCAACCTTGACAGCGCCGGCATGAGCAACCTCCATCATATCGTCGTCGTCGTCGCTTTGCGGCTCTTGCTTTACCAGGGCCTTGCGTTGGGCGACTTTGGCCGCGGGGGAGGACGGCGCCGGGTCGCTCATGGGCATCATGGGCTCGTCATCAATCAAGGGTGCGAAGTCGTTGTCGTCGTCGTCAAAGCTCGCAGGTGCGGGCTCTGGTGACGGCAATCGAACATCAACCCGCTTCTGCTTCTTGTGGCTGGGCTCCGGCGCAGGGGATAAGTCTCGGGCCCTGCGTCTTTCACCACCAGCCCGCTCGACCCTGGATGCCCTTGGAGCTGGAGCGGGAATGTTGGCGTCTACCTCTCCGAGGAGGTCCGTAAGGAAGTCATCGTCGGCCTTGGTCTTGGTAACCTGCAGTCCCGTTAGGTCATCTGGAGGGACTTTCGAATGATGATGCCGGACGGACGAGCCATACCTTTGGTTTGGGCGGTGCTTTACCGGCGCCCTTGGTAAAGTACTCGGTGATGCTGCGGTCGTTGGCATCCCGCTTGGCCTGCTCTTCCTCGCGGCTCTTTTTGGCTGCCTCTGTGATGAGCAGTGGAAAAGACAAGAAGAGAAACAGCTGCAACCCCCCGCTCACCTGATTTACTCGGCCTCCCACGCACCGGCAGCTCGTTTTCTCCCTGGCTGTCTGATTCGTACTGCCGCACTCTGTCCCAGTCCTCGCGGCCGTCGTCGGCATAGCCCTCGCCATTGTCGTCGACCACAAAGTCGTCCTGATTCAGGCGGTCTCGCACAATCTCCTTGTAGCCGGCCTCGTCCACCTCGTCGTAGAGATTGTCGGCATCCTCAACCTGGTAGCTCTCAAAGGCCTTCTTGCCCGCTGCACGGAGGGCCTTGAGCTCGGCGAGCTTTGCCCGGCGGTCGACCTTTGGCATGGCGGAATAGCTGTGGATTTGTTTTAGGGTATCATGAAATCGTGAAGGAATGTCGAGTCAAGGCCACTCGCTTGTTGTGGTGAAGAAAAAAGAAAAGATACGGCGAGAGAGAGGCCCAGTCGTTTGTTGGAGGGTCCGCCTGTGAGGTGAGGTACGAGTACATCCCACATGCCCTAGCCAGCATACACTGATCAGGTACTGCCAGGTTCTCTCCAGGCCTGCAGAAAGCGCGTCTTTACGCGTGAGTCGCGTTGTTGCTCGACACGCTAATAAATGGCCACCTCAATTAATTGGCAGCAAAAGTGACGTGGGGCAGCTCATGCATCTAAGAGGCGATATGGATTTGTCGAGGTCAGCGTCTCATGCCACCAAAGCTGCCCGTGTAAGTCCACAACTTGCCGATAAAGGATATAAAACAGCAGACGGAGATGAGAAAAAGAACGATAAAGGAGAGATGCATAGTATTCTAATATAATTCCAAAACAAGACCAAGGATATCTTGTCACAAGGTACCACCATGATGTACAAAAAGCTACTACTACATACCTATGCATGTACATGTCTAAATCATACACTCGTGAATCTTACACCTCGCACATTTGCTTGAGCCTCCTCCTCCATCTACCTCTGGCTGCTGCTGTTTCTGTTGCTACTCCATGACCTCCTTGGCCGTCTCTCTTCCTCTACTCCCCATGATCTCCTAGGACGTCTTTCTTCTTCCGATCCCCACGACCTCCTAGGACGTCTTTCTTCATCTCCTTTCCATGACCTCCTTGGTCGCTCTTCTTCTTCCCCTTTCCACGACCTCCTTGGTCGCCTTTCTTCTTCCACCTCGGCTTGTCTCGACGTATCCCACACAAAATCGCCAGCCGGCCTGAATTCGGTACTAAACCTGTCCTCCCCACTGCCCCCTTCATACTCTTCAGCCGTGTCTTCTCGGCCAGACTTGCGCAGGTTGGGCTCCCTGTCCTCACGACCCGAGAAAAACTTTTGAATCTCGCGGTTTATTTTCGCACCGACCACTCGAATGTCCTTTTCGTCCTTCTCGTCAAGCATCTTTTCGTTGATGACCTTGTTGAAAGCGCTAAACATGTGACGAGCCAAGGCAATGACCTCGCGCTGGCTGTTATATAGCGCCCCTGTGCTAGCATCCTTGCCCTTTGGCTTCTCCTTGAAGAAGTGATAGTGAACTTTCTTGTAAGGTTCCCAGAGATGGGCAAGGGCAGTTGTGATTTGCAAGCCATAGTCACGCTTGGCTTTTTCTACCTCTTCCTCGTCGCCCTCTTTGAGTCTTTCGCGGAACTGAAAATGGCTGACCAGCGCAACCCGCAAATACAGACGAAGGGTGTGCAAGTCTGGAACGGGGAGGCGCTCCAGCATGGAATCAAGCACTCGACTCGAGTTATCAATGGCATTGGGGTTGATGTTATCGCGGACACAGGTTTCCATGGCGATGCGGTAGTGCTTCGCATCAATGTATTCGTCGGGCATCAGGCTCAAGATGGACGAGGCGTGGCCGCTTGCCTTGGCAACTTTGAGCATGCCAAACATGCGCAGCCAGTTGTCGTTGTCCGGTAGGACACCATAGTAACGGACCAGGAGGTTCCAGTACTTGATACCGCACGTTGTGAGCTTTGACGAGGCCAGGGCTGTGAGGACCAGGGCCAGGGTATTGCGGCCGGGGACAGCATAGACAGCTCTGGTTGAGGGCACCTTCTTCGGGGCGCCCGTAACAGCAATCTTTTCCATCTGAGAATCTTGGAATGCGTCCATGCCAGCATCCTTGGCCAAGTTGGGTATGCTCATGGTCTGGTATAGCAAGTCGAGCACCTCCTTCTTCTGCTCCTTAGTGGGGGCAAGGAGTAGGACACGGCCCATGGAGCACACCAGCTCTTCGTCTATGACCAGCTGGGCCTTTCTCCATTTGTCAATGACTTCAAGCCAGATGATTTTTGCGCGATCAATGGCCTTTTGCGTGTTGGTGGCCTGCTGCTCTGGAGTGATGTCGTCCACAGTCAGGAGTGCTTGATGTCGCAAAGCATTCAAGATGGTGGTGTACGTGTAAGGCGTGGGGGCGCGAGTGGACTCGTTGGCTGTATCGGCTATGAGGAACATGGAGTCCAGGTCGCCGGCTCTCGCGCAAACATTGAGAACGGCGTTCATGTGGATCGAGTTGGGCTGCAGGCGTTTGTCGCTGAGGAGAATGTTGTAGTGCTTGACAGCCTCGGCGACGGCAAGCTTTGGGTGCTGCGACTGGGCACATCCGCGGAAGATGATTGTAAAGGTCTGCACATTGGGTAGCTGCCCTCTTTTCTTCATCTACACGGATTGGTATTTAGTGCAATGCAAAAGCTAGCGGGGAGGCGAATTCGAGGTACTGACATCGTTGTAGAGCTTGATGGCGTTATTCAGCTGCTGCTTGCCCAGCAGATAGTTGATGAGGTGGTTCCAAGCAACAACAACTTGGCAGTCTTTGCCAGCAGTCTTGGTGAGAAGCAAGGCTTCGTCAAACCTGTCACGGGAGAGAGCTCTTTCAACATACTGGGCAATCTTCCAAGGATCGTCCATGTGCTGCAGCTCCTTCTTGACAATGCGCTGCAGCCGCTCAAAGTCTTTTTTCTTGGAGACATCTGAATCGACGGGCTCTAGAACAAGAGCCCGAGGGGCTTCGGTTCGTTCGGTGCTTGGGGTGGCAACTGAAGCATAGGGTCTGCCGGTCTGCGGAAGAACGGGGAGGATGCCAGCGAGGGGTCTGTTGCGAGACGAAGCTTGCACGGCACGACGCAAACAGGCGGCGCAGCTAACGAGACTTGCCGGCATTGCGCAAAAGCCGTAATGAATGAGAAGAAGAAGAAGAAGAAGCAATGACGGCAATGATGACAGATCAACTGAACGACTGCATTGTGTATAACCGCAGTATATTGTCCTGTCCTCTACATATGGTTGACAGCTGCAAAAAGAAAATTGTCTTGGACCGCACAATTAGAGTGGGCTGGCCTTATCTTATCGGCCACGCTAGACAGGGATATCCCGCCCCCAAGAGCGCTAAACCTGTTGCAGTCTAACGCTGCAGCCTCCGTCAGCCAATCACAAGCCTCACTCTCCAGGTCATTTCAGTCCCCCTTCAGCTTCAGCTTTCAGCCAAAAGCAACAGACGCGACAAAAAGTTGGCCAAGAGCATCAAACCCTCGTCCCTTGTTTCTTGATCCTTGATCCGTTATCCGTTATCCATCACTCTCTATCTCTCTATCTCTCTATCTCTCTCTCCCCTCCTCGTCATCTTTCTCTCCCAAACACTTGAACAAATCTCCCCTCCAATCTGCTACAGTGTTCAACTCCATCTCGACTTCTCCCAATTCTACAAGACAGATCAATCAATCATCCAAACCATGGCGCCCGTGGCCAAGGAATTCGAACGAATCATCAATACCGGTACGCACATGGCCGTCGTCGCGCGCGCAGAGACGCAAATCCGCATCTTGCGACACCACCATCCTTGGCCCGACCAATTACTGACGCCTCTGCAGCCCGCGAGCGCAAGAAGAATGAAGCCCTCGCCGACAAAATCTTCTCCAAGGGCCGCCGCCAGAGTGCGCCCACCAACCTGAAGGGTGCGCAGCCCGGAGGATCGCTGGCCAGCCGAGTCGGTGTCAAAAAGGTACAGACAGACATGACATGACATGGAATCTGGCATCTGTCCTCGAGGGAGAATCGAGACCAAGACTAATCTGAATCTCTCGACATAGGCCCAGCCTCAGAACAAAGCCACAGTCTCTACTCAGCGCCGTCGAGCAACCGTCCCTGCCGGCGACGTCAACGGCGAGTGGACTCACGACCTCCACAACTCCGTCAACCGCCCCAGCGCCTCCTCCAACGCCCCCCTCAGCTCCCGCATAACCCTCCCCGGCGCCCCCAAGAAGACGGCGGCCGCTCAGAAAAAGGCCACCAGGCTGGCTGCCGCCCTCGACCGCATGGACACGGACGATTCCGTCAGGCAGCAGGTCAACATTGTCAAGAACGGCAAGTCGCAGAAACCAGACGCCGGCTTGACGATCCGGGGGCTCGCGGGCCCGTTTGCCGTCATGGGACAGAACTTTGCGCCGGGAACGACGGCGGCGGACGTCGAGAGCGCCATGACGCCGGTGGGTGGCGAGATGGTCAGCTGCGAAGTCGTCAAGACGCAGCCCTTTATGATTATCGAGATGGTGTTTGCGTCGAGGGAGGGCGGAGAAAGAGTCATTGAGACGTTCAACAACAAGACTGTAAGGCCCTCGTCCCCCTTGTTCTATTTCACTCATGATCCCTCGTTGCTAACAATTCCCCCTTCAAAGGCCGATGGCAGAATCCTCAAAGTCTACGCCAAGCCCGGCGGCTACAAACCAAGCCGCGACTCAGCATCAGGGCGTCAGTCGTCACACCGCGACCAAGTCGTCGACGGCTCCATGGGCTTCCCCGACAACGACCTCATGGACACGGAGAACGTGCCCCCCTCGACCAGAGGCAACAGACTGCACTACGATGGCGGCAAGAACAACTCCGCCAACAACAAGCGCGGCCGCGGGTTCCAGAAGGGCTCCAACATCAACAACAACAACGGCGGACGATAGAGTCGTTCGTCGTCGAGGGAGTACCGGGGGAGGAGATCTGTACCATATTGAAAATCCCAGTTTTTTTTTTCTTTGAAAAGCCCGAAACCTCTCCTCCCCAGTGGTGGCGGCTTTCTTTTATTCATTTTTACTACTCCTGTTTGTTTTGGGATACAACGGCTCTGGGATAGGGTATAACTGGTGAAATAATTGAGCGTTTTTTTCTTCTTCTATTCAGGGCAACTGGTGCGTTCATTGGCAACGTCGGTGAAGTGCGGTACTTGACAAGTCTAGGGAGGGCGGCATGAATGAATGAAACCCAGCAAAAGGCTAAATACATAGAAATACAACCAATGCAAACCACAGCTTTTTTATAATGTCTGTCCATGATAACCATCATGGTGAATATAGCAGTTCAGCTGCCCTTTAATAGGCAAAAAAAATATCCCTACATCTCCCTAGCAAAACAGACCAAACCTTCAAGACAGTAGATGGGTAGTATTCAAATAATAATATTCACAAAACAACCCTCCACCCTTCCCATGACAGGTATCAAAAAGAAATCATGCATCTCGACTCAGCCCCTTTCCCTCAGCAACAATTCATCATGCTCGAAACAAACTTGTAAGAAAACCCCCACAACCAAGAGAAACAGGAGGAAGCAAGCAAAAAGAAGAAGAAAAACCCATATCTACTAAAAACCCACAAGGTAGGTAATCAGTCAGTCAATCCCATAATCCTCCCAAAATTGCAATCTCTCTTCTCCCTCTCCCTTTTCCCCTCCACATCTCTCTCCATCTCCTTTATCCATCCATCTTCTCCCCAAACATGATGCGTAGGGAGAAGAAACAAAAAACAAACACAATTTTTGCAACCCCTCCCTGAATCCCCCACCCATTCTTCAACTGTGAGAAATCATTTTCTCTGCAAAGCACGTAATAGAGCCAGTCTCGAATTGCAGATACATAAAAGGAATAACGAGAAGCGGAACAACGACAACCGACGACAACCGAGGCAGACACCAAGTAGTCGTACACGGGAAGCAGGAACATAGACTGATCCCACAGAATCAATAGAAACACACAAACAGAGAAACCCCCTTCCCATCCACCGATATGCAGGCTACGGGCAGCCATCTTACAAAGAGGACATTGCCTTTTGGTTTACGCAGTCCTCCCAGTCCAAACCCATATATATCATGATTGACGTGCATCGCGGGAACAGGCCCGGTGAGCGGCTCGGGTGTGAGGCTCAAACTAGGGGGGGTTCGGAGAAAGCACCCCCCATCATTGCAACGGAATTCCCTCTTTACGGCCAGCCTCAGTGAGTTTCATCAATGGCCAAGTACCCAATTGCGACGACTGTCTTTCAAGTCATTGGCAAGTACGCATGGAATCCATGGAATGCGATGCAATGCCCCAGACTCTGTTATCAAAGACTGACAGTTGTCTTTTGCGGCGCCCAGTTACTTGGTTTCGTGATACCCGCGTAATTAACAAAACTACCACAGTCGGAGGGACTGGATTTCCTTGACTTTGGCTGAAGGGGAGGAGGAAGAAGCATGGCTTCAATGCCATGGGTTCTGGTTGCCCATGAAGCCTTCTTCCAATGTCCGCTCTTCCAGGTTACGAATAAAGTCCCGATTGCTGCGAGCACCCCCCTGCTGAACCCGGCTGCCTCGTCTTCCAGCGCGGCCTGGCGCGTTATCCAATCCCTCGCCGGTTGGTGGATAGTATGCTGGGCTGGGCTGAAGTCGGATGGGTTGGCTCGGATCAAGGTGGCTTGCGACTCGCTGCAGCGCAGGAGGGATGCCGCTTTGCTGCTGCTCCATGGTCGAGGACCGCTGCCTGTTCGTTCTCATACCACCCTGCTGATACATGTTGGGCTGTGACGGGTTCGAGTATTGCGACGATTGGAGCTGCTGGGGAGGCTGCGGCATGACCATTTGACCGTACTGGCCGGTCTGAGGTGGCCCGTATTGAGGGGGGACGCTTCCGTGGGCAGCGCCGGGGTTATAGACGGCGCTGTTGGAATACAAAGGAGCTGGTACATGGCCAGAGGGCTGGTACTGTCCACCGCCCATGCCTGACGCATATGCGTTTTGCGCCGAGTTGGCCTGGGCCTGGGCCTGGGCTTGTGCTTGCGCCTGAGCCTGAGCTTGCGCCTGCGCTTGTGCCTGGGCCTGGGCCTGAGCAGCCTGAGCTTGCGCCTGCGCGGCTCGTTGCTTGCTGAGGGCCTCGGCTTGCTGCTGTTGCTGGGTGCCGGGAGCTGGTGATCGGTTGAGGGAGCTCGACTTCAAGTTCATTGGCGGGACAAAAGGCCCAGTGTACTTTTGTTGTGTGATGAAGGGGTGGAGCTTTGCCTGCTGGGGCGACCACCGCTCCAGAGGGTTGATGTTGAGTAGACCCCTGACGAAGTCGATGAAGGCGATACGATTGTTCATCTCTGCAGCAATATCAGGTTAGGCTAACGGGAGCTCGTAGGTGCATGGAAAGGTGCCAAAGAATTCTTACCTCGGTCAATCTCGCTCTGCTTCATATTCTTGCGGGGCATCGGGTACGACTTGATAATCTCGGGCAGCGTATTAGCCTGGAAGTACTTCTTACTAGGCTGTTCCTTGGTGTTGTGCTCCCGCGAATACTGTTCCATGCTCTTCATGTGGTACGTCCGCCTGCCAAATTCGTCCTGCCGCCGTTCGAAAAACTCGAGGCCCTGCTTGCCCATGTCAACCATCCAGTTGGGGGGGTTGCCGAGCATCTCGACGATTCGAGCAATCTGGTTGTACTCTGATGAGCCGGGGAAGAGAGGAAGTCCCAAGAACAGCTCCACCACGATACAGCCCAGCGACCACATGTCGATGGCGGACGAGTACGGCAAGCCCAGCAAGACCTCGGGGGACCGGTAGAATCTGGACTGGATGTAAGTGTAAACCGTCTGGCGCTCGTCGCATGCCGAACCAAAATCGATAATCTTGATGATTGGGCTCTCGAGATTCTTTAGCAAAATGTTTTCCGGCTTCAAGTCGCAGTGAATCAGCCGCGCCTTGTTGAGTAGGGCCAGGCCATTCAGAAGCTGCTGGGCGAAGACGCGGACCAGCGTCGTGCTGAGGCCGCGGAACTGGTTCTGCTTGATAAGCTCGTACAGGTTGACGCTAAGAAGCTCGAAGACGAGGCAAAGGTGCTGTCGGTGGATAAAGGTGTCTTTCAGTCGGAGAAGATGGTGGTCATCGTTTTTGTCGAGCTTCGTATTGAGCTTTTTTTTTTATACCACGTCAGCGCAAGCTAACAATCATACAATGGCGGGGAAAGGGCATACCAAGTCAAGCACAGACACCTCCATCATACTCTGGTTGAAGTAGGCGGTGCGGTTCTTGATGACCTTGACGGCCACGACCTCTTGCGTCTTGAGGTTCTGGCATTTGACGACCTGGCCAAAGGTACCCTGGCCCAGCACATCGAGAATGAGGTAGCGATTCCTACGGCAAAGTTAGACAACACGTCATGATATCGAGACGGAAGAGAGGAGTATACGCACTTGTGGCCGGCTTCTTCAGAACCCAGAATGTCGTTTACGTAGAGGATGTAATCGCTATCCTCGTTGTCGTAGCCGTCGTTTTTGGTGCCCTTGCTGGGCTTGGTCAGGACTCGGCGAGGGTTCCGCGACGACTCGTACTTGAAGCTCGGGTTGCAGATGCGGTACGTGGCAGGCAGGTGCAGCGTCAAGGCTTGGAGGGGCTATATACAGCAAGGTTGGAGAGAAGGAGTTAGCAGCTGTCGAGTCAAAAAAAAAAAAAACAAGTCAAGTTGCAGTGAGTGGCATAGCAGGCAGAACTAACGCTGATGAAGCCGCCCTCTGGGTTTGCTCGCCTGAAGCGCGGCTGTCTCGTGTTCTTGGGCTGCAGCTCGGCGGGCGACTTGATCTTCTTGAACTCGGGCACCGTCTTCATCATGGGGGGATTCTGGCGGCGAGGTGCCTGTACGTCGCTAAAGGAGCCGTCGAGCGTGGCCACGGCAGACGAGGGGTAGCCATCGTGGGAGTAGGAGGAGATGGGGGGCAGCTGGGGCTGGCGACCAGCAAAGTACGGGCTGCTCGAGTAGTCGGCGTTGGGCGGCGTCTGCTGCGAGGGCGAGCTGGTGTAGGCCTTTGAGTAGGGCGACGTGGGCGACAGCGTGTCCATGGGGGAGTAGCGCTGGGCGGCCGACGAGGGCTGCTGCTGCTGCTGGTGCTGCTGGTGCTGTTGCTGGCTCTGCAGCTGCTGGAGCTGGAGCTGCTGCTGGAGCTGCTGTTGTTGGTCCTGGGGCGAGTACAGGCCCGAGGAGCGGGTGCCCGACAGATGGGCCTGGTGGTGCGGCCTCATGGGGTACTTGATGCCGGCGTGGGCATCGTGGGCGTCGTGCATGGCGACGTCGCCGCTGTTGTCGCGCACGGGGGCGGTTGCGAGAGGCGAGGTGGCCGGGTTGAGGTTGATGCTGCTGGAGGAGCCGTGGTGGGCGCTGAGCTGCTGCGAGTGCTGGTGCTGGGGAGGCAGCTGGTAGTGCAGCTGGTGCGGCAGCGTGTGATGCTGCTGGTAGGGCTGGCGGTCGTAGCTGTTGTTACTGCTGCTGTGGCTATTGTTGTTGTTGTTGTTGTTGTTGTTGTTGTTGTTGTTGTTGTTGGGGTTGGAGCTGGAGCTGGCGATGATGTTGTTGCTGCTGCTATAAGGCGAGCCCGAAGAAGCGACAGCGGTAGCAGCAGGCGGAGCGGACGCGGACGCCGAAGCTAGGGCAGAGACTGAGGAGGCGGCAGAGGCAGAGGCGGCAGACGCTTGACCGGCCGGGGCGTGGCCAGAGGAGGAGGCTGGCAGAGGCGAGGGATAGTCTCGCGATGTCTGGCCGCCGTTGTTGTGTCGAGAGTCGGGGTACCACGACGGATTATCCATGGCGGGCAATGGGAAGGCAAAGGAGGGGCGTCAGTCAGTCAGCGGTCCAAGCAGCGGCCGACCGGGCCACACAAGCAGAGCACAGCACAGCACAGCACAGCACAGCACAGCAGCCTCCAGTCCAGCGCTATTATTCTGCACCAGACAAGACAAGACAAGACAAGACAAGACGGTTGGTCAGCGCCGGTTTGCTTGCCTTGCTTCCAATGCTTGCTTTGCTGCGGCGGATTTGCGACGGCGCTCGATCAACGGGGACAGAGTCGCAGCAATTGGGCGCTGGGTGGAGGCCCAAGTTCCGGGGGGGGATGCGATCAACTGGCGATTGATGGAGGGAGTGGGTAAAAGAAATCAAGGCTCCGGCGGGAATGGCCTGGATTTGGATCTTGGTTTGGTGGCATAAGCCCGGGCAGCCCAACTTTTGTCGTCGCAGCGCAGTGGTGATCAGTTTGGTGCGACTCTACCGAGTTCCTACCTAGTAGGTACCTGCGCACTCAATCAGATACCGAAAGTACCTCCAATGCCTGACGGAGGACCAAAGGCAATCGATTGACCCGTAACCACGCAAAACCGGAAACAAAAAAAAATTAGAAAAAAAAACCGTGACGCATTTGCTTCGTTGGAGCTTAAGGTTTGATGCTAGCCTCGTTTCCCTCTTCGCCTTCTTTTTTTCTTCCCCTCTTCGTTTCGTTCTGCTTTCCTTCTTTCACGTCAAAGCCGTCCATTTGCCAACACCGAACACGTTTGCAACGTACTGTACAGCGCATCGTCCCGGGACTTTGCCTGCCATGTGTGTAGCGGTACCTGTACAAGGCGCTAAGACGGACTGGAGCTCACTGCCAGTAGCGGCCGGAAACCTTGAGGCCTGGGCTGTAATCGGTGCTGACTGACTGCTCTGCTGCAAGCTACGACGCAAGTACCGCTACATCCGTTGCCCAGGGAAGCTTCCCACTCGCTGGCTAGGCCGCGTCGGTGCTAGCCGCTTGCTACAAGTTCGGGCCGCAGTTCTGGTACGGAGTACGGAGTACATGCAGCTGAAACATGAACTGTGATGTTGAGCGATAGGCTACCTGTATTCAATGGTTACTCCCCCGATGCCTTTGCCTTGGTCATATAACTCAATTGTTCGTCAGTGAGCAGAATTATTAGTACAGACACGTGTCCTTGACGCTGATGAATTGTATCGAGACGTGGGGACCTGACTTTACTCTGAGACGTCACAGCAGTCAATCACAGCCACGGCGGGCAGAAATCACCGTCTCAGACAATCAACAATCCACGATCCCCACTAGTAATTCAAAATGTAAAAACATATACCTGTATCAATAGGTAGTTCTTAGATACTACACGATCCATTCGACAAGCTCGCGAAACAAGGCTTGCAACGTATCATCCACTCACTCAACATTCAACGCATGTACATGTACATTCACATCCGCATCCACATCCACATCCAACCTTGTCCTATCGCTTGGCTGGTTCCACCCTCTTCTCCCCGTCTTCAGCGAGTCAAGCATCGCCAATTGCTCTTTCGTGCTCACCTCACCTCAAGTCATATATCACCACCTCACCAGAAAGCTCGCAAAATCACCCTCTATTCATCATCAAGGCGCCTCCTTTTCCCCCCCTTCTTTTCTTCTCTCGTCAATAAAGCATCCATTTCCCGTCTCTCGGTCATCTCATGCCATCATTGCAAAAGCACCAACCAACCAGCAGCAGGTATTAGTATTGTAGTTCCACTGGTTTTGCCCCCCTCCTCGATTTCCAAGGTTCCCTGCTTTTTCTCTCTCTCTTTTTTTTTGGGGGGGGCTCTCCATCTTTTTGCCAAGGTGACAGCAGCATTCATGGATATCGGGCTCGTCATGTCCCCTGCATATCTGCAGCTCGAATCGCCACCGGCTCTTTTTTTTTTCCCGCCCAAATCCCCAGACGTCATGCCATGTTTGCATGTGTAAATCGAGGCCTCGCTCATGTACGACGCAAACCACACTCTGTATTCTCTGTGTGTGCCCAGTACAACAGCACATTCTCTTGTTGATCAAGTTGCGCGCATGGCGAGCATAAAAACACCCATGCAGAATTAGATGAAATCACATGCAAGTCCGGTCTAACATGGCCAAGCAAGCTCTCCTCGAGCCCCGCAGACGTACCCTTGATTGTTGCAATCCAGATACAGGTAAATTTACGGTCGTATAAACCACCTTCACTTTCTCCCAAATAGCCAGGCCAGGAAAGGCATTCTAGCTACAGATTCACTCTCCCACTTGTGCTTGTTATCCTCCTTACACGAAATAAAATCCACATCATCTTTTCCGACGTCGTACCGCGAAAGCCTCAGTCTCCTGTGGGAGGATAAAAAGAAAAAAAATCTCAAGAGGGGGGAAACAACCACCCCTAGCCGCAAATGCTCTTCTCAGGTTATCCAACCTTTCTTTGACACAATATGGTGATGCCATGCTCATTTCTTCAGATCGCGCTAGACAATAGAAATTCGTAATCATCATCATATGGGAACAGACAAAAACAAGTATGAAAGGGTGAGAGGCTGAGACAGAGACAGAGACAGAGACAGAGACAGAGACAGAGACAGAGACAGAGACAGAGACAGAGACAGAGACAGAGACAGAAAGAGAGAGAAATTGCCTGCTCCAAATGCTCCCATGTGGTATCCCAGCAGGCGGCGCTCGTTTCAAAAAGAAAGAAGGAGAATAAAACAAGGAATAAAAAGTAAAATAAAAGCATTCCAAACTTTTCGTTTCTCTCGTGCATAAAATGAAGAAATTACACGGGCAAAGGAGCAATGAGAGGAAACCCCTGGAAGAAACAACTTTTTGGAAAATCACACTGGGGGGGAAAAAAATGATGGCTGGTACAAAATGAGAAGAGCCCATATGCTGAGAATGGCAGTAGATAAAAAGGGAGTGAGGTGAGAGGAAGATGACAACAAAGTCGGGCAAATCAACAAGAAATGGGGGAGACAAGGAAAGGAGTATGATACGTCAAATGGTAAAAGGAAAATGAGTCCCCCCTCAACCGTGAAATTTTCTTCCTTCTCAGCCCCTCCACTCTTACAGCTTGCGATCCCGTTCGCACTTCATTCCCCGATGACTACGATTGATAGCCGCCGAAACCGTTGTTGAAGTTTTGTCCCTGGTTTTGGTTCCACTGAGCGTTGGGACCCTGGTGGCCGCGACCATATCCTCCGGCGCTCTGAGGGCCACCATATCCCATGGGGGAGCCGCTGTACCCCGCGGGAGATCCAGCTTGCGGGCCGCCAAAGTTCCCTTGCTGTCCGTTGTATTGCGCTGCAACAAAGAGCACAAGGGTTAGGGTCCGGTCTTGTAACCAACAGCCAGTTCAGCATAGCAACTCACCTCCATACTGCGGGTAATACGTGGGAGTTCCAGGGAAGCCCGGGGCCTGGGAAGTCTGGGGGCTGTAAGGCTGCTGCTGAGGATCAAACGATCCAGAGTTGGGCGTCTTGTCCTTGCCCCACTGCTCATCATGTCAGTGATACGTCCGGCCGCCACTCGTCACTCCACCTGTTTGAAAGAAGAGGATTACTTACGCTGCACTTCAATGGTCGGCCGTTGACGTTGTATCCGTTCATCTGGCATATGGCCATTGCCGCATTCTCGTGAGTGTCCATCTTGATAAAGGCAAAGCCGCGGTCCGCCTGGAATCGCGACTCGACGACAAAGCCAAAGTTTTGAAACAGGGGGACGACGTCGTTGGGAGTCGTGTAGGGGGTGAGGTTGCCCACGTAGCACGTAGTCTGCCAGTTGGGCGTCTGCGCAAGGATCATCTCGTAACTAGCGATTCCGTGGGCAGGGAACTGATGGTGGCCAAAGGGAGTGGTGGGAGTCATGCCCATGGCCTGCATCGCCTGCTGCTGAGCCATTGAGGGTTGGCCCTTTTGGTTGGCCCAGTTGCAGCGGATGGCGCGCGACCCGAGCCACTCTCCATCCATGGAGCTCAGGGCCTTTTCGGCATCGGGCCGGTCGCGGAAGGCCACAAAGCCATAGCCTCGAGATCTACCCGTCTTCATGTCCCACATGACGCGAGCTTCCGAGACGGAGCCAAAAGCAGAAAAGGCCTGGAGGAGGATATCGTCGTTGACTTCGTTTGAGAGATCGCCCACGAAGATGTGGAAGTGGTTCGACGTATCCTCTTTGCTGGTGGTGTTGGACTGATAGGCCCAGTTGACCCGGATCTCCTATAATGTCACAAGAGCTGTGTCAGTGGAAGCTGGGAGAAAGACGTGCCCCATGAGAGACAATAAAAAGAAACAACACCTGTGAAAGACATACGGATTGGTGAACTCGTCGACCATTCAGGGTCTGCATGGCACGCTCCGCCGCACCGGGGTCATCGTACTCGATAAAGCCATAGTTGTAGCCCTTGGCCTTTACATATATCGCACCGTTAGCACGTCGTGGATTCCACAGCACCACCACCGAAGAGGGTTTCCCTACATTCTTGTCGGGGATAATCTTGACGTTTTGGACATGGCCAGTGGTCTCAAAGATCTGACGCAGCACGTCCTCGGTGACCCGCTGATCCAAACCGCCAACGTAGAGGGCCCGCTTGTTGGGCTCAGGCGCAGCTCGTCGGAAGCCGGTGGTCGGGGAGAGGATTCCGCCGCCGTCGACGCCAGATCGGGGAGAGGTCATGGCCGTCGGGATTGGGTTCGTGTTCTGCGGAATATGGAGGGGAGGCGGGGGGAGGTGAGTTGGGTTGCCTTGGCCGTTTTGGGCGGCAGAGGCGCCCACGCCAGGCTGCGCAGAGGTCGGAACAGCGTCAGCCATTGTCGCGATTATGAGGATTCTTTGAGAAGGATCGTATCGGCCACGCGAAAGGGGTTGAGAAGGCGGTGGCGCGCAGGCGGTTTGCGTGGGTGGCGATGAGAGATGAGGAGAAGTCGGTAGAGAGGAGGGGTGCTTTTTAGGGGGGGAAGAATGCAACGAATAGACTCGGACGACGAGCTCGCCAACTATCGATGACGAGGGAACAAAACAGACGGAAAACGCTGCTGGCGAGATGGTTCGGAAGATGCTTGGAATAAATCGAGGCGAAACCGAGGAGATGCGTCGAAGGAGCTTGTGGGAAGCTTGCAGCGCTGGTGAGGCGGGACAAGATATCGAGACAAGACAGGGGGACAGAAATACTGAACAAGAGCTGCAAGGATGCCGAGAGGGACAAGGAAAATAAAGAAAATAAAAGAAGAAAACGCAGAAGAAAACGATAAAGGAAACGAGTCCCGCAAATCGCAACCAACCGCTCCGCTACTTTCGTGCACACACAGCGAACTTTGTCTGGGGAAGAAAAAAAGAGACAAGAAAAAACCCGGCGTGTACGAGAAATAGTTGGACGGGATGTCAAGGTGAAGGTTTGTGCTGGGCAAAGAGTGGAGGCCGACTTTGATGGATTTGCAACTAGAGCGGCTACCCTACAACGGGCAAGGTGCAGATTTTTTTTCTTTGTGTGTGTGTGTGTGGTTGTGGTTGTGCTCTCGATTCTCTGCCGAGAGAGTGAGAGAGGGGTGAGCGCGCGGCTGAACCGTGGGGTTTTGATTGTTTGATTCTGCTATGGGCGAAGCGATAAGGAGAATGATATCAATGGATCCATCAATGGACATTTGCTGTTTGTTGTGCAGTTTATTGTTGATAGTTGATGCAGTGGTTGATCCTCCTTCTATGCCTAGGCGCTGCTCTATTCAGCAAGGTAGTGCCTAGGTCTGTGACATGGCCTCGCAGGGGGTTGAAGCTCTATTCGTCACATAATTCGGCTCCTAGACACCTATAGACTGGAGTGATGGAGTTGCCTCGTATTGCTGTCAAGGCTGGACTTTTTGGCCGTTGTATAGGAGCAGCCGATAGAAGGAACAACACCGTTTACTTCAGGTATGTTGGGTGTACCGTGTATCCAATAATTTCAAACCAGCGAGATGGACAATGGAAGCTATTCATTTGATTTGGTTTCGTCTTGTTAAAATTGAAACTCGAGGCACACTTATTCTCACTGCGCCTCGAAATGCAAGGAAATGCTTGATACTCCGACAGGCGGCGGTACTATAGATCACCAGGCGGCCCTCTTGCTCAGCGCCACGCCAGTTCCAGCGGCTGGCCTCTGCGCTGCTCCGCGGGAGTCCTGGCATCGCATAGCATTTGATAGCATATCGATTGTTTACTTTGTAGACTTTAGTGACATGGGTTGGTTCTGTAACCTGAAGTTGTGAGACATGCGACCACATGGCTGATTCAGCCCGCCACTCTGGGGTTTGTCGATGGAGCACGAGAGCTCTCCAATGGACTGATCTGATCCTACCTAGCAACTCAAACTTACATGCAGTGTCCAGCACCTAAATACGAAGCCGAGGCTGAATGTACAAAGGTTCAAAAGAAAGACTACCGTCGAACTTCACCATGCAGCTCCACAGGACTCTTATACTTGACCCCTATCCAAGGTTTTCTCTTCCATGGATCTTCTTACAGGCTGTACGGAGTACATTCCAAGGTTGTGTTTAGCCGTTCTTCAGCACCTGGCGGCATCTGCGGGGAATTGATGAGCCCAGCGCAACCATCTGAGCCACAGTCTGCGGCCTTGGATCGGGGAGTGCGGGATCGGTAGCGAAAGATGCAAGTACATTCTACCTATACGATCGGGATTGGTAGCGCCGAGATCTGGGATTCAGGGTACTCTACGCGTGAGATGGCGGCACGATTGCTAGAACGAAGACGGGAGCAATACCTGGGTAGCGGGAGATGCCCTGCAGTCTGTACTTGACAGACTCCTTAGACAATGTATCGAGTACCTCATCCAGCCACAGACTCAAGTTCCTCCCACCAGTGCAGGCAAGCACAAGCCACAGCCACAGCAGGCCCCTAGCACTATTAGGCCTAGCACTTGTCCGAACGCCAGCCCTTCCAAATGTTCCCAAGGGAACGAACATCCAGTCTCACTCTTTGAGCTTCCACTTGCGCTGCTGCAATCCCTCAGCTGCACTGCTTTGTGTCTTTTTGCGTCTCCTCTGCGGCTGTTTTATTGTATTCCATTCTCCCTCTCCCTCTCCCTCTTCTCCTCTCTTCTCTTCTCTTCTCCTCCCGCTGTTCTGCTCTTGTCTCCTCTTCGTTCAACCGTTGGGAGCCGCGAATCGATCCCAATCGAAGCAAATCGCCACTTCGTTCTGCGCCTTTGCGTCTGCGCACCAAAAACAGTCTCACTTGCGCCGTGAATGCGCCAACTGAGCGCCGTCTGCTAATTCCGAATTCCGACCATCTTCATCTTCAGTCTTCGATCTTTGCTGGTTGGCTCTCTAGACCGGGCGCTCCAGTTCTCTCACTTGCGCTCACGCTCACCCACGTACTCGCATCGCCAGGCACAATGGCAAACTCAACGTCAACTTCGCCTCCAATGGAGCCGTTAGACGCCCTCCAATCGCTCATCAACGATGTGGTGAGTATTTCTCACTTCTCATTTACTTGTAACCCCTAATTTTTCCTCCGTCGCCGACTAATTTCTTCTCCTTATTCAGCTCGTACAAACTGGCAAAGCCCTGCGGGCCTCTCGCAGAGACGCTCAGGGGAATCTGACGCATGCTTATGGGCCTACACAGTCAAAGCTGCCAGACACCATCGATCACTTCCACAATGCGCTCAACGAGCTGGAAAGTGAAATTGTAAGTGGCGGACTCAATCTCTGCTTCTCTCTCTTTATGCCTTGTTGCCCTCAATCAATTTACTCGTCACTGACTCTTTTCTTTTTCACCCATTGGCTAGATTATGGCCAAGTCAGTCTTGCTCAGAGATTACAATGAACTACAGGAAAAGAAGAAGAAGCTTTTGGCTCGGCCCACACCTCAGCCCGTCGAGGCGCAAGCAAAGCGACCTCCAAACATGGATCTGCCCTCACCGCCAGAGCCCATTTTCAAGGACGAACCCATGGCAGAGGACGCAGACGTGAAGCCCATGGCGCCATTCCCCAACATGAGCATCGATCTTGCCGAAGCCGAACCCATGGACATGTCCATCAAGGAACCCAATGGCCAGCAATTGCAGCAGCAGCAGCAACCGCCTCCTCCAGGCGGTATGAACGGGTTGAACGGAACGGCTAGTCCAGGGGATAAGAAGCCAACTGCAGATATGCTCCCTGAACCTTCCGCATCAAACCAACCACCAGTGTTACCAGAGGGTTCGGGGATGCATTTTACCGACATGGAGTTTACCCTTGCGCCGCCGCCGGGTAGCGAGGTTCCCGGGCAGCCCAGCGCCTCCAAAGAGCCATCCTTCGACCTGACTACCTTTGCACCGGCCGATGGCGGCGACGACCTTTTGAATCTCAACCACCTTCTACCCGCTGACCCCAGCAGTTCGGCTGCACAGGCCAACCCAGGCCAGGTAAAGATGGAGAACGTCAAGGTGGAGGTGCCCGACGCAACGATGAACACGGACTTCTTTGGCCCAGAGTCCGGGGCCGCCGACGGGATGGACTTTGACTTTAGCATTGGCGGCACGGGGGACGATACTTTTGACGACCTTATGAACAACCGCGACAGCACTTTTGAGCTGATGGATGCGGGGGGTGACTTTGACACGGCGTTTTTCGGGCTTGATAAGCCGGACGAGAATCCTGCGTGAGAGAAGGAGTGAGTAGAAGAAGAAATGGCTCTCCTTTTCTTTTCTTTTCTTTCCTTTCTCTGTTCTTTCATTGCAAGGCTCGGAAGCTATTGGTGTCAGATGTGGTCCTATAATCCCCCCTTTTATTTTATTTACGGCCCAGGATGGCTCAACAGATGTTCCAACGTGTTTTTTTTAAAAAAAAAAAAAACACCCCTTGTCATGTTTTCTTTTTATTCTTCTTTCTTCTATTTGCTTTTCTTATGTTGGACATGACTTGGCAACAAACAGGGTCACGGTGTCTTGGGAACGGGAATGGAAATGAAAAGAATATACCCGCGCTTTAATCTTCAATAGGGTCTCGTCGCATTAGTTGGATGGGCCTATGCCTCAATATTACTATTATTTGTTATCAACAAGTTGCAGGATTCATCGCCGAATAGATGAGCAATAAGCTTCTCAGATTAATGAGCACACGGGTTAACAACACCCATCATGCCCTTGACTAACTACCTAAGCTAATAAGAGGATAGAAAACAAGCAGAGTGTTTGATATAAAATGTAACCAACACAAAATGCCTTGACGAGAAAAGATGACTAATCAAAAAGAGTCATCAACCGAGCACATCCGCTAGTATTATCCTTTTCTCGAACTATCAAAGCTTTCTGAGGATGAGAGTAAGTGCTAGAAACCGCAAGAAGAAGAAGAAGAAGAAGAAGAGGAAGAAGAAAAGGTCCACCAATTCGCTCTTATTAATTCACAAAAACTCTCAGAGTTGTGATTGCGCCACCGGGGAAGGATTAAAGTATGGTAACATGTAAATTGTAATTGTTTGACTGGAGTTTGGTATATGAGAGAACCAGTCGGTGTCATAAATTCGTAAACCAAGATTACGAAAACAAAAAAAAGAAGGGGGTATTTATCATACGACAGAGGAAAAATGTAAAAAAAGAGGACGTTCATCTAAGTGCTTGAAGCAAGGAAAGGAGAAAAAAAGGGAAATATTCGAGAGAGGGTATCCGGGCTTTGAATCAACGCTTCTCAGATAGTAAGACGTTTGACCGAGGAATCATGCGGGAGGAGGGTTGACAACGACAACTGCAGCTGCGGCGGCGGCGGCTGCGCGAGCTTCGAGCCCTCGCCTCTTGGCCAACAGGCTCTTGAAGGCGCCGAGAAACCGCACCAGCGACTCCTCGTCGGGCGTGCAGAAACGATATGATTTTTCTGCCGTGATGATCTGGAGACAGTGCGTCTTGCTCCTGCTGACGGGGTCGGTCTCGACGACGTTGACGACGTCGGACACCTCGAAGATGGACCGTGCAGCGTATTCCGACTCGTCCTTGTACAGGACCAACTGCCGGGCGCGCAACACTCCCCACATGTGCTTCCACTGGCGGACGCCGCCCTTGTTTCGCTGCATCGACAGGGAGCCCTGCCAGACGACGCGTTCAGACTCCTGCTCGGCGGTCACGGCGCTGACTTGGCTGGCCGAGCGGCCGCCTGTTTCGGGTCGCTGGCCGGGCAGGTTGGGTTGTCGAGGCTGAGGTTGCGCGGTAGGCGGTTGGATGGCCAGGTTCTCAAAGGAGGCGCCCTGTGCGCGTGGGATTTCGGTGTCGGAGAAGTCGGAGCAAGAGAGCATTTCGTTGCCGGACAGGCCAGAGGATTCCAACGTGTAGGACAGGCGCCGATTTGACCCCATAAACTTGGGCGCCGACGGGTCGAGGATGCCAATGTTTTCGGGTGAACTTGAAAATGCATTGTAAATGTGGTGTCCCCAACCACCTTCAGACGCTCCAGGGGACAGTATGTGCGCGCCAGGACTGCCCATGTACATTTCCTCCTCTTCTTCGTCGAGCCTGGCGATTTTGCGAATCGAGTCGACCCATTCCTGCGCGTCCTGCGGCGTCGGGGCGGCGAAGTGAAAGTTTCTTGACGGAGAAAAGAGGCCAAACAAGTTCTTGTGCTTGTGTTTTGGGTCCTTGAGGGTGGCTACTGCGGAGAGGTCTGACAGGTACAGGTGGTGACGGAGCTTGGCCTCCTTGTCGTCCTTGTAGAGGGAGATGCCGTTCGGTCGCAAGACAAGGTAGACCGTCTTCCAGTTCTATCGCGGCGCAAGAAGAAAAAAACGCGTTAGCGACGAGTGTTTTGGGTCAGAATCACGGCGCGACATACCTTTGTCTTTTGGGTGCGCTTCTGGACACACCCGCTCTTGATGACACGGTCGACTTCAAAGCACCCGTTCTGGTGCACGGGAGCGACCGTCGTATCCAGGGGTAAGCGACTGCGTCGGTTAAGGGCATTGTTTTCGCTGGGGCCGTGGGCAGCAAAGGCCGCCTCTTGGGGCCTCGTTTCTCCCTGTCGAGGGGCAGCCATACTTTGGCAAGGATGTTTTTTGTGTCGTCTGGCAGCAGATCAAAAGCAAAGCTTACGGTCGAGGTGGAAGTACGAAAGATGAGTCTCGATGGGAGTCGGTGTGTGGAGCCGAGGGGCAGCGGGAATGTCGATCGGATTTGGTCGTGGTCGTTGTAGGGGTAAACAAGCTGTTGTGCGTGCTCGTATGTGTATACTATATAAAAGACGAGACAATCTAAGACAGAGGCAGAGACAGAGGCAACCGCTGAGGGAGGCGAAGCGCCAAAAGTAGAAAAATGGCGGCCAGATGGAGATGGATCGCAAAGGACAGGCGCAGTAGTTGGTAGGGTCGGGTGATTCGAGCACCTGGAGATGCCGTATTCGTACTTGGGTTGTAAGCCTTGCCTTGCGATGGTGGGCAGCGCAAAAGAGGAAGCCTAGGAGTGAGGCTGACGGCGACAGCAATAAGTAAGTGTAGGACGAGCGCAGAGAGCGAGAGCGACGTCTTGCCCAGGACCGAAGCGCGTGGGCGCTGGAAATAGCATCGATGCTTTTGGGGAACCGCAGGCGTCTGGTGCTCAATGCAGGCGACCGAGCAATGCAATGCTGTTGCGGTTTCAGCTTTCAAGGCGCCGTGTCGAGTCGAAGCGATGAATGAGTCGCCTTGCCGCAAACGCACAGGGATCAGGGGGCCAGTGATTGGCTAATGCGGACGGCGACGAGATCAGCGAAGAGGTAAAAGGGGATCGATGAAACAGACAGAAACGGGGGGCGCCTGTTTTTTTTTTTTTTTTTTGTTTTAGTACGACTCCCGATGCGCTGGCGGTTATTTGTGTTGTCGATGTTGTTGTTGTTGTTGTTTGAGGATTGAATTGATCCGGTTGATCTCAAGGTTATTTCGAGGTTACGATCAACGGCGCCACAGAGGTGGCCAAGGATACGCGGCCTTGGGCCTTTTTGACGTCACAGGGCTCCGACAAGCGCTGGCCGCTGGCGGCAGTTTTAGGCTGGAGAGCGCTGGAACGAGGCTCTGGAACTGTGCCTCTGGGAAGACACGCAACGCCCAAACTCTGTCCTCGGTGTGGCTGTTGGATCGGAACGGAGCAACAAGCAGGAGGCGAAACTGAATGTTTCCGCTCCGACTCGAGTTCTATCTTGACATTTCAGTAAAGTTGCCGGCCGCGATATGCAACGTGCAACATGCAACTGGAACTCGAAATGTTGCGCCGGGTCAATGCATCGAATGCAAAGTTGAGCCCACAGAAACAAGGCATGGGGGGGGGGACTTCGAAGCGAGCGCTAGAATCAATGCGCATGATTCGTCTCGGTAGATGGTTGGACAGGCAATTACCGACAGGGGGTTGAAATGAAGCGTTGTTGTTGTTGTTGTTCGCGGCTAGACTACCCGGCAGCGCCCATGCTGAGTTGGGGTTTTCACAAGAGGTGAAACAAGAAGAAGAAAGGGAGGATGATTAGGTAAAAATGGTCATGGTGAGGTTTAGAAGAAGTAACAGAATTGAATTGGTGATGAGGGATCGGGAGTTGAGAGTGCAGAAAGAAAAGCGAACATCGACATCGGTGTTACAGTAGTTCTGCTTACCTCAGTCGCTCTCAAGTTTAGTGACCCTCGCCTTGGCACCGTTGACTGCAAAAAAATTCTCGCCACATGTTACACTGTACCGTCTGCATCCATACAAAATTGATTACAACTGCAGTTCAACCCATTTTCTTCATACTAGAACTGCACATTATCCTTGTAGCTGCAACAGGAACGCTCTTCTCTCGTAACACGGGCTCTCTTGAACGAGTGTGCAACTCTCCACACAAACTCCTCCATACGCCTTACTCTCTTCTGCTTCACAACCTCCTAAACCCATAATGACGGCATCACAAACCACCAGCCGGCCGTGCATGCGCTGCAAAAAGCCAGATGCCGCATTCGAGCTACGCAATGTGGCAACCTGCCAGTACGCATGACTCACCCTCCTTCACGACAACTCTCTCTCAGACACTTACTTACACGCAATGCAGGGATTGCTTCATCGACTATGTCGACTCCAAGGCCGTCAAGAGATTCACCGTTCTCCAACGAGAAACCAGAGCTTCCACCAAGCCCGAGCCCCGGAGATATGTCGCCGGCCTTTCCTTTGGACCCTCATCAACCGTTCTCACCCAGATCCTTGACAAGACCGCCCAGTATCATGCGTCAAGAAAGGGTTCATCGCCCTTTGAGCCTCTAATCGTCCATATCGACACAGATCTCTCCGTCCGCACTGACTCTCAGGATACCCCTGCACAGAGACTTCTCGCCAAGTACCGCGAGAGATTCCCCCACGTCTCGTTTGAGTGCGTGCATCTGAGCCAGGTTCTTGGTGTCGGGACGATTGACTGGACCACGATACCGGTCCCCGAGGGGGGGAACGACGTGGAGCGACTGCAGCTCTTCTTTTCCTCGTTGCCGTCGGTGACTTCACGCGCCGACAGTCTGAGGCTGTTTATACGCCATCTTCTGCTAGATGTTGCCATACAGAGGTCTTATTCTGCGTTGCTCTTTGGCCACAGCACCACGGCGCTGGCCGCGCTGACCTTGTCCGAGGTCGCAAACGGCAGAGGCTTTGCCGTACCCTGGCAGATCAACGACGGGCTGTTCACAGTCTGCACCTACCGGCCGAGCGCAGATCCGGCTAGCAGTGCCGGGGACGCGAGCCAAGAAGATGCCAAGATCCAGTTTCCCATCTACTACCCCCTGCGAGAGATTCTCAAAGCCGAAGTCATGACATATCTCGGCACGACGCCCGCCGTTCAACAGCTGATGCCTTCTGCTGACGGAGGGTCGTCCAGCGTCGTGTCTCACAAGGACCAGAGCATCGAGGAGGTCATGGCTCGGTATTTCGACGGCGTGGAGGGGCCTTACTCGGGCATTGTGACCAATGTCGTCCGCACGGCGGGGAAGCTGGACCGGCTGGTTACTTTGCGCCATTGTCGCTTGTGCGGCATCACCCTGGACCAAGAGGGCGATTCGACGTGGGCTGGCGAGCTGGGGGACGACGCCGTGAATCCTGATACGGGCAAGTTGTGTTACGGATGCAAGCGGTCCATGGGTGGATAGTAGGGGGCTGAAGAGAAGGAAAAGAAGAGTATTCAAGGTCGAGACAAATGAAACGAAACAATACCAAGGAATCAAGAAGAGTCGAAGTTTAGAATATAAAAATAGATGTATATAAATTTCAGCAGCGTCGGTGCGCTCAGATCTATGCGTCAAGACTACCAACTCCAGTGCAAAAACCATGCCGCCTTGAGCTTTTCCATTCATTATTCCCCCCTCATGCCGTATGGCTCCCTTCTCTTTCCAAGTTGTAGGAGACACCCTGAAGAATACTCCTTGTGATCTATAAACCAGAGCAGTTGCTCCTGAAAGATGTACAGCATTACAAGATATACTAGTAGTACTCGTACTAGTTGAATGTATGGTATGCGTGATGAAATGACAAGCCTGTTTTGTCAAAAATAAAACAACAGGACCGGCACAGTGGGGGAAACCAAAAGCAAACCCCCCCGGGACTTTTTTTTTGTGACGCCAGGGCCCCTCGGAATTTAGAGGCGCTCTTCCTCGTCGTAGCCTAGCATAGGCAGGACGCGGTTCTCAACTTTTCTCACCAGCTTGGCGGTCTGCTCGGCCAGGGAGAGGGTCAGGATGGTGTGTGGCAGGATGCGGGCCAGATGGGGGATGAAGCCCTTGTAGATGGCGAAGATGCCCTCGGTTCGGATCGTCTTTCCGAGACAGTCGAAGATGCCGCTGTAGAGGTTGCCGTGCTGGTTGTACAGACGGGACATGATTGTGTCTGTCGCGTGGGGTCATGTTAGCTTTTGCGGAAGAAGTCGACAGACGAGGAGAGAGGACAAGCGAATCTACAATCCACTCACCAGGGGGGTGCATGACGCAGCAGACGACGAAGCCGCTGACGGAAGAGCTGGCCAGATGCAGCGCCGGGCCCTCCTCCATGCCGGCGTGCTTGACGAGCTGCCTCTTGGCCAGGAAGTAGGTGGGAAGCTGGACGGAGCTGCCGGAGCCGGTGCGGACCATGGCGGCGGTGATGCCGCGGTACAGGCCGGAGAAGCCCTCGGCGCGGTAGATTTGCCTCAGGCCGTCCCAGGCATTGCGGTAGTTGTGCTGGGTGCCGACGGGCCGGACGGGCGAGTAGCTCTGCAGGCGGGTCTTGACGAGGAAGAAGGGGCTGCCGGCGGCTGCGCCGATGATGCCGGACGAGGCGCCGCACAAGACGTTGATGGGGAGGTTCTGGGCGTTTTCGTTGTCGAGGAAGAAGCGTGACAGGCCCTTGCGCATGGGCTCGTAGAAGCCGAGGCGGCAGCCGTTGAGCAGCACCTGGTAGATGTAGGCGGCGCCCAGGCCGCGGTAGATGCCGCGGATGCCCTCGTTCTTGACGATGACGCTGATGCCGTGGATCGGGCCGCGGTAGTACTGGGGCTGGGCGCCCTTTGTCTGCAGCTCGCCCTGGAGCTGCTGTCGGATCTTGAGGACTTCGGCCGGGTGGGTGACGGTGACGGCGCCGCACGCCGCCAGAGCGCCTGCGGTGAAGCCGCTGAATAGAGAGAGAAGAGTGTGTGTTAGTTGTGAGTCTGGTGAAGGAGTGTGTTGAGAGTTCGAGTCGTGAACGTACCCGATAGTGGTGGACATGGCGCTGTCGCCTTTCCCTTTCGCACAGCTTGCGAGGCCTTTCTTTCTTTCTTTTTTACCACCTGTGTTATTACAAAATAATAATTCTAAGGAAGAATAGCAACAGTAATAGGTAGAAAGGAAAAAAAAAAGATTCAATTAGAAAGAGCCTAAAAACGAGGCGGGTTAAAAGAAAAAAGAAAAAAGGGTGTGTTGGGGAGCTGCAGGAACGGATTTCGAACTTTGGTGACCCGATGACGGCGGCCCGGCTAGCAATGGCAACAATTGAAGCTTGCAAACGCAACCCGAACCGGGATCCCGCAGGGTGGAGGCAAAAGAAAAAAAGACGACGATATCTTTGCTGGATTTCATGTAAAGGCGCAATTGAAGCCGCTTCTCCTTCTGCGGTAAGCCTGATTGCGTCGTCGTGTGGAAGAGGAAGGGATGGAGAGGGACAAAAAATAGGGTCCCGAGAGCCACAGTGGCCGAAGAACGGAGCTTGGAGATGCTTCGGAAGACCTGGGGAAACTCGAGGGTTTGGCGCCAGTAGGGGAATTTGATCCTAGGCGGGTTTCAGGGACCAGTGGAGGATTTATCAGGTAAGCTGACGCTGCATGGGTTGAATATTACTGTACTTGTACTGTCCTGTTGCGCGATCTGGTTTATTATGACGACGGGGAGGAAGGATGAGATAAGACGGAGGGAGATGCGGATGGGGATCCCGGACTCTTATGATTTTTTTCTTTTCTTCTTTTTCTTCTTTTTTCTTCGTCTTTCATCTTTTATCTTCCAATTCCATCTCATCACCGTTTTGCCTATACGAGACATCTGGGCTTACAGCACAAGGCGCCACCGGTCTGACCGATGCCGTAAACGCGGCCGAGTTGCGATTGGCGTTTTTGACAGGCTGGGATGGCTTCAACAGTGCGAGAATTGAACGGATAGAATACCACGGAGGATTAACTATCTGAGATCCTTGCCCCCCCCAGCGCGAATCGGCCCTCCACCCCCCGGCAATCTCCCGCGATTATTCAGCCGTCGCTTTGATTCGATGATGAAGCCGTGGGGTTTCAAGGTGAGGGAGGTTGTAGCCGACTTGACTTGTGGTTGCGCCGACGAAAGCCGCTGGGCTGGCGGTTTATCGGTAAAGTTGTGTACGAGTAGTTCAGTCAGTTTGTGCAGCTTTCGTATACTAGTAGTATTGCTGCGGTTCAAAAAAAAAAAAAAAAAAGGTGAACAACTAGACGTTGAAGCTGAGCGGATCTCGGTGGCCGATGGCCATGTGTATCCGTATGCGTGTTGATGAGGGCATTCCCGAGTGCCGCGAGTAAACGAGGGTGTTTGGGCGATGGATAAGAGATCTGACGGCAGCTCATCTATAAGCTTGTCTCTCTCATGGATTGTATTTTATGGAGAGCAAGGGGATACTTTACCGAGTGATACTGCACAAGGGGTTGCGAGACCATCATCTTTCCATTACATGTTCTCATCTTACCCCCATGCCTCGTTAGCATCTACGCAAGTACGTGTTACTCCCATGATATACACAGGCAAAATAATTGCTGGCCAAATCCCGCCGTCTAAGCTTGTCAAAGTCTCGAGCCATCCTTTGAAGAAAAAGACCTCCGATCGTCACCCTAGTAGGGCACTCTTGGCGCAACGGCTCTCCAGAATGCGCATCTCTCACCACGCCCCCCTTCCCAGCTCTTCGCATCAGCCAGTCGAAACGTATTGACGATGCCGTCTCCATGGCGAACGTAGTAGCTCAGCTCGTCCGTCACCGTCACCAGAGACACTTGCCCGCCCGTCGTATTGAGATTCATAAACGTCGGGTTCTGCTCGCTATACCGCGGCCACGAGATCACCTCCGGGCGCTTGGCATCGACAGGCACCGTCGCGTTCTCGGCTCCGGCAGTTGCGTCGTCGACGGAAACGATGGGACTGCCGCTGACGATGAAGCTGCCCCATATCCTGTGGAAGCTGTGCTGGAAGCTGGGGTTCGGGAAGCCGCTGCTGGCAAAGTAGGCGCCGAGATCCGCGCCGTGGTACGCCGGGTCGAGCGAGTACTGGTACTTCCATGAGCGGCGGCCCGAGGTCGGCGAGCTGAAGGCTTCGGCGGTCCACTGGGACGGGCACTGGAAGATGGATTCGGCGGCTACGTTGAAGGCCGTCTGCTGGATGCCCGTGGCCATGCCCGAGACGGTGTTTGCCGTTGGGCCGACGTCGCCGCTTGTGTCGAAGCGGGTTTCGTTGTTGCCCGGCTGGGCCGTGGCTGAGTTGTAGATGTGATTGAGGGATAGGATGTCGGAGGTGGTCAGGAGAGGGAGGGTGGAGGAGATGAAGGCGTCGAACTGCGGCTTGGTGGTGATGTTGGGATTCGTCAGGGGGACGCCCTCGTCTGCATTGGTCTGTCGAGCATTAGCATGGAAAACGAGGCATTTACGGAAAAGGGCCTCGTCGTACTCCGATCAAAGCTCGCTCGCCGCTGACCTTGCCGCACTGAAGCTGTTCCGAGGGCCGTTGCCGGATCATGTCGCCGTCGATGACTGGGAGCCAGGCGAAGCTCCCAAAGTAGCCCGTGGAGGTCGATACGAGACCACTGGCATTTTGGAGGGTATCTGTGTCTGCGGCAACAAGGCAGTGGAATACGCTCGAGTGTCGTTTCACAGCAGATGAATCCTTTCCACAGCCGGCGGCTTCGGCAAAGTCGTGGTAGTGACTTGTGGGAATATCGCTGTCGAAGGGGTAAATGGGAGGGACATAGTTGCTCGCCAAGATGAGCTGGAACTCATCAGTCATGTGCCATCGACAAGAACACGGGTTGGGGGGTTTTTAGAAACACGTACGTTGTTGAAGAGCCCGGATTCTTTACCCCCATACGCCAACGACTGATACATGACGGATGCCGCGCCGGACGATTCACCACCCAGAGTCACTCGCGTTGGATCGCCGCCAAACTTGGAGATGTGCTTTTGAACCCATTCGAGGGCGAAGCGCTGATCCAAGAGCCCGGCATTGAGCTTGCCGTGCTGGTGAACGTGGGCTGAAGCCAGCTGACCAAATGCGCCGAGGCGATACTGGATCTCGACGACGACGAAGCTGTTGTTGTTGGTGTTGATCAGGGAGCTGGGGTCGTAGGTGGCGGCGAAGACGGAGTAACCGCCGCCATCTTTGGGGGTTGTTCAAGTCAGCCTTGTTCAATGTGTGGCTCGATGGTGATGCGTTTATGCTTACGGATCCAAACAAGGACGGGTAGATTCTCAGCTCGCGGCGGAGCGTAGATGTTGAGATACAGACAGTCTTCATTGCCGAGGTTGGAGTTGAAGCCGTATACCAAAGGCACGCCAAAGGCCCCCGACTGCGGGCACCAGGGAGGCTGATCTATCGCTTGAACGAGGCGATTTGGGGTCGTTGTCTTGGGGGGTTCCTGGGGAGCTTGCCATCGCAGTTTGCCTACTGGCGGAGCAGCATAGCGGATGCTATGGAGTGGTGAGTCTTTTTGTCCCTGTTCTTCTCGTGTGTAGAGAGAGAGAGCATAGCATGATCCGCACCTTTTCCATATGTTTAGGTCGGTGGTGGCGTTGTAGAGGCCCTCGTAGACGGCGTATCCGAGATCAACTCGGGGACGAGGCGCCGGCTCTGGCAGTGCTTGGTCTGAGACTGTGACCAAGGCGAGTAAGATGAAGCTGATGATGAGCCTCATCGTGGTGAGTTTCTTGCCGACAAATGGTGATTTACTCGGGGAGTTAAGTCTGAAGGAGAGGAAGGGATTTTTTTTAAAAAAAAACATGTAGAATTGAAATTGAGAGAAACAAGGAGAGAAAACAATGGCCAAAGCCTCAGACGGATTTCATCGGGCGGCTCGCCAGCTGGCGGATGTGCTCAAATACATGTACTGAGCATTGAGTGTTCAATGTTAAAATCCAGATCTGTATTATCTAACGGCACAGCACACATTGCAAACTCTAAACGATGCGCCCGTAAATTGCTGATTCACTATTGTAGTACCAATGAAATATCTCGGTATTAAGCAATTTATTAAGCATATGAAAAACGGGCTGCGCGAAAGCAGCTGAAAATCAATTTTGGGTGCATTCGGTGATGCCTGAGGCTTTGCTGTTGGATGCTGTGTCGGATGTTGGACGCATGTGGTTTTACGAATATGCATGTGGTTTCATTACGGCACGGCACAGGGCGAGATGCTACATGTAGCTGACGAGCCATGTGCTAGTTCTCGTGTTGTTGTTACCGTGGCGTGGGATCGTGATGTGTGTGTGATGAATCCCTGCGGCCTGTTCCGATGACGGAGTAGGCAAGATTCTGCATCTCTCTCATCTCTGGGTGCTGCAGGGGGCCGAGGCTTGAACGCCTTCGAATGTAAGGCGGACACAAGACAGGGATTCAAGTCGACAATGTTGCTGCCATTGGTCTTCTGAGACAATGTGCCGTGAATTTTGATATGTGGCCGAGGGGAAATGAACAAGTCTCTGAATGTCTCAGTCGCCCTTTCAACCGCTCACCAGCTGACTACCTAGACTCTCTCCATCACGCGTCCTTGAATCATCAACAGGAGACAATGGCCGTCATCTGCACTCTCACATGCAGCAGGCATCTACTATCTGTACCTGTACATGTAGGTACTCGTATTCCGCAGCTGAACAACCTACCATGGACGCATGCACACAAACGTGCAAATAGCGTGGCGATTCATGCGCTTGTGGCGAGGCGAAACCCGAACAATGTAAAGCGTTTGTACCGGTACTCGCCCTGCTTGATAACACAAGCACCTTGGTATGTATTGAACTTGACGTCGTATTGTCGACTCTTGGCTAGCCTGGCTTGGGAGCCGTCTTACATGCATGGGTGCCCAGGATCAATCTTTGCTGTGTGCTCCCCCACCTCTAAGGCATTCTGTAGTAATAATTCACAGGACTCTACTCTTACAAAGAGAGTGGCTTTCTGTCTTTCATGTTCTTGTCGATCTGCTGGTATACGTGTTTGTTTGGTTAGTTGGCTGCCCCTTTGTTGTAATTGCAGCTGGTTGTTGGTTTGGTTTCACGAGATGGCCGGTTGCGTGCTGAGAGAAATGAATGGTATGGTGTGGTGAAAGACGATAATGCAACGCATCAGTATACCCACATCATGTATGTATGAGCGAGTGGGTGTGTAGAACTCAACAAGAAGCATGCCTGATTCTTCTCTGTCGCTTCTCTGTCGCTTCTTTTTTTTTTTTTTTTCGATGCCATGATGGATGCATCTATTAGAAGAAGGTTTAGACATGAAAATGGCAGAAAAAGCACGGAGAAGGATCCAAGGCATCGAGACTTGCTCTACAATACTCCTTGTTCAATAATCACCTGCATCCTTGTATCCTTGCCTCCATGTACGTAGCACCAACCTCCCGGGTTCAACATATGTGGCTTAAATTCCAATCTACATGTATCATCCCCGTGGTGTCTGTATTTGTATTTGAAATTAGGCGCATTGACGTTACAGATTGAGTAGGGAATCAAACCGTGAGGAGCAGATCTGGTGACCACAGGCACAGCTACTGTATGCAGCTGGATGTGACGCTTTCTGGTGTTGGATCAATCATTCCCCCCACCCATCGTGCCGGTTTAGCAGCAAACCGCTGATTCAATGCAGACTTGCCTCTTCCTTTGTCATTTCTCGAATTCTTCCATCGTCTTGCTCTGGCTTATGCTGCAGCAGAGCCTTGCCAAACTGGTACTCGTTAGGCACCCTCCATTCCAGTCTGGCGGCATCTAAGTGGCCGGATCGATCTGTGAGGAGCAAAGAGGATCCCCTTGGGTGGTGGTGCCGTTGAGTATCTGTACGGGCTTATACAGAGCAGAGAGTGGTGGACTTCGATCTGGGAGGGTGATGTCGCATGTGTGCTGCATAATATTGAACATGCTAGTCAGCCATACAATGATGTTCAACTACATGTCGGTTGATGTAAAGAGTGGCCTACTGCAGCCTCGCGCATGGCCTTGGCCTTCTTCTTCTTCTTCTTCTTTTCTCTCCACGTCTTTTCTGTCTGTATTCGTTAGCACATCTCTCACTCCTTTTCACATCGATTTCCCATCAATATTATCGTGTATGCTTGACTCTTTGTGAGCATGCCATCGTGTCAGTGACGCATTGTACGGCCTCAGCCGGCCGGCCGGTTGGTGCTGCTATTGACTGTTACGAGCTGTCAACTATCCGATTAGACATCCTCCACGCAACCCGTATGGAGATGATTTCTTTCAGATAGAGAGGCCTTCGAAGGATGCTGCTCTGAATATTTATATACAACAGTATATATGTCACTGCGTGGGGCAGTGGCTGCTTATGCTGCGACCTGTTTCTTGAACGACACAACGTCCAACAACGCCAGAACAAGAGAAGAGAAGAGAAGAATAAACGCACAAGATGGCGACGAATTCGACGCTCAGCCCGGACTACTTGGCCGAGTCCAAGACGCACATGGTCACTACCATGTATGCGATTCCCATTGCGCTCGAGGCACTCAGCACCGGGTGGCGGCTATGGGCGTCAGCATCTACACAGTCTGGGTTCTCATTTGATGACTATCTCATGCTTTTTGCGACGGTATGGCTCCAAGATGTTGTTTGGGGTGTGAAGAGGGCTAACAAAGGCTTTGAAGCTGGTGGCCATGACTGTGTGCGTGCTTGGCATTGTATATGGTAGGTTGAATCGTGATGCTACGCCTTGTAAGAGCAAGATGAGGACTGAATTTGCCATGTAGGACCACCGAATGGACTTGGACGCCATATAGAGGCTGTATCCGAGCATCAAGTACAACAGTTTCTCAAGGTAAGACCTTTTGGCCCTCTTGTACTGATATGAATGATAACCATCCCCCCATCAAAAATAGGGAGACTACATCTTTAGTCACTTCTACGACATCGCCATAGCCTTTACAAAGCTCTCCATATTGGCCCTATACTACCGCATCTTTGTCACTCGCAAATTCAGACTCATCGTCCTCGGCACTGCCTGCTTCGTGTGTGTCTGGGTCATCGTCATGGAGGTGACGCTGGGCCTGGGATGTCGGCCCATCAAGGCGTGGTGGGGTGAGGCAAAGGGGAGATGCATCAACAAAGAGGCTTTTACGTACTTTACCAATGTGACCAACATGGTAACGGACCTGTGGGTGTTTTTGATGCCGATCCCCGTGATACTGGGGCTTCAGGCGGCCAAGGAGAAGAGGATCACCCTGTGCCTCATGTTTGGAGTTGGGCTGGCAGTGTGTGCGATTAGCGCGGCAAGGCTGTCGTTTGTGTTTGGCGTTGCATCTGCTGATTTCACATGCAAGTCTTGATCCCTACTCTTCTCCATTGCCCACAAGACCGTGCAAGAGGTTCCTAACCAGCGGTGTTGCAACAGGGGACGAGGCGTCTCTGGGAATCCTATCGGCCTGGGAGCCCTGCGGTGCCATTCTATGCGCAAACCTCCCCCCGATATACCGGCACCTCGTCATCATCAGCGAATTCCTCCGGGCCGGTGTCCGGAACGTGACGCAGTGGACGGTGACGCAGTCCCGGAGCGCCGCAACGGGCGTCAGCTCCGATCGGCACGGCGGTGACAAGGGAAAAGTGCAGCATCACGACTGGGCCGAGCTGAACCACAGCGATGCCTTTACGGGCGAGACGAACCGCACCGTTACGGAAGTGTCTGCGCAGGGGCCGCCGAGCGATGCGGTCGAGATGGACGGGCTGAAGGCGGGAGGCATCATGGTGGAGAGGGCGTTTACGCAGGTGAGCGCGCAGGACGTGGAGGCGGCGTCTTCGTCGAGGGATATAGAAAAGGGAGAAGAATGAGGTCTTTAGTGTTGGCATTTTGTTGTCATGTTTTTATTAGAATAGATGTGTGTATATATAAGGAGCGGCTATCACCATCGCGGCGAGTATGGTGGCGTTGGGGAAAGATAGAGCGGGAACAATTTCACCTACAGGTTCATGGGTGTACGTATGTGCTACTGTAGCTTATTTCTCATGGGATATCATGTTAACAAGAAAGCATTTATGCTGAGATATAGGCACGATCGTTTGAAAAAAAGCGATGCGGATAAGTAGTCACCTCAATATACAGCACTTGGTCATATATGTGAGTGAATGACTTGAACGTGATGCTCCTCATCGGTGTTGAAGCATCGTGACAATGACCAGCAGAACTATAATCAAACACTCTCATTCATACCAATTATGTAATGATTACTCTAGAATAATGTTTCATGATGACTTCCAAACTTACATGAGTTGTAACTGTCAGCATACTGTACTCGTTGTATGTGCTTCTCTCATCTTGGAGCGGCACGTGCTTTGGCGTTGAAATCGGCCACGCGGAAAAAAAAAAAAAATAGACGCCAGAAGCGTGACGTCGTTGCTCTACTACTCTACTAACAAAGGCAAAAGCAAAAGCAAAAGCAAAAGCAAAAGCACCAACGCAATTTCGCACCTCCAACAAGCTCACAATCACCGCTGCATCCAATCTTCTCCTTCGCCCGCCGCTCAATTCGTCACGGCAAAGACCCGAAATCGCACTTCTTGGCCCCCAATTCCTCGCCACGACCGCTAAAAGAGCTCCTGCGACGCTACAGCGGCCTCTGTGGCCTCGGTCGGAAGACGCTTCAGCTTCAAAGCTCTGCTGGTTCGGCGACACAACAAAATGGCTTCCACGCCCATGGACCTCGATCTGCCCGCCAGCTCAAACGGCTCTCCCTCCCTCAGCATCTCGAGGAACCTGGCGGCCAGCGCGCCCGTGTCCAACCTCAGCGACGTCGTGTCCAGCTTCCGCCCGACAAAGGTCCGTTTGTTTTGCTACCGCTGCGCTGCGTCGCCAGATCATGATTGCTGACGTGAATCGGCGCCTCTTTTCAGCTTTTACGTCGCGAAGATGTCAAAGATGGACGGCCTCAGCCTCGGGTGCTCTCAATCGACTACGACGACGACGGCGAGCTGCTCATGACCTCTGCCAGCGACGAGACAATCCAGATCTACAACGTCCGAGAGGGGCGCCACGACAAGAGCCTGCTCAGCAAGAAATACGGCGTCAAGCTGGCAAGGTTTACACATACGAGGTCCAGTATAATATACGCCAGTACCAAGCAGAACCGTAATCGCACTCCTCACCATGACTCTGGCGCTGTTTGCATCTAATCACTCTCCAGACGCCATCCGATACCTCGCTACTCACGACAACTCCTTCATCCGCTACTTTGAAGGCCACGATGCCGCAGTCACGGCACTTGCCGTACATCCTGGAAGCGACAATTTCATATCCTGTTCACAAGACAACACCGTCCGGCTCTGGGATACGCAGACGAAACATTGGCAGGGCCAGCTCTTCCTCCGATCGCCGCACCTTGCGGCCTATGATCCTTCCGGCACGGTCTTTGCTGTTGCCTGTCCCAGCAGCGGCTCTGTCCTAATGTACGATGTCAGGAACTACGACAAGGCCCCGTTTGCCACCATTGATATCGTGGAGCAATGCCGCGGAGTCGATTCTCAGTGCCTTGTCAAGGGGTGGACCAAGCTCGAGTTTTCCAATGACGGCAAAACGATCCTTGTGGGAACAAAAGGTCGAGGGCACTTCCTCCTCGACGCTTTCCAGGGCAATCTGAAGGCCCATCTTCGACGGCCCGCGGGTGGCACGCGTCGGCTTGCTCCGGGCGAGAACCTTGCCGCAAACGGCGCCGCCCCGGCTCCAACCGACCCCGGAGCATTCGAAAGCAGCGGCGACTGCTGTTTTGCACCGGATGGACGATATGTGCTCAGTGGTGGAGCGAGACAGGACGTGCTGGTCTGGGATACACTGAAGCAGCCGGCAGAGAACAAGGTGTTGGACCCGACGTGGACGCTGCCTGATAAGAGAGAGGCGGCGGTGCTCGCCTTCAACCCGCGCTTCAACTTTTTCGCGACTGCGGACCAAGATTTGGTTCTTTGGCTACCAGACCCTCATGCATAGAATGCGAGTGTCGCTGCTTTCAGGAAACCCGTGTAGAATCGGCGGCCTTTTTTGTTTCGATTCTTGCATCGGTTCGATACAAGAGGAGAATGTGAATGGGACCATGTAGATACCCGACGTCGTGTAATCTGGCTCGTATAATAGGATCAGCTGCTTTACGACTGTCTTTTGAATATGTACATATATATAGAAAGATGCGCTTTGATCATCAATGAATGAGTGGGTTGAACGCCCGCTCTATAACTATGACGACCATCTCTCCAACCATCTATTTACTCTTGCATCTTGTAACCGTCTTCCAAGAACCATCCTCTACGAACAATCTTCGAAAGATGACGCTGCCGGGCCAAATTCGACACCACCCATCTCCGCCCAAATCTGATCCCAAAACTCGCACTCTGTAAAATCCAACTCGGCCGGTGCAATGCTGTCCTGAATGTACACCCCTCGCTTCGAATGAGCATCAAAACGAGGCCATCCCACGCTCTTCGTCTCCGGATTCCCTCGTTCGGCCAACGCCGTCCACGCCGCAACCATCGAAGCGCTTATACTGCGATCTTGCTTCGAGGCATTGCACGAACCAGTGCTAAAAGGCTGGTTGTCCATGTTCCCAAAGACAAAGGGCACTTCGGCCGTGTGCGTGCTTCCAAAGAACGGGGCGAGGTCTGCCGAGGGGAAAGGCTGGCCGTCTTGGTCGAGCCAGGGGCAGGAGAGGGTGCGGTTGAAGCGGTAGGCGTAGGCCGGGGCTTTGGCGGCACGGAGGGCTTTGTAGGCGGGACAGTTGAAGCCGGAGACGGTGGCGATGTGGGTGATGGCGGCGAAGGAGGTGGAGGCTGTGGTGTTGAAGAGGGAGAGGGGGTAGGCTTTGGAGATGGAAGAGGAAGGGTGTGTAGTTGGCTTCGGTGAGGACGTTGGATGAGCAGGAGAAGTAGACGGGGAGGGTGAGGAGGGTGCTGTCTAGTTCGTCTGTTTGATGGTGTTAGTCTTTTTGTGTGTTTTGTTTTGGTTAAGGGGTTGATGACTTACTTTGACCGATGATGATGGGCACTTGAGAACCGACTGATAGAGGCTGGTGCTTGATGATTTCGTCGTCGAGGCCCGAGGAGTCGAGAGATGTGATGTTGGGAAGGTCGATGCCCAAGACGGTGGCGAAGAGGCCGCCGTTGGTGGTTGGATCGAGGAGGGCTGGCGTGTGGGAATGAGCCCTGACAAGGTCTTTGACAGACTTGGACTGTAAACAGCACAACTAAACAGGTGGCATTGTCAGTTTGAAGAGCTTCGCATTGAGAGGAGGGGGTGGACTTGCATCGTCTGAACGGCAGTTGAGCGTCTTTGCGAAACTTTGCCCCGTATACGTGGCTGTCTTGTAAGGAGCTGCATCTTGGCCTCCCCCAGACTCCATCACCGCAGCAGAGATTAGATGCTTTGCCTCTGGGAGTGTTGAGACTACAAAGGTATCATCCGCATCGGCACTTTGGCCGAAGAGCATCACTTTGGTCGAGTCACCTCCAAAGGCTCTGATGTTGTGTTTCACCCAGGTGAGGGCTGCAAGATAGTCCTGGATGGCCATGTTGCCTCTGATGCCGGCATCTGGTAGTGCTAGGAAGCCGAGGGGACCTAGTCGGTAGTTGAATTTGGCTACGATGGCGAGGTTGCATGAGTGGTAGAGGGGGTACGTGATGGCTCCTCCGTCGTTGCCGCCACCGTAGGCGAAGACTTTGACGGGGAGAGATGATTTAGACGCTGCGTGTTGGGGGACGTAGATGTCGAGATATAAACTAGAGGCCTGGGATCAGCATTTACATGGTATGTTTTGTCATGATGTAAGAGCTTGACAACCGCTTACCAGTCTTCTGATAGGGGGAGCGTCTGTCACGTCGAAGGCGGATCCCCATTGGATACATGCGGGTGGTGGCTTTGTCGCGTCTGGGTGTCCGTTTGGGTATCGACAGTCGTAACAGTTCTGGGGGCATAAACCTTCGAGGACCGACGGGTGGATGGGCGTATGGGATGCCGTGGAATTGTTTTACTGGAGTGTGTTTGCATGTGTTTCCTAGGATTGTGCCCGAGGAGAGATGGACGGTGGGAGGATCTTGAGGATGAGAAGCTGCAGAGATGAGATCTGCGACGAGCAAAAGACTTGCCAAAGTGGTCGAGTGAAGCATCGTGATAGTTTACGACTCGACTCGTTCTTGTAAGTAAATTAGAATGAAGAGATGAAGATGAGAGTAGCAATTTTCTCGTTATCTAATGTTGAGATGTTACGTGGAGTATATAGAGGTTGAGTTATTACTCCTTGACCCCTGAACCACACCAGATCATCTTCGGGCTGCCACTCAACCGCATTAGTTTGCATAAAGACTGCTTCTTCCAACCATGCTTACAACAACTAAGCTACGTAGCCAACCCTCAAAAATCTCGGTGAAACGTAATTGAAGGGTTGGTGATGAGCATCAGCCACTGAAGCTGACATTGACCGATCTGGAAGCATTCCACGATGTGAGGCCTTGGCGTTGCCTAAAAGGCTGTGTTTCGTCGAGATGGAGAGGCTAAGCTCTTTGACGGCCAGTCCAGCTGCTTGTTTGCATAACAGGGGTGGCTCGGGCTCAGACGAACTAGAAGCTGGTGAAGTTGACTACATGGATCTGTTCAAGGCTCATCAGTCAATGCCGAGTTGCCGTTGAATTTCCATGCCCAACTGTTCGGTAAGTGAGAATTTGTTTTCAATCTGCACTCAAAGTTTCAAACACGACACAAAGGAAAAGCATCTTTTAGCCTAAAGTAAGCCGTATGTCTTCCGGATCATTTCCCTCCCACGCTTCCGCCAACACACGTCCGCAGCCAGACCTATATGCCACATCATTATCCCCGCGTTGGATCCAGAGAACATTGTAGAACTGGTACTCCTCATCGTCTTCATACTCCGGCAGCTCCAAGCTCTCCTCATACTGTCCTGTAGCGATAACTCGATAATTATGGCCATCGTCCAGGGACATCTCATCTCCAATGCCAACCCATCGTCCAGAGCCATCATATACGGCGTGGAACGGCCTTGGATCTGCGTATCTGCTCTTTCGTAGGACCTTGTCCTCGTAGCAGCTCCGTAAACATTTGCCCTTTGCGCTTGCCTGCGAGATTGCAATAAGCTCAATGGGCTCTGCTGGTCCACACGCCGCGTCTCCTGTGATACGAATCACGCCCCCAAACCTCCCCTCTGTATCTCGAAGAGCAACCACCTTGGACAAATTGGTCAGGGGGCTTTGAGTGAGGACCGGGTTCGCAAACGCCGAGTAGAATCCCGCGTGGCTTATGGGGAATGGCACGTTTTGAATCTCCAAGGTTGCTGCGGGAAGGAAATACGCACGAGTTACTGAAGCTGAAATGTGATTCGATTTGGGCAACGTTCGCTGGGCAGGTTCTTCTGCTGAGTCGACATGTTCCCAGGTGACGGTGTTTTGCAGTTTCCAGGAATTCGTAATGTCTATTTTCTTGTGGCCATCTTGATCGACATTTGGAACTGATTGAAAGCTCTCAGGGTCGATAAAACATTGCCATCCACACCAGGCCCAGGAGGGCAGCGTGGGCCTTCGGGCTGAGGGGCCGCATCCCTGGTGGTCCCGGTTTGTTCGGGGCCATGTATCAAGATAGGTGCCTTTCAATGGCTGCCAGAGTAGTGCATGGTCTAGATAAAGTCTGGGTAAGCCGAATAAAAAGCCTTGTGGAAATGCAGGAGCTAGATAGTTCAAGACCCCTAGGAACGCAGAGAGGCCGTCTTCTTTATAAGTCAACTCCCGTCCATTATAGGGGCAAACCAGGTCAGCATAGATACTGAAGTCAGGCCATGTCGGTACTGAGAGCTGCCTCATGGGCGCTACTTCTGATAGAGTCCCCGGCGAAGGTTGGTCGTTTTGCTGCGGTCGAAGTTGACTTGAATCCCACACTGCGCACTCGCATTGCCAGAATATTCGAGTACCCAGAAAGAAGACCACTCGTTTGCTGAGAACGTATTCTTGGTACGTCCAGGCTCTTTTTACCCACTCAGACGCACACACTGTCTCGTAGTAAGACCTAATACGATCTGCTCTGGCGGCCTCGGCCAGCTCAGTGGGATTTTCCCACTCCGACCCAAAGCACCAAATACTCGTTGTATGCCTTACTTCTGGACTGTGGATAGTCGCTTCGGGAGTATGAAACATCCCATACTCGGCTGCAGCAATAATTGTCATGTAGGCGCTAGAATACACACGATCCATTGATGAAAACTCGGCTGCTTTCCCTGGATCGTCTTGGACGATGCAGAGTCTATCCACCCATAGATGCCTTTTCCCAATTGCGCTCGTCAACTCCATACTATCGGTTATAACTTTGGGTAACTTCGATTTATACTGCCCCAGCGCATTGACCGTCGTCAATAACTCGATGTTGTTGCTGAGCAGCTGTAACTCAGCATCCTTGTTGGTCTGACTTGTCTTGTTCTGCCAAGTATAGCTGAGCGCCAGATATTCGTTCGAAGCAGCCCCTCGTACTATACAGCGATCCTTGACATCAATAAGCCAAGAAACTTTCTGCTGTATGCTAGATGCCGAAGATGATACGGTACAGGCACCACTATGACGATGGTCGCAGTTTGATAGCCAGTCCTTGATTGATTGGATGATAGGTGGGTTGTCATCAGGTGTAAAAAGCGTAAAATGCGGAGGAGGAAACTGTTCACTTTTGTCTGAACCACGCCCTCCTCCACCTTGCTCTAGTCTTGGGATTGGTATCATGGCATAGAAACACCAGATTAACCAAGGTGTGAAATGAATATGCCGAGGAAAGAGAAATGGGATTAGAGGGGAAGGCATATATTCAAATTAATAAAACAGACGCCTCTTGGTTGGGCATTAAGGCACCAAGAAAACCACCTGCAGGCGAGGCAGACTCCAGGCGGGATCAGAGGCTCAGAGAAAGTGTAGATCAGCTTTAACCAACTGTTGCTGCGGGTATGTCGGCTCAGGTAACAAGCACCAGGTAATACCCCCATCAACTGATATCAAGCTACACACATACGTGAATATGGGCCTAAGAGTTGGAGAAAATCTGAAGGGCTCTCACTCGTGTCCATCTTCGCCTAGTTTCCCCCCCCTATAGCCATGCACAGATTTGACTGTCATTGGAGGAACGGTGGATGCAGGATTGCACGTAATTAGGCAGCAAGAACATTGGCGGCGATGGGCTTTTTGAGCCCAATTCACACCCTCCAATATGATATCAAGTAGACCCCGCAGGTTATTGATTCCCAAGAATCAGGCTGCCGGTGGAGTTCTGCACGGCAATGGATGTCACGTTATGAATCGGCCTGGTCCTGAACACCTCTTGGTAACATCTTGATCACAGTACCCTCTATAATTGCCAATGGCCGCAGAATAACTAAACACGAATATGGAACAAGAAACGAGAGGCAAAATGTCCTACGAAAGCTATACTGTTGCCGTGATATGCGCCATGAGCTTCGAAATGAGTGCCGTTCGTTACATGCTGGACCGGGAACACCCTCGCCTACAGAGAAAAGAAGGAGACTTCAACACTTATGTTTTGGGCGAGTTGTACGGAAACAACGTTGTGCTTGCATGTCTCCCTGGGAATCAAGGAAAGGGGTCTGCAGCAACTGTCGCTACCAACTTGGCGCGGACATTTCCCGCTATAGCATTGAGATTTCTCGTTGGAATAGGTGGAGGAGTACCGAGTGATAAGCATGATGTTCGCCTAGGCGATGTGGTTGTGAGCATGCCCAGCGGAGAATATGGTGGCGTGGTGCAGTACGACCTAGGGAAGAAGACAGATTATGGCTTCGATCTTAAGGGATTTCTGCAGCCTCCTCCGCCGTTGCTACGAAGTGCGGTTGAGACCATGCGCTCTGATCATCTTGTTAGTGACAACAGAATCGAGGAGTTTGTCTCTCAGATGCTGCAGAAAGGGCCGCGTCTTTCCGTCTATCAAGCTCCTGCCATCAAGACCGACATCTTGTTCACGAAAGGGTATTCTCACGATTTTAACCAGTCCACTTGTGACCGATGCGATCGTGAGAGAGTTGTTGCTAGAAGTGATCGCCAGTTCCCCGGACCTGAGATACACTACGGACGAATTGCCTCTGGAGACACAGTCATGCGGAGTAGCAGCAGTATTGGTGCGAGTTATTTGGAGGATGTGCTCTGCTTCGAGATGGAGGCAGCGGGATTGATGACGGAGTATTCTTGTCTTGTCATCCGTGGCATCTCCGATTATGCGGATTCTCACAAGAATGATTCGTGGCAATATTACGCGGCTGCGACAGCGGCTGCTTGCACAAAGGAGCTTCTTTCATATCTACAGCCCAATGAGAACGTGTCAGAAGCGGGAGCTTCATCTCTTCCGCTCTTGACGGGAGACGATGGGACGGCACTAAATAACATTTCTCGTTTTTCTGGAACAGGTATTCAGCACTCGGGAGCGGGAACTTTGTCAGTTGGAGGCGACGTGAATATTGGCTGAGGGAATGTATGTAGGCATCATATATCTATCTAGTCTATAGTCGATTGAGCCCCCCATATATAACAACTTCCATTACTACTCAAGTTAATATACCTAGGAGGTATCTAGATACATATACTATAGAGTCTATCCCTTACTTTCCTCTCCTTGGAGACAAGAAATCACTCAGCAGAGCCAAGTGCAAAGTTATGATATGTTCCAAAATATCCTACCGAGAGTGTCACCTTGTTTTCGAACCATGACAAATCCGTGGGAGGCAACGAGCTAGAGCCTTCTGAGAAAAACTTGTTGATTCTTTTCGCTAGCCATTTGGGATTCTCGTCGGCTAAATTACGATTAGTTTCATAGATTACAAACAAGAGCACAGGGGGTTTAGGGTGGAAGGGGGTTCAAGATGGAATACGCACCAATCCAGTGTCCTGCCTTGGGTACAACATCAATCTGCAGATTATCGGATGCTGGGCTAAAGATCTGCTTCAGAACCGAAGGAATTCCAAACGAAGCTTCTCCTCCTAAAGCTAGTAAGGGCATGGTGAGCTTCTGCTTCTGGAAAGCACTTGTGAAGAAGGCGTTGTCCGCAGCCACTGTTTGGGCAGCGAACGGTCCCATCATGGCACGCAAGAAGCCCGGTTTGGCGATTGATGACGTGTATTGGTTGACGATGTCCTCAGGAATAGACGAGGCGCCCGAATAGCTCCCGTGGTAAAAGTACCACTCCAGAAAGAGCTTTTCTTTGCCCGATATCAGAAACTCAGCAAGGTCCGGAACCTGGAATAGTGCCAACTGAGTGTTTCCGTACAAGTCCCAGTAGGGCCCGGGATTGGCCGCGGTCTCGTATCCGTAGCCTGGATACGCATACTCGCCGACGCCGAGCCGCTTCACGAGCGACGGATACTTGATGGCCAGGGCGGTGGCCGCGCCGACGCCCTTGTCGTGGGAGAAGACGTAGGCGGAGGTGATGTTGAGAGAATCCAGCACGCCTTTGAGATCGTCTGCCGATGCGGAAGAGCTGTAGTTGCCATCCGGCGGGATTGAAGAGTCTCCGGCGCCGCGATTATCGGGGGCGATGACGGTGAAGTTCTCGGCGAGCAACGGCCCAACCTCGCGCCAGGTGAGACTGAACTGAGGATTGCCGTGGACCAACAGCAACGGGGGACCTGATCCAGCATAGCGGAAATGGATGCTCACATCCTGTAGCGTCACGCGGCCGTGACTCCAGTCGTCCCAGTTTGTAAGAGCTGCTGCAGCTGTGGCAAAGGCTAGCGAGACGAATGGTTTGACAAACATTCTGGACCTCATGGTGTGATGGTGATGAGTTGAATTAGATACTTTCTGGTTGTATCTGAGTTAATGAGGAGAGTAGTTGCCTTGAGAGTTGGCATTGTTAGTATCAAGCAGTCGGAAACTTTGATATATATACTTAATATCTATATACTACTTGTATATGCACGTATGACCTAGACAGGTAGTCTGCCCGTTTAGGAAAGTTTCGTCAAGATGCATGAGAGCTAAAGTAAGCGATCCTACTGATTGGTAATGCCGGCCTCTGCTAGGACCTCTTACAGTTAGTTGCTCGGAGCTTAAACAAGGTCAATGGATCCATGAAGCGGATTTACAACTATCGCTACCTACATGACATATCAAGGTGCCTACATACCTGGTAAGGAGTAAATTAAAAGCCTCCAGCCGCCTTTCCCCACGTTCAGTTGTTTTTCTTATTAATATTACAAACCACCGTATGGGAAAGTTCCCTCGAGGTGCATTACTCTCCATCTAGTTTCGCCTCGGGGCGTCATGGGCGTACCACCGAGCAGTGGCTATTGCCACACATGTCGGAAGAGACGGGTCAAGTGTGGTAAGTCGCCAGAGTTTTACGAGATTGGGTAGTTTTCGTCGACCGGACATTGATTGACTCGGGATTCCGTATACTCTAGACAAAGGGACTCCGGCATGCCAGAGGTGCGTCAAGGCCGGGTACAGATGCAAGGGTTACGACCTGCCCCTGCGGATGCAGAATATGAGCATCGTGACGGAGGGGCCGGGAAGGCATCGACTGGCCAGAATCCCGCACTTCACCCCGGATCCGTCACACCAGCTGAGCCTTGTGGCCTTCAAGGACCACATATGTTTCACCTACTTCTTTGAGAACTGCAGCTGGGCTCATTGCTGGAGGCCGATGATCTCACTGACCAAACAAGATGCGCTGGGGCCGCTGGACTACGACTGCAGCTTGGCGCTTGCTTATGGGTATTTTGGTGTGAAGAGCCGCGAGAAGAGGTTGGAGGCGGACGGGAGAATACTGTACGGGAAAAGCCTTCACGCGATGAAGACGATCCTCGAGAGTGATGACAAAGAAGAGATAGGAAGGACGACGAGCGCCGTCCTCATCTTGGGCCTGGTCGCGGTAAATGGGCAGAATCACCACCTCTTGAGTATGGGCTGTGTTGCTGACATTGCTTCGCTAGACTGTATTCGATGAGAACCCTTATATGAAGCATCACGACGGTGTCATACAGATTCTGAAGCGCTGTGGTCCAAAGCACTTTCAGCGGGAGCCGCTGCTGACTGCTTTTCGACGAAGCCGGGGAATTCTCGTCTGCAAGTCCTTTGCACTGCGGAGACGATGTTTTCTTGAGGGGCCTGAATGGAAGACGATACCGTTTGAAATCTGCGGCAAAGACTCGTCAGATGAGCTGTTGGACATCCTGTGCGAGATACCAGGCCAGGCAGAAGATTGCTTCTCCTCTCCGCCAAACATGGTGTCCGACTCCCATCCTTCACCAATGCTCCAAATCGCCCGACTTTCCAATCAACTTCACATCTGGCGCCGCAAGTGGGATGAAGCGAATCCTCGCCTGGCCACTGGGACTTTGAACAACATGACGGGCTCAACGAATGACGCTGCAGAAACGCTCGCTTTCTACAACCTCAAACAAGCAACCGAGATCTTCACATACAATGCCGCGCTTCTCTACCTGTCACAACTTCGAGATGCGATACAGGACGGCAGACGCTGGACGGGGCCCCTTTCCATAGTCGAAGTGGACTACATCATGAACATGACCAGAGCGAATCCCCAATCCCCCCTCCTCCAGCCTGATCCGGTTGTGTTTACGCTGCAGCCCGCGCTGGAAGCTGCCAACATCTTTCCTTATCTTTACCACTGCATGAAGACTGAAAAGCTCAGCGATGTTTTGGTCATTTTGGCTCCTGTGGGCATCGTGTACTGTGCGCTGCAGAGTCGTCCAAATCTGCTTAATAAAGTTGCTGGACAGTTTGAGATGCCGTTTATCAACGAGGTCGGATCAATGCTGCAAACATACTCGTTTCCAAGTGCCCAAGCCCACTAGAAAGACTTTGAAGCGTTTATGACGCAAAAACGAATGAGAAGAGAGTCAGTAGCTCTCCTAAACGCGCTGCCATGCACGAACGAGCGTCGGGTGGCCCAGTATCCTCTTACTGTAAACCCAACCGACTCACTGGAATTTCTGTATTCTTAATTCCTCTTTCAGGCCGCCGACCAGCTCCAGAGTTTCGAGTTTCAAGTCTTGGAAAATTCTCATCAGCATGTCAGTGGCGACGAGGCCGGGTTGCATTGCGACACTGGTGAAGTCGGGATGCTGAGAGCGACAAAGAGATACTGGGCCGGTACTAGATAATATTTCTCATTTTCAAGGAATAGGTGTTCAGCATTCAGGATCGGGAAATAATCAGCTGGGGGCGACGTGAATGTTGGCTGACCGAGCAACTCCTTGCGTGTAATCTCGATTATAACACCCTGCCAGATAGTCGAGCCCAATCATCAGGACACAATGCATGGATCGATACCACCTCGCTATGATTGATTAAGCTTTCTGTTGAAAGGGATGGCCATGAATTACATCAAAAGTACCACCAGGTAGATAAAAGGCATGATGCTTCTTCTGCATTTCGCCACAACGCGGGAACTGAAGTCACTAGACTACATGTCTACGTGCACCCGGTACTGGAAAGTATCAACTCCCATTAAGAAAATGGGTTTAGCTTCAATATAGAAGACACAAGATATAGCCTTCGATCCCTTTCTCACTGGGTGCTAGTTAACTTCATCGAATTGAACTTCGATCAATGTATCCGAGAAACAACAAATGTCGGTTGAATGAGGAAATCGTCCTTGGAAACGCTGAAAATGTCGATAAGCGATCATGTATAGCCTCGCCAGACACAACCGCTATTTACTACGGCGCGAGCAAGGTTGCTACTGCTCAAGCTATATTTCATGGCTCAGGTATACAGCACTCCGGCCAAGGGGATTTCGTCGTCCAGGGTAACATTAACGTTACGTCAAATCCATTACCGAAGGATAAAGAGGCCGAGAAAGAGCGTAAGGAGGAAGAGCGCATAACGGCAGAATGTAAGAAGGTACTATTTGTGATTGATCCTACTGAAGACCGAGACATGTTAAAACGCAAGAAAGGAAGCCGTGCAACCGGAACTTGCGAATGGATCTTCAATACAACTGAACTCACTAGTTGGCTTCGACCAGATGAGGGCAATCCGGGGTCTCGACCACAAAGTGTCCTATGGCTCCATGGGAATCCCGGGATGGGAAAGTCAACCATGGCGATATATTTCACTGAGGAACTGTCGAAGCAGTTCGAGCCAGATAAACCAGGGGAAACGGTTGACAAGAGGACACTGGCCTACTTCTTCTGTGACACTAACTTCGAGAAGCGAAAGACAGCGACTTCAATCGTAAAGGGTCTTCTCTATCAACTGGTTCAGGTACATGACAACCTTCTCTCGAGGTATATCTTACCGAAATATAAAGAGCGAAAAGATCAAATGTTTACGTCAATTGATGCTCTATGGGCGCTTTTTATTGCTGCAGCGGCAGACCAGGACACTGGTCGGAAATATTGCATTATTGATGCACTGGATGAATGCGACAGCGACTCTCAAGAGGTCTTGTTATATCATCTACAGGAGACATTTCATTATCAAGATAAAGCCCCGTCAAATGTTCGTTTCTTGATTACAAGCCGACCATATCCGGAAATCCGGGAATGCCTTCAAGTTTTCACAAACAAAGACCTGGCCACCTTTTACCAAATGAGACAAGACATAGACCGTTGCATATATGAACGAGTCAACGACCTCTCCAAGAAAAAACAGTACACAGATAAAGTCAAGAGAGAAATTAGCATTATACTCAGGGAAAAGGCCGAAGGAACCTTTTTGTGGATTGTATTGGCATGTGAGGAACTAAAGAGAAAGCCTTCCAAGGATGCTATCCATTTCTTGCAGACCATGCCAAAAGGTCTCACCTCTTTATACGAGAAGCTACTCCAGACGGCGGTCGAGGACGAATACAGCGACAATACTGTTCGACGCATTCTGGGCTTCATTACCGTATCGTTCGAAGCGTTGAGCGTACTGGAGCTTGCTGATGCTTGCCAACTCCACCAAGATGAACCAGATGTGCAGACTCGAATACAGTACACTCGGGATCAAATTGCATCCTGCCGCCTCTTGGTGATAATCCAGGACGAAAAGGTGCAATTACTGCATCAATCCGTGAGGGATTTTTTAGTTGGACCTGGCTCCAATTCTTTCGTTGATAGACTCAATGCGCACGTCAGCGCAGCCTCTCGTTGTATCAATTTTTTGGTCGAGGCAACTCGTGGCAGTTTCTTCCGTTACGCATCGGCATATTGGCCACAGCATGCACGTGAGGCACAGGAGAGGTTCGAAATATGCAGATCACAAATACAATTCTTTGAGGCAAACTCGCCATCAATGAAGTCCTGGCTAGTACATCATCCGGGAACGTCGGGGTTCTCACTGTTGCATGTTGCTGCGCGGTGGGAACTTCCAACACTGATGGAATATGCTTTAGGTCTGCGAAACGTTTATCTCATGAATGGAGAGTCGATATTCATTGGCAAACTGGACGTGAATCGTCTCGATTTGCAACACAGATTGCCGCTGGCTCTGGCTCTTGAGTGGGGAGCAGGGAGCGGTGGCATTGAGATTGTGGACATGTTGCTACAGGCTGGCGTAATTGTGCGCAAAGAGGACGTAAAAAAGGCAATCCAACGTTATCACAAGCATCCTGAAGTGGTGTTATTACTGCTTGAGCGTTTAGAAGACCGAAAGGCATTTACACAGAGCATCATGATGGATCTAGTACATCAAGTGCGTATTCAATTGCTATCGGCAATTCTAAGCAAGTATGGACATCAAGTCTTGATCACAGGGGATATAATAATCGCTGCGATAAGAAATGAACGACAGGGCAAAAGTATCATGGAATTGTTTCTGCGACACCAAAGCAACCAGGCTATTATCACCAAAGGCGTGATATTTGAGGCAGTGATGAATCATCACCGATCTAAGGACATTATTTACTTAATTTCCCAAAAGACGAGAAACCCAGTCGCCATTATGGAAGACGCGATGGTCACTGCGGCAATGTACTTTTCCGTGATCAGGGAGCTCATTGAATTTCTTATCCAGGGTGGAGGCAGTGTTACAATTACCAAAAAGATACTGGAGACAGTGTTATATGATGGATTTTTGGGATATAAGCATCAGGCTGCATTTGTTGGATTAGTCTTTCAAAACCAAGGCACGCTTGATTTCACTAGCGAAGCATTTGCTGCTATTATTGAGTTTAGGCAATCTCATATTAGCGGTAGGTGAAGAGGATTAACCACCATGCTAAGAACCATGCTAACAAGAGCAAAGAGAGCACAGTGGTCGAGGATGATGAGAGGAATTCCGAAGAAGCCAGTGAAATTGACAATCTGTTACTTGAAGACTCGTAAGTTGTAGTCTTTTCTTTATTCTAGCAGTCTCTGCGTCATTAACTCCACGATCCTACATGATTGGCACCTAACGAAATTGAATGATAGTCTTTTCTTTACAAGAACAAAGACTCCAAATCATAGCCTGGCTGTATAACACGGGCCTCATTGAGACAAAAGGAGAGTAAGAGACACAATGAATCGTGCCAGCCAAGAATGAAGCTGGGAAAATAGCATCGCCAGACACACTAGTAGTCAATGCGTGCACAATCATGTTGGTCGTGACTCTACCGTGGCCATGTGTGGTCAAAGCTGCCCACCCTCCCCTTTGTTCCCTTGAAGCAAACGTGAAATCTTCTCGTCTCTTTCATTCTTTTCTTATCAACCACAGCTCAGCACCATTCATCAAACATGAGAGCATCATAACCAATCTTTAGGCAATATGGAGAACCGCTTGACCAGTCCCTCGCGATACTACATCGCTGAACTCTGAGACTGCCCTTGAATCCCTTCGAGACGAGTTGAAATTGAATGACAATGTCTTCCACGGCGTGGATGGCTTCTTGGCCAAGTATTTCGAGAATCCAAGCTGGTCCGCCGCAGTCAAGGGACACAATCCGTGACGCCAAGTCGGCCGATACCATCAACAAGCTGTTCACAGACGTCTTCAATATTGTCCACTTGGACACCTTGATGGACTGGCTTATCAATTTGCGGTCGCGTCTTTTTCGCCGCCAAAACCAACATCTGCTTCCGCTGCGAGTCCATCACCACGCCAGAGTCGCGCTTCAGTGCCAGCATCCATCTCGGAACGGGAGATGTCTCGACCGCCGCAGGCAGTGCCCGCGTGTATGGCGAATATCATCACGGCAATGCTCCCGTTACGGGTGACGACAACGGCCTTCTACGCTTCGCTTCGCTGCGCGTGCTGTGCAAGTGTTCAAGGCTCAACCAACTCGACACTTCTTACATGCCTTCATCCTTCATGGGACCACTCTGGAGCTTTGGGTGTTTGACCGCGCGGGTGCCTACAGTAGCGGACTGATGAATCTGGTTCGGAACCCTCAAGAACTATTCCATACTTGGGCGGGCTATGGCATGATGAATGACAAAGAGTCTGGCGTCAGCACTTTTGTCAAATGCCTTGGACCCGAATCAGACGGTTATGTTTCTTTTGATGATGCCGTTGCTTCTGATATAGCCTCTCTTTTTGATGGAGACTTTTTGGGGGATAAAGGCAACAGGAAAAGGATGTATCTTCAACCAGAGATGCTTGCAGCCCCAGGGTACTTGGCCGGGCTCGGAACGGCATGCTTCGCCGCCTCCATGTCGCCAATCGACGAGCCAAACATTGTTAAGTTTTCTTGGCGAGAAGACAACACAACTACCGAGCCTCAGCTGCTTCAGCTGGCACTTGGTCATCAATTGGCAGGACTACTGCGGTAGCTACACGGGGTGATTTTCCCAGTGCGTGACGGGGTGATTTTCACGGGGACTGACGAGGATGAGAAAGCTGCCATACGGCTCTTCACTAAGATGGCAGACGCTTTCATTCAAAGGTCTAACTGTAACGGGCATCGACATGGACTGAGATCTACATGTACATAATTGGTCAGGTCTCAACGAAGCAGGCTGATTTCTCGTGGGAGTGTTCTTTTTACGCCCCCATGTCACAGACGAAACTCTACAAGTACTTACCTACTTAGGTAGTCTAGATAAATTAACTTGTGTTACTTGACTGACCATAAGAGCGCGAAGAATCTCGGAAAGACCAATTAGGGATACCAACGTCTCGCTTTTGAGAGTGAAGTAATGATTTCAATGCAACGGCGGAGACTGTTGGCTTCGTACATATGTCAATAGAGTCATAGAGCCAACACTCCAAGACCGAGGAGGCGAAATCGTTCTCAAAGAAGGTGATGACCTTGGTTAATCCTTTGGGAAATTTCGTTTTTAATATTCCAAGTTACACGTATACTCATTCGTTACATTTTATGAGTGTTTGCTTTAGTCTTGTTCCCCTTGCCTTACTCTGCCTCAAGTTTATGACAGAGAATCCTCACCAGATTCTCCAACTCCACAATCTTCTTCTTCTCCCCTTGAGCATTATTGATACGTTCTGTAGCATCCCCAAACGTCTTCCAGACGGGCAAAAACTTTTTGTCGTCGTAATCCGGGGAATTAATGTTATCGAATGCGGTCCGCATGTTCTTGTGGTTCCGCAGTTTCAACGCCCAGTCAGTAAAGGGCCTCGAATCGTCATAGTAGGTTTTGATGACATTCGTGCAGTAAATTATTAGTGATGCAAGTCCTGCGGCCAATGCAGTAGAGACGGAAGATCCGTCATGATATTCAACGGGCTTTGATGACCGAGGATTCCTTGCCTCCGCCACTTGATTTCCGGGAAAGAAGTAGCTTATTGTGTTGAAGTCTTCAGATGTTGGATCCCTTTGGCCTTTGGGCAGCGCGGCACCAATACGAAGAATACAGTCCGATGCTGCGCTGAAAGGAAGGGATTCCCTACCGAGGAGTTGGATATCATCGGCGGCGGAGCAGAACATGAGGATGTTACGCGCCTTGGCCTTTTCAATGGCCTTTTGAAGCGCATCCATGGCCACCTCCTCGGGGGATCTCTTGTGCTCTTCGTCAGTCCCGACATCCAGGGCGTTAGGAACACTTCCCATCTTCTTTGCCAATTTCCGAATCGTCCACGACATGGATATGATGTCGGCCTTGCGGATGATGGCGCCTTCAATGGCTCTCGCAGCGCTCTCTGCGTATATGGTTCGGGTTTTACTTCCAGGACTGTGGCTAGTGCTTTCGTGAATCTTCATGACATCGAGCGAAACCCATGGGTTGATGCGCACAATCATGTTGGCCATGACTGTGCCGTGGCCGTTGGTGGATTGATGCCATGGCCGTTCTGTTTTCCCATCTGGTGGGCAATAGCTTAGACCAGTAGCCTGAGCAATGTTGTATGTATCTAGGTTCAAAAGATCGACGCCATCGTCTATTAACGCAACCTATAAACAAGGTATAAGCATTTATCTTCTGCAGTAGGTGACGGGGGTGGAAAGCTCAAGATCGCAGGTTTATACATGCCTTTACGGGCGGTATTTTAATCTTGCCGCTCAGAAGCCGGTGAACAGAGATCAGAGAGCTTCTGAAATCCTCCATCCTCTCAACCCAGACCTGCTGCGGAGGGCCGTCTGATGTTCCAATCTCTGACGGATCCAGATCGTCGTCCGACTTGATACTGGACGTAACCGTTCCAGAGTGTATCCTCTTCTCGATCTTGACCCTTCCTTTTGTGCGGTCGTTGATCTCGGTTTCAAAGGTTTCTATCATTTTCAACATTCTATCACGACTTTCGAAACCCTAAAGTCATTGTTAGATTATTGGTCTGAGATTCTAAATCTGCCTTGATAACGTGGCGTAGATGCTGAACGTGGGACATACCGGAAAGGCATGGAGCGTCACCCTCCTTAGCTTGCCATTGGATGTTGCATCTCTTGCAATACCTTCTGGGTAACCCCAGCCCTTGAGGATCGTCTGGTTCCCACTCCAGTAGAGGTTGATGTGAGTAGCATCTGGTGCTGCGAATGAAATAACATCCATGCTTAGGTCTGGCTTTCTCCAATCCCTGTGCGATGGTCAGAATCACGTCTGTTACTGGACTGAGAGATAGATTGGAACGATAATTACATACCAGGATTCTATCTTAATTTCCTCTTTCCTGGTATTACCGAGACCAAATGAATCTTGACCTCGTATGGCTCGTTCGATTGCGGCATCGGTATGAGGTAGGCCTTCTCTGTCGTCCACCTGCAGCCGGAGTATGTGGCGAATGTTGACTGACACCAGTTTGTCAAATACACTTATTAGAGCACTGCGCCCTAGCTTGGGATTTTCTTGGTGGGCGCCTCCGCGTTGTCTTTTCTCGTTCGAACTATATCCTCTGTTGTCTGACTTGGATGCGCTTGACTTTTCGTGAATTGTCGTTAATATCGGCAAATTGACGTAGGATAGAGTGTCCTCAAACCCGCCCGCTTTTGAAAGCTTCTCGATCAAGTCTACGACTTGGTCTACAGTTTTTCCTGCGAGATGAGATGCGTCGAAATATAAGTTTTTGTCTAGTGTGGTAAGAATGTCAGCTACAGAGATAACATATTATATCCGCAATGTGTGCAAGTCCGAGTATCAACAGGACATCTCATTTCAAGATGGCTGAGCAAAATACATATATGATGGTCTCCTTGAGAAGTTGAACTGAAGCAGACCTACCTGAAGCTACTTTGCCATAAAGTAATTCCTTTGCTTCCATGTCTGTTCTGGTGCGTATATAATGAATTTTGACAAATTCCCCAATCTTGCTTGCTGCTGTATCCGAGTCTAGAGAAGTTTTGCCTGGATTGGATTTATCCTCATCCAATTTGGCGTTGGTTGGAGCTTTTGTCTGGCCGGAATCGCTGGCCTGGTCGTAATTCTGTGTTTTAGTGCGCGTAAGGGACTTGGGAAGGGGGTTATCCAAAGATGTAGGAGTGCCTGGGTTCGCATGAACGGGTTGGTTCTCTGAAGTATGCACAGAAGGACGACGGGACTGTCTTGGTTCATAGTCCGAAGCTTCTGTTCCATCTTTGGCTTCCTGGGCTGTGGTATACAATGCCCGACCTTTGTCAAGCGGAGGTGGAGGTCCCATTTTCGTTCTTGATGGTTCCGTTGTCCCTGGTTTTGGCGGAAGCAGCTTTTTCTGATACTCTCCAGTCGAATAGTCATCTTTTGGTTCCCTTCTGGACTCATACAAGGCGCCTGTCCTAATAGGCGGTTTGGTTTCTCTTCCGGTACGGTTGCCACCTCTTTCCGAAGAGGTAGTCGCTGATCCTGTTGCGACGCCGACTCTCCTGTTTTGCCTTAACCATTTCTCTCGCGTCCTTAGATAGTACAGATATGGGGATTCGTTGTTTGAGTTGAACTGCTGATCCGGGTTCTTCTTCAGTATCTTATCGCCTGTTAGAACTAGGTATTGAACTATGTTGTTGTATTGCTTTACTTGGAGTCGACAGTTATTGTAATCCATGGCATAGTGTATTGGAGTGTTGCCGTAATTGTCTCTTGCGGCTATTGTCTCAGGCTTCGCCTCTTTAACAAAGCCATGGATTGTCTTGATGGTTGTACGTAAGTTCGGTCGTTCTGGTGCAATGGCCGAACTCTGCATAATTCCCTGGTGGGTTCCTAGAGCCTTTGGCAGCTGCTCCTTGAAAGCGTAATGAAGGCAATTCATCCCATCGTGATCCGTCGCATTAAGTAGTTCGTCTAATTTCCCCGGAATTTCACTGGAACATTCGGTGACGGATTCGATAAACTTGGTGTTATTGAACTCCATCGCTACCCGCAGGATCGGGTCATCCTTTGGTTTGCTGAGACCACTCTCAACCAAAGCACTGTCCTGATACTCAAGAAGATACTTGATAATCTTCGACAGTGTATCGCCCGGTAGGTTTCCAAAGTCATCAGTATCTCGCCTCTTTGCTAATATGTGAAGAAACGTAGGCGTTGTCCGCTCGCGAGCGTCTCGGCTCGTCAGTGCCTTCTTCTTGTATTCTTCAAGCAAGCGGCCTTGTCCTTGCGCGGATTCATCCCACCGTGCCTCGCCGGACACCAGAGATCTGACGACTTCTTTCCACTGTTGTTCCCATGTTTGCTCTCTGAATTGAGCCTCTTCACTCTTTTCTTCAAAGGGATGCCTGTCGATGTCCTCGGGATCAAGGTCAAGTATCTCATCGTATTGTAAGTTGTCTAGGCTGGGAACAGAGCCCGCTTCTGAAATTTCATCGTCATCATAGTTTGCCATGATTGGCAGCAGAGAATTCGCGCCCCTTGTGTCACAGACTGGTGCACGTCAGAGACTGGTAACGCACAGAAAGGAAACAAAGCCCCCCAATTGCGAGGTATCCTAATAGGCGATAGACTAGACTAAAATAAGGGCCAAGAGGTTAAGAGATTAGACGTCTTCTTCTCAGGAGGAATATTCGACATTGAGAAAACTATTGGGCGACTCAAGAGACGGCAGCTGCCTAGTCTTCTATCCTGAGTTGAGTTTGGTGTCCTTCCAGCCGGTGCTTGTGATTTATTTAGGTGCCTTGAAAGCGGGGGTAATAAACTTGAGGCTGCATAGATTGGCTTACAGGAGAGGGCTGCGTGATATAACAGGGATTAACTACAAGTTTTGGACACCCTGGTGCAGTGATCCCGGCAGAACCGCTGGGAGCTGAATACATCCCACCATTATACAGTGTCAAGAACATTTACTCACTCTTGGGGGTATGAGCAACTATGACAAGTTGAACAATCTCAAGGAATCTTAAACTTGACAATAATAGAGGCAGCGCTAGTCGTCATTGTCCTTGTTGTTTGATTGCTTTCTCCATTGTGCTATTCTTGAATATGCTTGTCATTCGCCGACCCAGATTGCTTAACAGATTGCTCATACTCGGTGTATGTAGTGCAGTCCCACAGCCGGTCCAAGTCAGTTGCTCCCAGATTATCGGCATCAATATCGACCGAGCTGTCCAGTTCATTGAGAGGAGGCTCAATCACGCTAAATATAATGGGGTCGTCGGGCTCCCTTGAAGAGAACAAAGAGGTCACCATGGTTGTAAAGTTGGGCGTTACTTTCAAGTAGGGAACGCAAACGAAGTCTTCGTCATCCTCTCGCTCCAGCAGAATGCAAGCTCGAAGCTTGGAAGGGATGCCGCTGGCTTGTGACTTGTTCTCGGACAGGAAAAAGCGCGCCTGGAAGTAATTCCCCCAATCGTCTGACTGAGGATTATCGCCACTCACCAAGGTATGATGCTTCGTAACCTTGTCCACGCCCGCTTCGCCATAGAGTGTCAAACCTGTATCGATAGCCGGAATGTTTGGACCGACTGTGAGTTCTACTCCATGTTTTGAAGATTCAGATTGGCTTGTTTCTTGCATCTTATGGACTCCGTATGGAGCAACCTTGTGAACTGATGGGCCGCCGGCCTGGCCTTTCATGGCGTGGAACTCGAACAAGACGTCGGCTTCTTTGATGCGCGCTCCTCTATATGAGTTGAACTTGAACTCGTACACAAGAAGCGTCGCATGTTTATCTGACGACGGGCCCATTTCACCATGGATGATTGCTTTCGCATTGCAACTGACGGTGAAAGCTGGCCTCCTCTTTGAGCCGCCGCGAAATGCTGAAACTGCTTTCCTTTGCCGTTGTCCTGGGCGATTGCGGACATGGAAGCCTGTTGACGTATACGTTGTTATTATCGACTTCCATCAAAGATTAAATACATAATCTCACCTCCCTCCTGGCCTTGGTATGTGAGCCCGAGACTGAAAAATGTCGGATCCGAGGTTTCTTCATCTTCTTCATCAAAGTCTCTCTCGTCTTCGTCACTCAGCCAAATCTCACTTTCATCCATGATGCACAAAATTGTGGTGTTTTTATTGACCAGATGTGTGGATTTTGACAGAAATAAAGTACACCTGTTGAAAGAGTGACTTATTTAGCTTAGATGAGAATATTGATCCAATGAGTCAATGATCAAGAGTTTTGACATCTTGCTGCTCAAGTGACAGCACAGTATGAAGACACAACCCACATCAGCAACCAAACATCCCACTACCGGTTGCCAATATTGGTGCTAAGCCTAAGCTCGCAGGTTCGGCCGAAGGATTTTCTGACTTGTCAGAAGCGGGTTGAAGCGCCGCTCTTTCTGCAGCTTGGATTCGCACAGATCCTTGTCGCTGTATTCTGGGCTGCAGAGTGAGGCGAAGCTGTGTGATTGTGTGACCCCATGGTGAAAAAATAGAGGCCAAGGCACCAAAGGAACTGAAGGTTGCATCATACGAGTACATAGACATATGCCTGGGAACGAGGGGATTATATTGCCCCGATGGGTGGACGAAACCCCGCAGCTTGTTGAAGACTCAAGCACGCTACATACATAGACGGTATAGAACAGTTTGAAGAGTTGCGAAGCTCCAGTGAGTAAAGTAAATCCTGGGCCGTGCTGATCCTTCACGGAGCGACAGTCTCCAAGATCAATGTTCTTTTAATAGACCTGCCTCTTGCGACTCCATATGACCGATATCAATCATCGCGGCGGTCTACCTGGTCTGCACACAATCGCGCCGACAACATCACTTGCTCGCCATCATGGAGACCAGTGAAAATGATCAGTCGGTTCGAGATCGTCCCATCAAGTTTGGGGAAGGCTACCATCTAGAAAACATCACCTTGACCACTCTTGTGGATTCTACTCAACGGGAGTCTGACACAGACAAGTCTCCAGATATCGAGTAAGCCTTGGCATGAATGCTATATTTCCCTCGGTGCTGTTATTCGATTAGCATTGACTGAAACTAGACGTTTGCAGCGTTGTCCATGTTATGGTGCTTGGTCAAGCGGAAGAACGGCTCAAGCTCGAGACCCTTCTTCTAGAGTCAGTGGCTTCCAGACGAAGAGAATTTGTCTTCCGGTGCGATATAGCGAGCTTACTGGCTGGCGAACTGACGGGCCAATTTATTGATGGCCTTGCCCGACAATTGCTGGAAAATCTGGTATTTTTCCAGCAGAGAGACGAACAGGTCTGGTTACACGTCCTTGCCTTGCGTTGATCGAATATCCTTTACACAACCGAGCTGACCTAGAGAGTAGCCTTCGAGAAGAGCGTTGGTGTTTGTTGCTTACGACTTGGGAGATTTAATTGTCAAAAAGGTATGTAGGCGTATGTTATCCTGAGCTGGTCATCTATAGAAGCGCTGATTGCGATATAGGCCATCTGCATTGCTGGCGCAGACGAGGAACAATACCCAGGAATCTTTACGGGCACCGCGCGGTTTGTATGTGTCGAGTTTCTTTTTCACAGACTATGAAACGTTTTGAGACAAATCGTCATGTCGGCTTTGTCAATTTCTCCCTTCATTGATCCTATGCCGGAGATGCTGACAATAGAACACAAATAGATATTCTCAGGCTGCTTCCAAGGAGCACGCAACTCCCAACTGCTCTATTCTAAAATATTCGACTACCTCGTGTCTCAAAAGGGCTCCCCATCCGGACGAGCTTTGGCACCTGGATCAATCAGTAGTGTTGCAAAGTGTTCAATAGAAATAAATGAAGCTTTCATCGCTTCCAAAATCACGCTGCGAAGCCAGGTTATAAGTCTTTACGCAAATGTGGACGGGCAAGGGACGATATCAGATGTAAAGTATCCATCTGGAGTTATAATAGAAAGACTCTTACTCATATGTTGTGCAGATATTTGATCAAGGCACCGCGACAATAGGGGTGCCAAACGAGATAATAGTTGAAGAACAAACGCAGAAAGACAAAGAGCCGTTTCCGGATTTACGCAACACAGTTTGTTCCAACATCAAGGGTAAGCAAAATCCTCATATTCAAGACCGTTTGACTGACATACGAAAGCCTGGCTCCCTCATGCGTCTTGGATTCCCTTTCAGCAATCCCTTTTAGCAGTAACTTCGGCACATCGTCCGTTGTCGTCAACATGTCTTGACGATTCACACCCGGTATTTAAGAGCGCTGAACACGAAACATGGATGACATCTGCCGGTGTGCGCATACTACATGTTTCTGGCGACAATCATAACGGGGTGACGGAAGTTGCCGAACAGGTATTTCTTGACTGGAGGCTCAAACAGAGAAAGAATCGGAAGGAAGGAGTAGTATTTTTACCCATTTCGTTTGTTTTCTCTGCCCGTGACCCAACACGCCGCTCAATAAAGGACGTGATCAGCTTGCTCCTGGTCTCATATCTTTCCGGTATCGCAATTGCGAAAGGCGACCCATTGGCTGGCGCCATAAGAGATCAGTTGGTGCTTCAACACGCATGGACGGAGACGGATCTCTTCAAACTTTTGGCAATATTTTCTCGAGAGTTTATGGGCTTCAATCTGGTTCTTCTGCTCCAGGATATCGACGAATGCGATAAACACAGTCGAGATGCGTTCTGGGCTGTGTTGAGCGCCTACGCGACCGCGAGTGAAACGCGATTCAAAGTGGTGGTCACATGCAGGAAATCCCTTGATCTTCATGATGAACTACGCCATTGGCCAGATATCCCAATCGATACATGGATCCTTCCGGATAATAAGGGCGACTCGAACGAGGATGCTGCAGATGATTACGAGTATGACCTGATTTCTACCTTGTGTCCCTGTGGGCACGGCAAGACTGAAGTTAGAGAGAAGCTGGAAGAGCTTAGGCCTATGGAGAAACACAACCGAGACATGATTCTAAAACTGATAGGGGAAATTACGAACTGGCCTCAAGAGCTCTCGCCCAAGGCATTTCACGAGTTTTCTTCTCACCTCGGGGCTGTTACCTTGGCCACCACACCAGCTGATATTCTGAGAAATGCCCTACGAAACGTTGCTGATCAGGAAGGCCTCAGCTGGATTTTGAAATGGCTCTTTATGGGACAACGACCCCTAAGCTACCATGAACTGGCAATGATGCTGTACTACTACAAACGTGGAGAAGCTCAGAGTTTCCAGGAGCCTTCTCCTATGGAGTTAGAAGACTATCTGTCACAAATTCGGCTATGGCTTCGCGGCATCGCAGAGTCCGTCAGCGGGCAGGTCCGTGTCAAGGAAGAAATACGGGATTACCTGCAGAATGAGTTGAGTGATGTTTGGGCAGAATCAACATCGCCCGACGCCATCACGACTTTTTTACTCAATTACTTGAACGCACCCAATATTCAGCAACGTCTAGAAGCCATGAACAGAGAGTATCAGTCTCGCGTTCAGCGGTCTGATGATGCTATTACGCCGCCGCTCATCTCGGATGGACAAGACATTATATACTATGCTATTCAGGCTCTCCCTTACCATCTATCCGAGAATCCCGTCATCTTGAAAAGTATCAAAGATGAATTACTGGCTAGCGACGGAAAATTGGCAACATGGTCAAAGGCATATTGGGCAATGAGCAATTCGTTCTCCCGTCCCGAATCTGGAGCGTCAAATTCGCCATGTGAAACACTTCTTGCGCTGGGAAATCTGAAACCGGAAGCCGTTACTATCCTTGAGGAGATGCAACATTCATCACTCTCATCTACAAATGGCAGTAGCCGCGAGAAGAATAGCTCACCGAATTCATCAGACCTAGACTCTCTATCCAAGGCGATTAGAGAAGCAAATGAGGATGTAGCGGTGTCTATTGCGGAGGAGCTGATTTCCGCATCCAAAGGCCAGGATCAAGACTACGAACATATTGCCGCTTCAAAGTATAGCTCAAAAATACCCTGGCCGTCGTGGTTTCTATGGAGAGCAGTATATCTTAACATGGTCCGATTAGTTACGTTACTCGTGAACGACGGCATGGATCCAGATCCAACTGATGGAGGCCCCGAGTTCTTTCCATCTCCGCTCTACATGGCCGCCCGTCTATGCCACGATCAAATAATAGACGTACTGATAGAGCACGGGGCTAATCTCCATGTGAAGAGACTGGACAAATACAAGGCAGTACAGACTGCTACTTCCAATGGTAGTATGCATGGCGTCAAAGTTATGATAGCCAAAGACGGCTCGCTTTTGGAGAGTCAAGAACCGGAAACACCACTCTATTTCGCCGCCCTCGAGGGTGGCTGGACCATGGCAAAGATGCTATTAGATCTCGGAGCCGATCCAAACTCGGGCCTAGGGGAGAGACCAAACTATAGGTGGGCTCCTCTTGTCGTTGCCGTAGAGTCGAACCATCTCAAGACAGTGAAGATTCTGCTCGAAAACAAGGCAGATCCTAACATTTGCGGACCAAACAATCTGGACACTCCACTCTGGTTTGCAGCCATCAAGGCAGCGAGTCCAGACATGGTTCGCCTCCTCCTCGAACACGGCGCAGATCCCAATCACGAGCTGCTAGATCCGCCGTTACCTATAGAATTGATAAGATCATCGGTATCGGCCAAGGATAAGCTTGCTATATTCGAAGTTCTCGTCAAGAACTCGCCCCCAGTTCGGGTCAATGCAACTGACTCGGAGGGTATGACACCGCTTCTCTACGCCGCAGAGGCGGGAGAGTTGTCTCTCGTGACATGGCTTCTAGAGCACGAGGCAGATATTAACGCTACAGACACCTCTAGTCGCAGCGTACTCTGGTATGCCGTTAAAAATTTGCGTGTAGAGGTAGTCCGTGAGCTGCTGAATTGGAAGCCTCAACTAAATAACTTGACCGTAACCGGACAGCCGCTTGTCGAAATCGCAATAGAGGATGTCGGCATTATGCGAATGCTGCTAGATGCGGGTATCGACATGGAGTTGCCAAACTACAACAATCACACAGTCCTCAATATCGCCGTTGATTGGAAGAAGAGGGATGTTGTGAGGCTCTTGGTTGAGAGAAAGGCGAACATGTACCACCAGGGCAACGGCGGCTGGAATGCCATTACGATTGCAACCTGGAGTACTGCAGACCCAGAGATTCTGCGGATCCTGGCAGAAGGTGGTGCAAATCTTAATGATGCTCATCCGGATACTGGAAGCACTCCCCTGCACTTCGCCACGGCCAACGACGTAGAGCTCGCCAAGGTAATTCTAGAATATCGCAAGAGCGTTGATCTGGAGAAGCGCAACAACTACGGCAGAACACCTCTTTTGTACGCCTGTGGAGAGGACAACGCCGACTGCGTCAAGCTCCTCGTCCGAGCTGGAGCCGATGTCAATGCGGAAGATCAATGGGGCTGGACAGTCCTATCACTTGCTTCGAGACGCGCGCTCAAGGCCGATGTCACTGACCTGCTCCTCGCACAGCCAGATCTCAAAATAGACGCCGAAGGGAGCACCAAAGGGACGGCGCTGATGGTATCGTGCCGCTCGTTGAACCGCGAGATGGTAACCAAACTCCTTGCTCACGGGGCTGATGCGAACGTATCAGTCAAGGAGCTCTCCTACAACAACACGGCGATAAAGTCTGCATGCATTCCCTGGAAGGAACTGTATACTGAGAAGAAAGACGAGATGGATGGAATCATTTCCGAGTTAATCGCCAATGGAGCTGACGTCAACGCCGTGGGAGGATGCAACATCTACAACGCCATTTGTGCAGCTGCTTTTGGAGGCTCTGCCAGCACCATCAACCTTCTTCTCGATAAAGGGGCTTCCGCACAGGACCCTGATCCTCTAGGCCGCCTCCCAATCCACTATGCCGCCGCGAATGGGGTCAAAAACTTTGAGGCAATAGCCCTCGTCCACAAGGGGGATATTTTGGTCTGCGACCGCGCCGGCAAGAATGCTCTACACTGGGCCGCCCAGTTTGGAAATGTGAAGACGATTGAAGCTATCCTGGATCTTTTAGATTCTTCGCCAAACAAGAGAAAGGAATACGTCAATCAAGCTGATATCGATGGCTGGACGCCGCTTTGCTGGGCCACACGCCCTGTTGTCGAACGCCTCGGCCCTGACTCGGAATCTGAGCCCCGTGATTATGTCAAAACTGTAAAGTTTCTTATTGAACAAGGAGCCGATCTTTCAGTCAAGTTTACCATGGGAACGGGCAAAAATGCCGAGACGTTTACTCCGGTGCAAATGGCCAGGCTCTGTGGCACTGCCGTTGCCAGCGAGATCATTGACATGTTGGATATCAGCCTCGATGACAGTTCGACAAATGGTACAGCTGGGAAAGGTATCGACGCCAACAAGCAGAACAAAAGATACAAGTCAAATACAGCGTATTGCGACATATGTCTCAACGTGAGTACACTCAAAGCAACCCAATTTGACACATCAATGCTGACAGAAACCTCGATAGGCAATTTTTGGTCATTCATACCAGTGCCAGACGTGTCCCGACTTTGATACCTGCAAGAAATGCTACGGCAGAATAGATATCTTTCACAACGATGTCAGCCTTGATGATGAGAAGCAGCACTCGTTTGCGTTTCGGAAAGATTACGAAGAAGAATTTGAAGACCTTCCGGCACCAGAGTCACCTGACCCTGACAATGGGAACCAAGAGGATTCGGGGGGGAAAGCGGCGGAACTATCTGATGATGATGAGTTACAGAAGAATGAAGACGACGAGACGGATGAGCTGGGTCTTGGGAGTTTGGATGACTTGGATGAGTTGGAGGTTGCGGAGGATGATGTACTTACTCCTCCATGAAGCTATTATGGGGGGTTATTTCAACTATATCTCATACAGGTACTCTTGTGTGGAGACTTCGTTATAATCTAGCTCCAATGCTACTCAATTTTTACCATCTTTGTACGGTATTTCGTACATGTACTAGTAGGTAGTAGATTCACTTACATGTCTGTATTCGTCTCCATATCCGGAAGAGGCAATGGAGTTCTATGATGGTACGTACTTGTACCTGTGTACCTTCAGCCCCGCTACCCCACCAAAGATTCCCAACGCCACAATTACCAGCCACTCCTACCAAAGCACCAATGGCCATTCTTTATCACAAACCACAGCCTCGCCTCAAACTCCCCCATCAAATCGCATCACAATCCCAACCACAGCCTCCTTCTCTCTCCTCCTCTCTCGCAACTTACGATATACAAGCGCACACATACATGGAGTCTCGCCAATCATAACGCCCAATGCCATACTTTAAAACGAGCCAAGAATGGCTCACCCTCTCCGTCGCTCTCCTTGAGGCTCGGCCCTCCCAGGCAAGTTCTCTTCCTCTCCCTCCAAATCTTCTCTCATCCAATCAACCCCCTAATACACCCTCAATACCATTTTAAAAAAAACCTCAACTAACGATATCCCCTCCCGTCAAACAGACCCGCGTCACCGCAAAATACTCCATCAAGCCCGTCAAAACCCGCAAAGCAGACCCCAGCTCCGCCGACGAATCCTCCTCCCCCTCGGATCCCAAACCCCCCCGCGGCAGCCTCGTCCTCAAGACCTACGACCCCGTCAGCGGCGTCGCCCTCAAGTACCGCACCACAAAGGCCGCAGAGGTCACGCGCCTCATGTACGCCGCCATGGGCCGCCTGGGCAGGGCGCAGGCCGGCGTGCAGGACGTTCCCGAGGAGACGATGCAGGACGCTGATGCCGTCGAGACGCCCCAGGGAGAGCAGACGCCGCAGCAGACACCGCAGCAGCAGCAGGGTGCGGCTGGAGGTGGTGGGGGCGGGAAGAAGAAGAAGAAGGGCAAGAAGTGAAATATCAAGCGGGATCGAATAGACAATGGATGGCTTTTGGTTTGATATATATATGGTGGTGGGCGGATGCGAAGATGAATGCGGACACGAAACATACTCTACAATTTGCATGCGAAAAACACAAACCTATGGATATCAGAGGCGCAAAAACAAGAACCTAGATTTGGAAAATGTATATGCACATCACAAGACGTGAGCAGGCTCCGAGTCTTTATCCACCTAGGCTAATTTGCTGGACTACCCCTCTGTATTCCAGAACTACGGAGTATTCCAAACACCATTCAGAGTACATATCACGAGCAATAGGCAACCTCTGAGTAATCGTTCATCCAGGTCTATTTGCTGGACTATTTATTCCATAACTACGTACCCCCTGCAGTGTATCATGATCCAACGCATTCCGCAATTATCATCACCTGTGGGAAAGAACACATCGCATTCATCAAGACAAAACCCAAAGACATAAACCAAAAACGCCCGCAGTGTTTGTGTGAACCTCTGAACCAATATAGCGGGAGACCCTAAGAATAGGCCTCCCAGTTTCAACGCCATCTTCGCCGATCCAACCCGCGGACGGCTCTTTTTGCAAAATATACAAGCTTCCAATTGTGAAGCAAGAAAAGTAAAGAGATGAGAGAGAAAATGCGAGAGTAGAAAAAATAAAAAGAGGGGAATTGGGATATGACGACCATGATTTAAAAGTCATCGTCGAAGGAGAAGTCGCCGCCATTGGCGTCTTTGGACTCAGCGCCGGCCTCCTCGACAACCTTCTTGGTGCTGTTCATGACACCAGCCTTCTGGTAGTCGGCGACGCGCTTCTCGAAGAAGTTGGTCTTGCCACCGAGAGAAATGTTCTCCATAAAGTCAAAGGGGTTGGAAGACTTGTAGACCTTCTCGTTGCCGAGAGCGACAAGCAGACGGTCGGCAACAAACTCGATGTACTGCTTCATCAGGTTGGAGTTCATGCCGAGCAGGGCGCAGGGGAGAGCCTCGGTCAAGAACTCCTGCTCAATTCGGACAGCATCGGTGATGATGTCACGGATCACCTCCTTGCTGGCGCGGTTCTTGAGGTGAGAGTGCAGCAGGCAGGCAAAGTCGGTGTGCAGACCCTCATCACGAGAGATGAGCTCGTTGGAAAAGGTCAGACCAGGCATGAGACCTCGCTTCTTGAGCCAGAAGATGGAGGCAAAGGCACCGCTGAAGAAGATGCCCTCGACGGCGGCAAAGGCAACCAGGCGCTGGGCAAAGGAAGAGTTCTTGTCCTGGATCCACTTGATGGCCCAGTCAGCCTTCTTGCGAATGCAAGGAATGGTCTCAATGGCGTTGAAGAGGTAGCTGCGCTGGCTGTTCTCCTTGATGTAGGTGTCGATGAGCAGGGAGTAGGTCTCGGAGTGGATGTTCTCCATCATGATCTGGAAGCCGTAGAAGCATCGAGCCTCGGGGATCTGGACCTCGCCGCTGAAGCGCTCGACCAGGTTCTCGTTGACAATGCCATCAGAAGCGGCAAAGAAGGCCAGAATGTGCGAGATGAAGTACTTCTCGTCATCGTTCAGGCGGTTGTTCCAGTCGTGCAGATCCTTGGACAGATCAATCTCTTCGGCGGTCCAGAAGGAGGCCTCGGCCTTTTTGTACATTTGCCAGATCTAATTGACAGCTGTTAGCCAATTGGTGATTTCATTTTCGCTTCCCTGTGGCATAGTGGGGGTGCCATGCCACTTTACGCGTAGGCGCGCGACAGGGGAGGGGGGTTGCCCACATACCTCATGGTACTTGATGGGGAACAAGACGAAGCGCTGAGGGTTCTCTTGCAGGATGGGCTCGTCAATCTCCTCAGGCTTATTTGTAGGAGCCACGGCGGGCTTGGCCTCCTCCTTCTTGAGGGTCTCGGCGGGCTTGTGGTTGTCGTCCATCTGCTTGGCAAGGCTCTCGAGAGCGGACTCGTCGAGAGGCTGGTTCTCCTTGTTGGCGGCGTCGAAGTTGATCTTCTTGACGGGAGACTCGATCTTGAACGAGTCAATGGCAGAGGCAGCCTGTTGAAGAAGCCGTTAGCTTGTGTTTTAGATGTCGCATAGACGCCGTGCTCTTGGTCACGGCTCCGGGTGAAACTGGATGTACTCACCTGCTTGGAGGGGGTGAGTTGGGCGGCCATTGGTTATGGTGGCAGACGAGGCAAGACAAGACAACGGGGCAGAGCGCGTAAAGTGAAACGAAGAAACCAAAAGCGAAATTAATTGCTCGGAGATGATGTGCAGACGCGGTGGTTTGACAGAGAAGACAATTCCAGCATCGCGGGTGGCGCCAGAGCTTTTTGTAACGAGCAGAGCAGCGCTGTCACGTGCGGCGCGACGCGTTCCGGACGTGTTTTCCAGCGGGTCGCTTCAGCGGGTCTGGGCAGCCTATTAAGCATCCCTGGGAGGCTGGGCAGCCTGCATCGGGCAAGGGCTGCAGGGATGGCAGCTGGTCAGCAGGTACCGAGCAGGTACTCGCGGGGGCTGCTCGCCGCCATGGTGGGGTGCACAGCTGCGGTGCACCAGCCACTGCGCAGAGTGCGGCGGCGCTGGCGGACGCGTGAAGCAGCTTGGTCGCGTCAAGGTATTGCGCTACCTTGATGACTCCATGATCCTGGCTGGCCTGGATGGCTTGAGCAAATGACGATGCGAGAGACCCTCTCTGCTCCCTGTTTATCAATCTTGAATCAGCAAAAACAAACACCTTTGGATCTCGTGTCGGTGGGGCGAGAGTCGTGCTGTGATTTTTCGTTTTCGCCGGAGCTCTCTCGTACAATGCACAAGCGTATAACATGCATACAACATGCTGGTATTGTCTACCGCGAGATGGTCGTATGACAGAACAGCTTCACGGAGGATCACAATGTAATGCAAGTACAAGCACGAATGAGCCGTTTTCATGTTGATTTTGATCTCTTCCAGCAACTCCGAGCGAGCATCGTACTGTAGCTCCAGAGCGTTGGGCCGCAGGTCTGAGCTCTGGAACGCGAGAAATCTCCATACGGGCGTCATGACTCTTGAGTTTCACGCTCCAGCTTGCTTACTTGGTACTAGCAACGACTACTAGGCACAGTCTTATGAAGTTGTGACTGAGAATTACAAAACCAATTGCAAAACAGCGAGCCTCGCTTGGCGGAGATACGAGTAACCCAGGCACAGCATGGATCAGGTTGTTTTCGAGTACCGACAAGCCGACTCTGCAGGGTGCCTTGTCGCTACATATTAGTGCGTAGATATGCAGCTAGGGCTTCTGCAAGGCGATTTGCATGCATCTCAAGTCACAGAAGAAAAGAATCCCTGCCCTAGTCTTCTTGCTCAACGTGGCAGCACGTCGTTGTTCAGCGTGACATGAAGCCACCAGATGTGTACAAACACAAGTCATGCTGGTACTTGTACATACAAAGAGAGGAACGCCGTCTTCACCGCAACAACTCGTGAGCATGACTACCTTAGTCGTACACATATGCAATCCCTGGTGTCTCTCGTCTGAAACAGTCAAATCCTTTACCAACCTGATGCACTGGAGCTGCACTATGCTGCATATACTGTACTGTATCGTATTTATTTTCATCTACCTACTCAGGCTTGATATCTAATTAATGCTTTGCAATCGCATCAAGGCGAGTTCTAGTCTACTAAAGCAGATCGGCAGGCAAAGCACACCGTGGTATCAAGCAATATTCCCAATCCATTCATTCATTCCAGTCCTTTTAAAATCCTCAAAGCGACGCGTTGCGAAAAGTCTTTCGCGCAATTACCATTATTAATGAATGCCCCTCCTCAAAACCCCCTATCGAAATGCATGAGATCCACTCCCAGAGCTTCACAGCTTCATCATTGTACAAAGCAACACGTTCCAGACATGCGCAAAACTCCCGTTGCCAGACAAAGGAGATGTAACTAACAAGGGAAACAAACAAAGAAAACTCGTAGCGGACGTACGCGCGCTCCCTGCGTTAAACTAACAAACAACCGTACAAATGTCTGGAGAGACCTCAGTGTCGCCTGCCCGAGTGCTTCCCAGTCCGTCGTGATTCGTTATACTGCGACTCTGAGTATATCTGGCCCATTTCAACATCGCGCGGGCGATTCTGGCTGCGGCCAAAGAATCCGCGACTGTCGTGAACCCGATCTGGCACTCGTGGGGCGGCCGGCTCCTGGGCCTCAGGCCGGGCCGGAGAGGGTCGGCGAGACGGAGGATCCGACTGATACTCCGGGGGGTCTTCCCGCTGAATCCTGTCGTACTCTTCGGCGCTGCTAGGATCAACGGCCGGGATGGGCTGTCCGCTTTTCCGTAGTTCCTTTTTGCCCTTTTGACGCAGATGCTCTTCCAGCAATGCTGCGTTGCGGGTGTTGGCGCGGAATACGGCATCGGCCAAATCTCCAATGAATGGAACCAGTCCGACGGCAAAGTCGAGAATGATGTTGAACAGCATCTGGAGTCGGATGGAGGATGGAAGGCCACCCTCCACTTGGCAACACGTCCTGTACACCATAAAGGCCATAAAGGCATCGAGTGCATCGCCAGCGCTGTGATGATGATGTTAGCGACAAAATCCAATTAATCTGCCCAAGTCTAGGGTATGAGCGGGGTGCATCACTTACGCAGGGATCAAACCGATGACGCTGCTCCAGCCAAAGCGAATTCCGAGAAAGTTGAACAGGCTCATGTCTAGGCGATAGGCTCGTCTCTTGACCTTTGTCAGGACCTGGCCATCGTGTTCTGAGATGCCGGGCGGCAGAGCCTTCTTGCGCTTCTTGACCTTGCCCGTAGGCCTCCCGTCGAGCCTGGTGGCGGGGACTTGCTCAAAGTAGGGATCCTAGAGAAAGAAATGGTCAGTATTTTATAATCAAGAGATAAAAATAAATAAAAAAATTAAAATAAAAAAATCGGCATGTATCATCATGTGATGTCGCATCTTACCTCTTTGCCAAACTTGTTCTGGAGCGACTCTCCCAGAATTCTCTTGCTGATTTGCTTTGCCAAGATGCTCGTCATGGCGGCGGTGGTTTATGAGAGGGTGTGAATAAAATAAAGAAGAGGTGATGGTTGTTAGGCTTTAGGAAAAAGCTGAGGGATTGGATATTTATGATTGTTTTTGAAGAAAGGAAAACAACACAAACAAAGGCCTTGTCGAAACTCGAAAGCCGGCGGCCGGGTCGATTGGAGAGGCGCTTGCTGTCGTTTGTTTCAGAAACCGCCGTTGGGCGGCAAGTTGTTTTGAGAGCTCGGGCGCTGAGAGCCAACCAAACAAAGGCTGACAAGGTGAGACAAGGCAATCAAAGGACAGGCGGCTGCGGTTGCAAGGGACAAGAGTAAAAAAAGAAAAAGACAGAAAAAACAAAACAAAAGGCCAGCCCTAGTTTTATATCCCGTGCTTAGAAGCGAGGGCCAGACCAGATGCGCAGTGAATGGGATGGCGTCGCTCACATGGTCAGACCCTGATAACCTGTTTTGGCGGCTTCTCAACAAAACTCATGATGTAATTCAGCCGTTGTGCTCGTGCATCACTGGAGCCGGCTTTGAGGCCGCTGGAACGGTGCTGAATCGGCGCTGCACCAGCCAATGAGACGTCGCCGGAGGTGCCCCGGCGCCCGCCAAACGTGGTCTGGTTGCAGGGGAATTTCTAGCGGCCGATGTACAGTAGCTGGCTGCCTCTGACGTTTTGCCACGGCAGATCTGGCGCCAAAGATGCAGCACATGCGGCAAGGTGCGGTTTGAGCGCTGCACCGCCACGCCGACGAGAGCCACGTTGTGGCGATGCCGTTGGGCTGCCGTGCTTTTGCGTGGCTGAAGCTGTCAGTCTGCATATTTTGTATCTACACTGTGTGGCTAGTGTGGCGCCTCGATAAACTCTACCAAGTCATCGAGGCGGAGACAGTGCGAGCCTTGCTGAGCCCTCCCGCCGACACTGACCTGATTTGTACGGCTGCAACGGCCAAGCGGGCGACAACCTTCACCTATCTCGTTCTCGTAGCATCTGATAGCTTCACCATCTCTCGGGTCGGCAAACTCCATCTCGGCACATCCATCGAACCGCCGCCAGCACAGCCATTCCACCGGCAAATCTCCGCTCCCCAACTCGACGATAGGCCGGGCGACTTCGCTCTCATCGCTGGTGGCTGAAGCGCGCGTCGCGATCCAATCCTCAGCTGCACAACCTCGGAACGTTTGACCATGCCCATTATCCTATCACATGTTCGAAGCGTCCTGAGTCTGGCAAAGTCGTGAAGACCGTATGAACAAGCGTTATATCATTACTAATCAGGGTATGGGGCTGAGCTGAACACACTCAACAAAGCGAGAGACAAACATGGCTCAGAAACAGATGCAGCTGGAAGACTGTATGCCGCAGACCCCCTTGACCCCGCCTGCCATGCCGGTCTGAACAAGGTGCTGAGTTGATGCTGACCTATTCCTCTGCTAGGGCTGGACGACCTATGCGTCCGGTTCATCATCAATCTTCCGCAGGAGGACCTGTCTTCGGTTGCCCGACTGTGTTTCCAAGTTGAAGAAGCACAATGGTTCTACGAAGACTTCATCCGACCCCTCGATCCGGCCCTCCCGTCCATGACGTTGCGCACCTTTTGCTTGCGAATCTTCCAACACTGTCCCTTGCTGGCTTCCTTTTCGGTTGAGAACCATATCAAGGCATTCGAGGAGTTTCTGCAGTACAAGACCCGTGTGCCGGTTCGTGGCGCTATTATGCTCAACAGTGAGCTAGATTCGGTCGTCCTCGTCAAAGGCTGGAAGAAGGGCGCTAGCTGGAGTTTTCCACGTGGCAAAATCAACAAGGACGAAGATGATTTGGACTGTGCGGTCAGAGAAGTCTACGAAGAGACCGGCCTGGACCTCCGAGAAGCAGGGCTGGTGCCAACTGACGCGAAACCGAAGTACATTGAAATCCCTATGAGAGAACAGCATCTCCGACTCTACGTCTTCCGGGATGTCCCCATGGATACGGTTTTCCAGCCTCGAACGAGGAAAGAAATCAGCAAGATTGAGTGGTATAAGCTGTCCGACCTACCCACTCTTAGGAAGAAGGGCCCCCAAAACAACAACCATCAATACGACTCCAGTCCCGGGACTAATGCCAACAGGTTCTACATGGTCGCGCCCTTTTTAGTTCCTCTTAAGAAATGGATCATTTCCCAGAAAAAGATTGATGAGAAGAGGTCCTTCAGTGGAAGCGTCCAGGCCAACCCTGCTTATTACCAACACAAGGCCATTGAGGAAGATCCCACCGAGGATGAGGCGTGGGCGCCCAATGTGCCAGCTCCCATGCCGGCCATTGAATCGCTTGATGGGGCCACGAGGGAGTTACAGCGCCTGTTGAATTTACAGCCATCGGCTCAACCACCGGTTCCAGTAGCTGAGGCGGCCCGGCCGGCATTCCAACCCGCGCAAGCCCCTCCTGCTCCAAAGGATAAAGGCAGTGCTCTGCTTTCTCTTCTCCAGTCCTCGAGTTCCGCTCCCCAGCATGTACCTCAGGCAGCCTCCCAGCTACCAGATTTGCTGGCGACGCTGATGCCGGCAGCAAGACAGCCCCAGAACCCACAACAAAATGTCCACGCTGTGCCTCAAGCCATACCTCAAGCCATGCCCCAAGCTGTGCCTCGAGCCGTGCCTCAGGCTCTGCCCACCTTTCACCAGCAGCTTCCAAACTTTGTCGCACCGCCAAACCCGAATTCTGTTGCATTGAGTATCCTGCAAAACAGGAACGATGGCCATATCAGCGGTACACCGCCAAACCGCCCTGCTTATCCAGGATATTCCATCACGACCCAGCAGCAGACTTTTACCACTAGCTCCACTGTCAAGACCAACCCCATGCAGCCGCTTCAAATCCTTCAACGAGGACAGACCATCCAACAGACTCAACAGATTAGCCCCCCAGAGCCTCCCAAAGCTAATCTCGCTCCGTACGCCGGGTCCTATGATCAACCAGGACAGCCTCGTCCTGGACAAGTCGTCCAGCCATCGCCTTCTACTCTGCCGATCCCTTTGAGCTCTTCATCTGCAGCAAACAACTACAACTACAGACCTGAAGTGTCACAAGAGCAAAAGAGGCAACTCCTCTCTCTCTTTGGTACATCGAAACAAGCTGCGACAAATGCCACGCCTGAGCTTGCCGGCCAGACTGGACCACCTGCGGCTGGGATGTCTATGCCTCGTGCCGCATCCATGGCATCGGGGCCTGCTCAGGGGCCGGCGGGACATCGTAATGCACCGCCGTCTCGCAATAGCAATATGACGCCCATTTCTCAGGCCGATCAAAGCTTCTTGCTTGGCTACTTGCAATCTATTACAAAGGATACTACGCGTTAGATGGGGATGAGATGATGCAAAAGGTGGAGCGGACTCTGTTTGCAAGGGAACATGGAGAATCTAGGAACCTGTTAGTGGGTACATTCTTTGATTGGGGGTCACGGTAATGACGGCGAAGCAAGGCGAACCGGCTTTATAGTCTATTTTTGGTACTCTGCTTGTTGGAATCTTGTGTGAGAGTTTTGGCCACTTAGGGGGCGGCTCATGCCTGTGTAGCCTTGGAGCTCAGCGCAGCGAGGATATCGATATTGAAAGCCCTAAGCGTCTCGAGTGTCATCTTGAGATGCTTGTGTACAGAAATAGCGTCTTCACCCTTTGCATAGAAATGCAAACAGCTCATTGTTGGGATTGGAAAGCGTCACTGAATTATTAATCTATCTTGATGCTTCTTGAGCGCTTCTTTAGAGCCACCAAAACTGGACAGTGATATCAAGGACTTTTGACCTCCTCCTCAGTAGAAGCCGCTACCAAATAAAACCCACTGCCCCCTAAACTTCGCCGGTAATGCAATTTTGCACTAGTATCAATGAAACACCATGTAAATGTAGCTTGCCTCATTCTCCATCGGCGAGGATCTGGAAGCGGTTACCCGAAGAGACGGATCGACGCACTGGGACGGCGCGAGACGGTGGCTTTAGACGAGGTATAAGGGGCACTTGGCCCAACGGCTGGCCACACTCGTCAGCATCCCACTCGAGGCGGGAGCTCTTGTACTTGCTGCAAGTAGAACGGAAAGTTGGTTAGGATGAATGTTTGCAAGGCAAGGGGGAGGAGATTGCTCACAGGCGGCTCATCATGCAGGTTCGCGCGTACATGGCGCTTGGGACGGAATTGGTGCTGATGTGGCACGTGCCCTTGTAGAAGGTGATGGAAACGATTTCGAGACCGTGGATGTGGTCGAGATCGTGGCGGATGGAGGCCTCTGAATGGCCGCCGTTGCTGTTGCGCATGATGAGGTTGCGGGTTGCGCCGTTTGCAATGCGCTTGGCGAAGTGGTCGTGGAGAACTTGGAAGCGATCTGACCAGCGGATATCGATCTGGGGATTTAGGTTAGAGAGGAATGGAAGCTTGGTGTCTTGCGAAGGTTTGCTCACTTTTCTGTTTTTGATGTACAGGTAGTTGTTGCGTACGTGGGTGTAGTAGGCCTCGGCGGCTGCCGTCTCTGCAAAAGTGATGACTGCAGTTGAAGAACGACGCATCAAGGAGACCTCAAACAGAATGCCGCCTCGAACTACGGCGGTGATGTCGGCGTACGTTGCATCCTCGGGGATGTTGAGCAGTTGAACTGACCGAAATGATGGTTCTTGGGGGAGGCTGAGGCTGATGGATGTGTGATCAAACACATCACTGGCTTCCTCATTGTCGTCATAGTTATCGTCCAACCCTACGCTGGACGTCTCGAAGGAGTCGTACGTCACGTTGCTGGCAATGTCGCTTCTGGACCAACTGCCTCGGAGAGATTGAGGTGGCGGAAAAGGGTAGATGCCGTGTTGGGCGGCGTGGGCGACCAAGGAGCTGGTCGATGTCGTGAATGAGCGCGTATCGAAGTCGGGGGAGGCGGGCTCGAAGCTCGAGGCATTTGCGTTGTACACATGCTTCTTTGGGGTGATGCTTGGGCATTGGGTTGACTGCGAGTTTATGCACGCGCTGAGAGCCTGGAGATGGAGTTGGAGTAGTGAGTGGATAGAGATTATGATGGGATGACTGACCTGGACGACTCTAGCATCGTCAATCCGGGCATTGAGAAGGCAGCGGCAGAGTTCGGCTGTCGAAGTAGATTAGAATAATCAGCAAATGCCATTACAGATAGCTTCTGGAAGGGATGAGGCTACGTACCGTGATTCTGAGCGGTTCTGACGAGGCTTTCGTAATCAGCCCGGAGGATAGTGATTGTATCCTCAGACTGAGGTCCGGAGAAGTGCAACGGCAAAGGGTCAGTGGATTGGCTGCATGACGGCTGGGGATCGAGAAGGCAACGAACGAAAGTGTCACTATGAAGGAAGCGAGTTAGCAAACGGTGTCTCTTTAGGTAGCAGCTGGGCGTGCGACTTTCACCACCTTGAAGAGAATAACAGGAGATGGAATGATGGAAGAGGAGGAGCTGAGCAGCTGTATCCAGGGGGGGTTGAGGCAATGGTTTTGCTGGATGACTCACCGGAAATTCTGCATCTTGAGGGCATTTGGAGGGTGATGAAGTTGACAAGAAGAAGTTGGAAGCGGCAGTGGCAGTGGCAGTGGCAGTAGAGGGAAGAAAGTGCCTGATCTGAGCTTTGGAGGCAGGTCCCTTTGCACGGCGGCTGGATTAACCTGTGCGGCCGTTTGCCGGCTGGCGTGACTGCGTGGTGGCTACCGAGGCTACAAACGCAGTTTATGGAGTGTGAAACAACTGTGAATGTAGTTTACATGAGTGGTATTTGACAAGAGTACAACTTTTCATTATAAGACAGGTAATCAACTGGTAGAGGATGAGTGAATGCAGCGTAGATAGAGATAGGGGGGATGATGCATCTAAATTGCCTGTGTCTATAGTACCTACTATACCTAGCACCTAATGGTGATACTACCCAGTTGTCAAACGACAAGTTCAGAAATGAATTGGCGAGGCTATCCAACTTGGGTAGCTTACTTTTCTATGTGAATAGGTAGTCCAATTGAAAAAAACAAGTTCAGAAAAAGATCATAGCTGAACTACCTACGAGTCATCGCTCAACACAGAGCTCTCGTAGCCCGGATCCTCGTCGTTAGAGTCCACATTATCTTGAATTCCATACTCCCATAATTCAAGGGGAGGGGCTACAAAGTATTTGAACTCCTGATGGCCGAAATTTGCGACTATCTTAGCAGAGGGATTTCCTGGATGAAGGAATATAGCTGGGTAAAGTTGGCCTTTAATCTTGGGGCCCCGAAATGCAGAACCTGAATGACATGGACATAAGATAGCAAACTAATTAGCATCCATACTACCTATTTTGCTAAGAGGTGGCCCAAGATTGGGATAAAACTTGCATACCTTTGAATTCACCATCGACGGTAAAGAAAATCGAGCGCTTGTTGAAGTCCACGCCGCAGCCGATGGTACTTCCTGATGAATAAGGTTCCGCATATGGCCTCCAAAGGCTTGGGCCGTGAGATTCATATACATGGCCATCGTCACCATGAAAGCCCCAGGATCCTGGTTTCCATCCTAGAGCATTGTATTCCGATGCTGTCTCGTCTGTGGCAAAACCGACACCGACGCACCTACACACATGTATGCTTTTAGCCACCGTCGACAACAATACAAAGCTGTTAAAGCGCCAGGTATGAACGAAGAGAGACTTACTCATCGAGCCCAGTATGGGCAATGAGGATTTCAAAATAATAAATGCCTCTTTCAGTCTTAGGCGCACATCGATTTGCACGCACAATAGAGATCGGGGGCTTGATATTATCGCTCTTCATCTGCTCGGCCGATAAATGCCCTGCAGGTAGATGATTAGTCGATACATGATACCGGAAGGCTCAGAAAGCAGAACAAAAAGGTATAGTAATGAGACTTGAAAAACAATGTAAAAAAGAAGGGGGAAAAACATGCAACGGAGAAGCAGTAAACATACCTTCTGCAAAGCACTCAAGCTTCTGCACTCTTAGCCTTGCTGATTTATCATGCTCATTCCACTCTGTGGGTTCTAGTTGTGACTCTAGGGTCTCGTGTGCCCCCATGCTTCGTAGGACCTTTTCCATGTCATGTCGTCCATACTCAATTGCCGTAGCCAGTGGTGTCCAACCATTACAATCCGTTGTATTGACAATGTCTTTGCTGATAGGGTTTTCGAGAACGGCACGATGAAGCTTTTCGAAAGCAGCGCCGTGATCGTTGATGATGGCGCCATGGATTGCCTTGCCTATCATGTCGATTTTCCTTTCTGCCTCGCAATCCTCAAGCCAGTTCAGCATGATGCAAAGGCATTCTAAACCGTCACTATAAGTAGCCCAATACAGACAACTCCGCTGCCGCCTATCGACCGCAAACAGATCAGCGCCCCTTATCTGAAGAGCTTTCATTGCTTCAGCATTTGAATGTCTTGCTGCATATAATAAGGGAGTCAACCCTTCTCCATTCTTCACCTCAATCGATCCCTCATGGTCCTGGAACAGGTCAAGATATTCTCCTATATCATCTTGATTTCCTCCTAAAAGCGAAGTACTCATGCGATGGAAGGCAGACAAGCCTAGGTGATCCAACTTGTTTGGATCTGCACCATTTTCTAGGAGCAACTTCACATTGGGAATGTTATGACCTGCAACCGCGGCGTTCAATGGCGAGCCGTGTCTTCCACCAATGGCATTTGCATCAGCCATCTTGTCAATAAGAAGTTTCATAACGTTTGGGCATCCCTTGACTGCTGCGAATTGAATGCATGAATGGTAGTATCCCCCAGTGTTGTTGGGGTCCGCTCCGTGTTCTAAAAGATATTTGGTGCTTTCCTCTGAGCAACAAGCCCAGTAGAGGGGTGTTGGTCCGCCCGCTTGAGCATGGTTGATATCGACACCTTTTTGCACAAGGATTTTAACAATGTCCAAATGTCCACCCATGGCGGCCCGATGTAAGGCAGTAGAGCCGTTCTTACTCGCAATGTCAGGTTTTGCCCCGTAGTTGAGAAGCAACTCGACCGATTTTAGATTGCCTATCTCGCTTGCAAGAGTGAGGGCGGTTGATCCGAAACCATTCAACACATTTGGGTCAGCATGGCTTTCTAGGAGTAGCTTCATCAGGTCTGGTTTGTCGTTTGCCTCATGCAGTGCAGACCATTGCGAATCACCGCATAAAACACTTAATTCATTCTTGCCCGTTGCCAGAATCGCCTGGACGCTTTGAAATCTGCCTTTCTCGACGGCCATATATAGAGGAGTCTTCCTCGAACCGCCGGGGAACTCGGTACTTGCTCCTCCCTCTATGAGTGCCGCAACGACCTTTGAATTGTCATTTGATTCGATTGCCACTTGTAGTGGCGTAGCCCCCGCTGAGTTTACTTGGTTTGGATGCCAGCCGTTTTCCAATAAGTAATTCACGACACGATAGTGTCCTTCTCTTACTGCTTCAAAAAGAACGTTTGGGTCTTTCTGCCTGGCAGGAGTGGTTGACCATTTCTGGGAAGTCCAAGTCGAAACAATATCCCGAACTATATGTAGGTACCCATGCTGGGCGGCAAGGGACAAAGCCGTAAGACGACTTGCATTCTCCCCCCATAGTAGTTCTGAAACATTGGCAGCTCGTAGAATATACTGAAGGAGAACCCTGGCGGCGTGGGTACGGCCCTCATGTGCTGCAAGATGAAGCGCAGTATTACTTTCGTCTGTGGCATTTCCAATGCTTGCTTGGTTCTTGACGAGGTGACGAACAATATCTCCATATCCGGACTCGGAAGCAAAATGGAGCGGCCGATAGGCTTTGGGACCAGTGGCGTTGACAACTGCCGATGCATTTCCCGCATCAGTTATGAGTTCGACGACGTCGAGATGTCCAAATTTTGCTGCAAGATGAAGGGCTGTGTAGCTGTCATTGTCCTTTGCCCTAAGAAGCAATTGGGTTCTTTCTGCCGCTTTTACATCATCACCAGTTATACTAATTGAGTCGTTTTCTTCATCGCCATATGTGGCGTCATTGGTTTTGTCATCTTGTTCCGATTGTCTGATGTAACCCAAGAACCAGGCTATAAGCTTCTCCCAGCCACGTTCTGCTGCAACGTGTAAGACTGTGCGTCTGTTGTCCATTGGCAAATGAATATTGAAGTCTGAGTTGACAAGAGCCTTGACAACATCAAAATGGCCATACTTGGTCGCGAGGTAGATCGGGGGGAGATTCTTCTGCTGATGAAAGTCCGTCAGGCTTACTTGCCCAGTAGAAATTAACGCCCGAACAATGTGTATGTATCCACCCGCAGCAGCTAGTTGCAATGGATTGTAATAGTCCTGGTTATAAGCGGTCAAATTTGCTGCATTATTACCTTTGGACTTGATGAGCAGGTCAACTATATCTGAGTGACCAAACTGAGCAGCCATTTGGATAGCATTGGAGCCTGTAATTGAATCTTTTTTGTTCAGTGATATATTGCGGTTAAGCAACTCCTGAACGACATTCAAATGCCCCCTCTTTGAAGCTTGGAGGAGGGAATCATTCAAAGTATCCATGATTTCCTCATTCTCATCGATGCGGCTGAGGATATCTCGAAGGATATCGCAATGACCTTCTTCGCAACATGCTAGAATTGCTTCGTTCGAATTGATGCCTTGATCCAACAATGTCTTGACCACATTCTGATGACCTTCTCTCGCGGCAGAGACCAAAGCAGTGACTAATATGTTGTTATCTCTGGGGACATCATGACTGCTCTTTAAGCAATGCTCAATAATCTCAGCTATGCCGAAGTAGCTAGCCAGGACCACACCTTGTTCCATTTCGAGATTGGTTGGTACAGGTTTCTTGAAGAGAGGTAGAATGGTGCCTGAAAGGACGCGATGAAGTCTCTCGTTCTTTAACACGCTGTCTACCAGTTGTATGAGACTATCGGAACGTGACGATGCGTGGTAATGGCTTGGCCAGTATAACGCCGCATACTCAACCAGGCCAAGAGCATTTGGAAGAGCACTCAATTTGTTGTCTCTGATTGCATTTGCAGACAAATTCTGTAGCTGGTCTGCCACAAGGATAAGATAGTTTAGAAGCCTTTGCGCTATCTGATCATTAGTCAATCGGTACTTTTCTGACCCGATCAAGTAATCATGCAATGTCTGGTGACAAAAGCGCACTTCTTGGTCCACTATACAGACAAGTTGGTCCAAATTCTCCTGTATCTCTGTGTATATAGACCAAGACTGGCAGTCTTCAATATCGGCAAGTGATTGATCATCGTCCAGCAATGAAACGGCAACCGAGATTTCAGTGACCGAGAGTGGCCTACTCGCGACGGCCATCCATCCGAGGATAGAAAGGCTTTGCGGAGTCAGTGAAGCCATAAGAATGTCCAAAAATTCCAGATGAGGAAGCTTTACATTTTCGAACCAATATCGCGCTTCCTTCTTGGTATGCCCGGTTTTGAGTGATCCTAACGCGGATAGTTTGATCGAAACATCCGATATATGAACACCAAAAGAATTCGCAGTGTTTGCGGATAGAAGCGCTTGTTGGAGAACGGGACGCGTTTTCATGATTTTACTGATTTGACCAGTGTAAAAATCTCTGACACCTTTTTGTATAGCCTCGTTTTCTAGTGAAATATTCACAGCTTCTTTTCCAAGATCCGTTACCGAATCACTTGAAGTCGTTATAAAAAACTTGCAAGCGCTGCGAGAAGATTCGCACGACTTGATTACCTTATTTATATGAGACAGGCTGTAAGTCCATTCGGCGCCCCCATTCTCTTCCGCAATAACACAGACAATTGGATCCATGTTTGAATGAGATAGAAGAACAGCCAGAATATTCCAGAGGAATTTTGTCCCAAGGGAGCTGATGTCGTCGCTCAAATCAAACTCTCCTTGAATCACCCTCATGGCAATTGGTGAATTGATAAGAAGTTGGATCAATAAAGAGCGAACAAGGCTGTCATTGGTAGAGCAGCGGGCATCTTTCCCATCGAAGAAGAAATTAAGCACAACTGGTAACTTTTCCAGGCTTCTTTCACTGATATAAGTCAAGACTTCGACGGCTGATTCTGTAGACCCGTATCCCGGGGGCCCATGAAGAAAGAGGTAGGCGCATTCATTGGAATTTACCCAGTTCTGGAAATCTGAAGAATTTTCCAGGTAGGCCCTAAATGATCCATGGCTAGGATATCGTGGTGCGAAGCTCAGAAAATTCGGCATACTGTCTGTGCAGAGCTTATCAAGGAATCTCTCATTTTGGTGAACTTGAAGAAGAGGGTTACTTAATGTACTAAAGGAGGTAAATAGGATACTACTGCACCTTCTACCGTCACATAAGATAATTCTTCTAACCATGCATCGACGTGCGACCACAAGCCAGAACAAGGATAAATAACAATTTGCTCAAATGTGCGTAGACCCGTCGATTCGAGAGGGAATGAGATTTGAGTCTCCTTTGCTAACCCCGTTTCCATAATTTCGTCATACTATAAATATTTAGTAAATAGGTCTCAATCTCATGGCATAATCAAAAGTATTGTGATTCTATTATGATCAGTTGTCCCGTGAAGCTTACCATATTGCCGCTCTCATATACGTTGACGATAGCGGTTCTGAAAAATACCGTGGCAAATTCATATTCTAGTCGTTGGGATGCCATGTAGAAACACTGCATCATCCTAGATTTCTGTTCACTCCAGTCTCCTGTCCCGATCACCTGGAACTGGAATTTTTCCCAGATGCTCCGACTATGGATTCGATGAGGAGTATTGAAGAACACCTAATTTCTCTGTTAATGCTTGACACTTATACTTTGTAAAGCTCCGTGAATATAGCCGCGTTATTATGGATGATTGCACACGCAAGTAAGTGGCTAGATATGGCCATAGAGGTAAAATGAAGAATTATGCGAATGAAGACGGAACTCACAATCAAAAGGTTCTTTGCCAAAGTTCGGTATTCATAGTGATGTTGAGCACTAATCAAAGCAGCCTTGATAAGCAGACCGCCGATATCATGGCCCAACAGTACCATTGGCTCTTGTTTCTTTTGCCCATCACTCTGATCAAATTAGCTATCTGTAACATTCGTTCGGGAGTAATGATATCATACCATTCCAGTGGCTGATGCAGTCTCGTTGGCAGACACATTCTGGCCTTGAGATGATCGAATACCAAGCAGGAAAGCAAGAAGCTCACGAGCTTTCAAACCAATCACTTGGTCATTTGTCATATGTGTGTCTTCAGCACCAAGTAGATCAAAGAAGTGAACCAAATGCCCTGGGAACCTAGATGCTACAAATCTTCGCAGACCAGAGCGCTCGTCTATACACTGTGAACGACTCCCGATTCCACTTACAAACACTATGTCAGGCATTTTGCGGCAAGTGGTATAGCTGGCAACTCTGATGATGAGACGAAGATGGTTTGTCGAGTCATAGAACATAGAGTGGTGGCCTATTCTATCTCGCTTCCTAAAAGTCGTTTCTGATACTGAGGAGGTGCTACATATATGTAGGAGCCCGTGATGAAGGTGGGTGTCAGAGGCCAAGCAACAAAGGAAGAAATCTTCCCCGCTGGACCCGGATAAAGGCGTCTGAGCTCCCAGCTAGCAAGCTAGCTGGCCGGGGGACTGAACAAGTATAAAGAGAAGGAGCCCTGTGCCCTTTGTTTCTGACAAGCTAAAAAGGTGCAAAACTCTGTGTTCTGCTATGCTGACGATCTATGGAGAAGGGAAAAACTAGCTGCAAACAGCAGCAAACAGAAAAAGGGCTTGATCAAAGAGAGTGGTCACACAGATCCATGTGACAACTCAACAGTTTCTAAAGAGATCAGAGACAAATACAGTCCTTTGTGTATCCCTAGCTGTGTGGTCCGTGATAGTGACCGTGCAGTCCTCATCCTTGACCCTTTCACTCTTCCTAGTGTGCCACCATTCCTGACAGTGGGGGTAGGTAGCTATGCGGATGGAGTTTTGAGGCAGTGACCACGTAGCCGAATCTGATCCCTCGTCGCCTCACCGATCCTATACAAGATATGTTACATTGCCTATACGAAAATGCAAGCACCCGATGCCCAATATTTGAAGATGGATGTCTCTCATACTGGACAAACAGTTAGAGGGCGACCATTGCATATAGGACAGAGGATGTGAGTAACCAGGAGAATAGTCTAGAGAGGCCCAAGAGAGTCCAATTCGAGTCTATAGGCTGGTGTAGCTCTGATATCCGACACAGTTGTCAGGCACCAGAACTCGGCTCCTTTTTATGTTTGGAAGAATCATTCATTCTCGAAACCTAACACTGATGAAAATTGTATGAACAATATTACAAACAAGATGGTCGGTAACAAGGAAGAAGAAGAAACGCAAGAGGATACCGAAGTACGCGAAAAGGACGAAGGAACAGAACCCGGTCTTCAAAAATCGACAGATTTCAACAAATGTTGGATGAATCCCGGACAATAAAGTTTTTAACAACAATAGGCGACACAACGCGCAAGTCAAAGGACTCAAAGGCTTTTGCGGCCAAGTATGCGGGTATTATCAACGTGGATCAACAAAAACAATCGACTGAGGGATGCGTCCTTCACCGCATAGCCAAGGCCAGAATCGACGACGTTGTAGAGAAGTCTTCAATATGATGAGTGCTAATACTTCTTTTGTGATTGAAATCAAGCTTGAAAAAATACGGCTCTATTATAGATTGGTGAGGCCCAATGAATGGTCCCGATTTAGAGCCCTGCTGAAGTTCATTTAGGGACTTGAAGATCCGATAGATTATGTCCAACAATTCAAGGCGAAAATTGAAGGGAGATTGACTGCAATCTCTGTAAAACAGCCGAAGGTCCAGCACAGGGCTATGGGAATATTACGGTCGAAACCATTCGGGAGGATGAGACTAATCCTGTAGCGGCCGGGTTTCGAGATGCACAACCTATTATCGAAAGGTATTAATCCCAAGCGAGCGTTGGTGAGATAGAAAACTTACTAACTTTTCAGGAACGATAATGAATGGATGGCATACATGAAAAACTTTGCGATATTTTTGCGGAACATAAAAGGCGATAACCTGCCGGAAATCAAGATTGCGGTCATCGATAGTGGTATTGACGCCACATTGAATATGTTCAAGGGACGAATTGCTCTCGGCAAGTCCTTTTGCCGTTATCCAGATTCAGGAGAATGCATAAGCCAGTATTACGTTCCGCCCGATGATCATGGGACAAAAATGGCATATTTTATATGTCAAGTGTTCCCAAAGGTAAGACTATACATTGCGCGGCTCGATAGTGTCGAGTCGAGTCATGGGAAACAACAATTTACGGCCAGATCAGCTGCAGAGGTGGGTGCCTGATACTGTCATTTCACGTCTTGAACCTTTCTAATCGTACCCTAGGCAATAGAGTGGTCTATAGAGTGTGGTGTGGACATCATCTCAATGAGCTGGACTATAGAATCAAATTCAGCCGAGGGGCAAGAGATAAAGCAGCTCAAGGACGCGATTTCATTGGCAGAGAACAAAAACATTCTCATGTTTTGCTCAGCTGATGACAAGGGAGCCATATCAAGCGACCACTGCTATCCCAACGCTTGGAAGAAAAGCCTTCTTATTGGGGCAGCTAACGAGACTGGTAGTATGTGTGACTGGGTTCCAACTCATCAAGGCTCAGAAATGTTCATTTTCCCCGGCCTTAATATTCCGTTTTCCCCGTGGATCGATGCACCAGACAATCTTGAGTCTGGAAGTTCTGTTGCCACCGCAATAGCAGCTGGGCTTGCTGGGGTGCTGTTATTTTGCGACGCACTCATTAAAACAACATCAGAGCCAATCGCACGACAAACAATACCATCAATCACTAACCATTCGCAAATGGCAATGCAGTCCAAAAATACCGATGATGACGACGACGATGACGACGTAGAGTCTGTCGTAAGTGACGACGAATCGGATAAGCAACAGGGCATCCCGTCACCTATCAACGAGTGGCTCGGGCAACGATTCCCTCAGCAAAGCCAGTCTGAGCCGAATAGCAGCTACATAGCTAAATCTGAGCCGCTCAAGTCAAAGGCTGGTATGGAGCGAGCTTTGTCGAATTTATCGGATAAGGGACGTGGGAAACCCTATTATCCGAGACCTGAGAAGGTGCTGGACGAGAACTTTCAATATTGGAGCTGGAAGTTGCACCGTGCTGAGGCGAAAGAGGCGTTGGCAAAATTCATGACAACAGTCAAGGTACGAATTCTATAAGCAGAATTTATCCAGCATTATCTATAAAGCGAACTAACATATTGATTTATTAGAAATAAGGCACTCAGTATAGCGGTTAGACATGCAGAACTTGATGCCCATAGACCTGAATATCTCTGTAATGAATGCTTCATGTAAGGCGGGGTGATGTAGTTGACTGCGGTAGAAGAACGAGTACTGTGACCATTTGGTTCGATGCCCATTGTTATGCATAATGAAGCTTTGGGAAGAATAAAAATGTACGGAGTATAGTTGAGGCTATTGGTAATCAAGACATTTCATCTGCTTTCAATGGTTTATTTGTTACGAATTAATGCTGGAATTTGGTCATTGCCGTCCAAAGAATGCTCTGGGCGGCCTCTTCGTAGCCCCACGTGATTTAAGGCGCCGTTGCTTCCAAGCCTCAACCGCAACAAACTCTTCCTGAAGAGCTTTAAAACATCTTCAAGCCGGCACTTGGATTCTATTGCTGTTCTGATGCTTGGATAAGGGTCATACATACCACAAGAATGACAAAAGCAACCTTTGATTGATTGCTGTGAAGAGTTGCTCAAAGTCTCACGGGATAAGGGCACACGTCATCGCCATGCCTCCTCGGCTCTATCACACCAAATCCAAGACTGGCTGTGTTCGCTGCAGAGCTCGTCGCGTCAAGGTAACGTAGCTTGATGCTTCTTCAGCTTGCTTCAAACTTTTGTATGAAAGCAACTGATCCATATTCTCTGTATTAACACAGTGCGATGAGGCCAAACCAAAGTGTGTTCGTACAAGCCCCGATCCAATTCTGTCTACGTGAGTTATAAGCTCTAACAATGAAGCCCAGGGTTGCTGTGTCCGCCATGAAGTAGATTGTTTTTACGACAGAATAGACCGCTGCAAGTCTCTGAGGTCAGATGTTACCAATATCCTCGATTCCGTATCACACCAGGCAGGGACAGCAACAGGCCAAACCGCTGCCCACAACGGTGTACACACGGAAGAGTCGATGCCTCTCATGTCGGCAGAAAGCCGCGATCGCCGCTATCTCGAACTCCGGCTGCTTCACCTGTGGACGACCGAAGTCTGTTTCACGGTCCCAGGCTGTTATGAACCCCAAAACCTCAAGATTTGGTCTCGGGATGTCCCCAAGATTGCACTTGACTATGAGCCTTTACTCACCGCCATCTTCTCCATCTCTCTTTTATACATGGTCTTTGGCAACTCCCAGGCCGGCATTCCGGAGGCCGAGCTTTTTGCGTACAGGGCACGATATTTCGAGGCGACCGTGCGGCACCACCGCAAGGCACTTGGCTCTATGGATCACCAAACTGCTAATGCGGCCGGCTTCACTTCCATCATTCTCATTTTTGATGCCTTTGCTAGCCTTAGAGAGCGTTGGATGCAGCCGGTCCACCCCGGCATGCCGTATAAGCCACCGACGGCATGGCTTCAGATGTGTAGAGGAGTCAGAAATGTTGTTGCGCTCGGCCTAGACATGATCGGCGAAGACTCTGATGCGTCTCTTAGTATCATAGCCAAGGGGGCTTCTCTCTTCGTTGATCTAGATACCATCTATTCGGACGCGAATCGTGCGAAATTTGCTTACTTACTGCCTGCAAATGCCGATACGTCTCTGGATGACCTTGACTATGAGGCATACACAACCGCGATTGCGTACATCGGGTCGGTCGCGGCAGCAAAGGAAGCTGGAGAAGAGCATCCGAAGATATGTCGAAGACTTGCGATTTTCCCCACCATCTTGCACGACCGGTTCCTCACCCTGCTCGACATGCTAAGCCCACGTGCCATGGTTATCCTCGCGCACTATTTTGCTTTGCTATATACCCTCGACGGCCTGTGGTGGGTGGGCAACTGCCCAGAAAAGGAGATTGAGGCCATCAAGGCCAATCTTGGTAGCGAATGGCTTGGTTTGATGGAGTGGCCGCTGCAAATACTCCGCGAACATGATCAAACATCAGCCGGGGCAGCGATGAGACTTTGAAGTGACGTTTTTGTGTGGATGAAATATGTCGTGGCGTTGACTTGATTGGGAATATACCAAAGAACAAAGCGAGGTTTAGTATTAGTATTCAGCAATAAGTTCATTATTGTTGCCTCACCCTTTGGCCGGCTTCAGACAGGGCTGGTCTACATCCATCTACACTACGAAGAGCTGGATAGTTGGGCGCGGGCTGCGTTACATATATGCATATGATGGATCAACTCTAGAACTAGGATTATCTCTATTGTACTATTTGACTTCTCCATAGACCCTCTCAACTCATCGCTTCTTCTCGCACCGCCACTCTCCTGACTTTAGCTGCCTATTAGCTCGTTCTTCGGTCTCGTTCCTCGGTATCGTTTAGGTTCCACTTTTCGGGATGCTTGCCGCTGATGAGTTGCGTTGCCGCGCCATTCTTGTCTAAAAAGGAGCTTTTGAACTGAACCTGATTCTACACCCGCAGATGAAATTTTAATATACGATGGAGATACTGTTAGTTGAACGATGGGAGGCCTCGAGAGACGAGGAGGCATATAAGGGCTTGGACGCTGGATGGTTTGGTGTTGCCGCCATGCTCTTACATCTCACTCTCTCTTTAAGCCGCGAACAAATCACTGCTTGCGCATAACATCGTTGGACTTACACACCGTGAGTCTTCATTTTCCTTCTATATAATTTCACCTACTTTTTAATATTTCGTCTCTCACTTAGTTTTAATGCTCATTTTTATTCGCATTGATTAGGATTGTCTTACTAGAAGAAACAAGCCCTCTAGTCTCTTAGCGACGAGGAACGATAGAAGCCAACAGAAAATATCCAACCCATCGTCCATTATCGACCACAATCAAACTCGATATATCCTTACCAAGTCCTCAAAGGCCCTCAGACGGAAAGAACACAAGTTACGCACAATGACTGCGACATCAACCGCCGAGCTGGCCATCTATGCTGCTCTTAGCATTCCGAACATGTACATCCTGTTCAAACATGGTCGCACTGGATTGCTTGGATGGGCTTACCTTCTCATATTCTGTACCTTGCGTATTGTTGGAGGTGTTCTGGATCTTTCCGGCAGTGCCACAGCAGGCATTATATCAAGCATTGGCCTATCTCCTCTTCTCCTTGCTGCATTTGGCATCCTCAAAGAAGCGTAATATTTCATTTCCAAAACGATAATGCGTGTATACTAATATATGAATAGGAAAACGTATCACTGCGACCCTTTGGATAAAAAGGTGGAATGGACTGTTGTGCTGTTGTTCCATGGCATTGCTACCACCGGCGTTGCTATTCTAGCTATTGGCGTGTCAAATCTGGATTCAAGCAACGTCAAACCCTCGGATGTTTCCACGGATGATTCTTTGGTAAAGGCTGGTATCGCACTTTTGACTCTCTCCTGGGCGATTGTTGCCATTGTATCAGTATGGGCACTCGCCCATCCAGCAAAATCCCAAAAGTCAAAATCTTCTATCGCTGCAGGAACTAGGGTGAGTGTCTCTCATGAGCATGTTTGCAAATATCCTGGTTGACTAAATCAGCAATAGCTTCTCTGGTCTGTCCTCATATCGGATGTTTTCAGTGGCATTCGGGTCATTTACACCCTCGTTTCACTGGTCACACAAGACGAGACCTTGAACCCTGTGACAGGCTCTCTTACAATCCGCGTCCTCTTGTCACTGATCCCGGAATTAGTTTGCGTACTGGCCTTTATAACAGCTGGGTTTCTCACACAAAATGCTGCTCGAGATTCCGCAAAGGCGGACAAGGCCGCAGGTAGGAGGGATCACACCAGCGCGGAGATGTAGGGAGACTGACTTCAGTTTCATCTTAGCCTATATCGAACTATTAAACACTCGATAGTTGTGGGGTTTTAATTCACGAACTGCAAGCAGTTACAATGTTTCTATTCATTGGTGATGTGTGTAACTTACAGACATTATGATGTACACTTGTATTATTTGACACAACGATGCCCATGTCTCTGAACCATGATGCAGATTTAGCTTATCCGCATGTAGTACATCCTACATCACTGGCTGCATTATATATGTCAGTTGGCAGTTCCTCGCCATTGGTGAAGATAAGTGTGTAGCAGCCCTTAGCAAATCACATAAACTAATATGAACCCACATGAACTGATTTGAACGACACATCACAAAATGCTCATCATCTAGGCTGCTATAGTGAAACATTGATATCACTACCGCCCAAGCTACTACCAAAGATGTGCCAATGCGCAATGTGTCTCACAGGGATCCTTCAGCCGCAGTCTTAGAAAGGTCTCACCCCAGGCAGCCACCGGCCACAAAGCTTTGGCAGTTCCAGGATGTTGGGCAGCCGACTGAGACATGCAGGCCGCCAAAAGATTCAATCTCGGTATAACTTGATCAATCGAGCTAAAGCTATGTCATCTGCTCTCCCTTCTGGTAGCACCAAAGTCGCTTGCTAACACGGCCCCTCACTGGACGATTCCAATTCTTGTTAAGGGAGTTCTTAGGCCGCCGATGTCGTGTTTGCCGTCTTTTCAAGGGTAGCATGCCGCTTTTAATAATCCTTGCCGCTGTCACTTGTTAGTCGGGTCTAGTTGCTGCTATTGCCACCAACCTTTGTGGTATTTAAGGTGCATCGCATTCCGGGTTGGTGGTTAGCTAGAACCAGCTTGCTCGTGTGGTTTCTCAATAGCCTTTGGCCGTTACTAAACGACAAAATGTTTTCTCTTGCCTATTCACTGGGCGGAATTGGGTCCATGGCGATATCCGGACTCTACGCAATTTTCAGGCGCCGGCCATCCAAAGAACCGGCACTTCACAACGACGTCGCCGCGGTTATCGAGAAATTCCCGAACGATGCCATATTCAATAGACTCCGCCAACTTTCCATTGAGAGGCCAAATTTGCTGTTTCACGATGACTACGGTGTGGATGCTAATTATAATGATATGATCCGTGACGTTATCCACATTCGTCGGATACTCCAAAAGCAGCTCCCGGCGTCTTCATTCGACGAGAACGGCCTTCTTCGCAAAGATGTCTCATCTATAGCTTTTCTTGCTTTTAGCGGATACTACTTTATAGTGAGCTTTTTGGCTATTGTTGCACTGGGAGGCGTGTGTGTACCACTATGTACGTCAAAGAGCCAATGGAAAAGCTATTGGAGGTTGCTAACCGAATGGATCATAGCCACCGGACTCAGTGCCGAAGAAGCAAGTTTCTTCTTGAAGAAGACCAAGGCAATATGCATTCTCGCGGAGCCAAACACTCTTGATATGGCCGTCAAGTTCAGAGACGAGGCACAAAACCAGAATAACCAGACGTTGAACTTGATACACTTGTCAAGGGCACAGCCTGAGTCGAATACGAACCCAATTACCTGGGAAATTGACAAAGAATTGACATTTTCACCGACTAGTGGCTGTCTTGTTCTCTTCACGTCTGGGACCACTGGGTTGCCAAAAGGCGTCTTTCTCCCACGTCAAATGTTCCACTTCACAGAAGCTCCTCCACCTCAGGAAGTTGTGTATTTAGCGTCCTGTCCTGTGCACTGGGTAGGAGGCACGGGGCTCATAGACAGCGTACTCAATGGCGAAAACCTACACATGATGAAAGCCGACTCTGAGCCCGCAGACTTTTGGGAAATCCTACGCGGAGGTAAAATTACAGACATGAGCGTGTCGCCGACGCTGCTGAGAAGACTGGTGGAGTATTACCACAATAGCATCTGCCATCTTCCTTCCGAAGATCCCGAGGCGTATGTTAATGGATCTCGAAGCCTGAAGTCTGTGTTTACAAGCGGTTCTATGCTCAACCCTTCCACGGCACAACTGTTCACGGATTTGACTGGCACAGTGCTTAGAAATGGATATGGGATAACGGAGATGGGTGGAGGTGTTATGGCGACCCCAGAGGGTTCAGCTATTTCCGAGGTACGTGTTTTGGCCTGAAGATCCTTGTTGTGTTTCCGTTTTAATTGTTATGCAGGGCTATGTTGGAAGACCTTTTCCAGGCGTCACGGTGAAGCTCTCTGAAGGAGACTGTGGAGAGATCCTGGTTAAAAGTCCTACCATGTTCATTGGGTGAGTATATTGTAACTTGTCCCGAATACTTTTGAAGAGCCGTTTCTCACTCTTATTTGCAGCTATTTCGACGACGAAAAAGCAACCAGTGCTTGTTTCAACGACGAGGGATTCTACAAAACTGGGGATCGCGCTCACCGTATTGGTGAAGATTACTACTTTGACGGCAGAATGTCATGCGACTGTGTGTTTCCCCCTCAATTCAAAGGGTTTACCGGAGCCCACCCAACTGACAATGAGCGTCTAGGGTTGCGCTTCCATGAATACACCATATCTGTTCTGGAGCTTGAGCAGCGTCTAGCGGACCTTGCATATGTATGTGAAGCTCACGTTCTTCCGGTACGAGACCACCATGCTGGAGGACTAGCCGCTGCTCTTGTTCGGCTTTGCAAGCAGGATGCCGATGAAGAAGCACGCAACATCACCCTTCGGACCATTCGCGAAGATCTCGCTGGCGCCGGAGTTGTTTCATACAAACTACCAACGCTGCTTCGCATCATCCCAGATGGAGAGCAAGTCCCACATACCGCCTCTGGAAAGGCGCAGAAAACAGAGGCTCTACGAAGATACTTTAACATAGTTGGTCATTTGCCAGATGGGTATGAGCATGAAGGTGTGGAATATTGGGGAAATAAGCTGGATTTGGCTACTTCAGCACGACTGTTTGACTGGGGAGGTTTGTAGATGTTTTACAAGGGTGGGAGAGAGCATTCCCTCAGATGGTATGCGTTCTAGCATTGGATCTTTGGAAGCTAATGGGTTAGACATGAAAATTGATTATGCTACATAGGTGTGGCCCTGAACACTTACACAAAAACGGTTCCCACCCAACTAATAACTCTATATACTAATGGGTATGAAGTCTAATCGTTTCTACTAGACTGTATCATTATTCATCAGAGTTACGATGAACAGAGCCTAAGACTTGGATAGAATCATATGCGCCTACACGAGAACACGTACTGGGTGCACTTCAATTCTAGCGTATACTATGGAAAGGGTGGGATTGGGTACATCACAAAGAACAAGCATCTCTATGCTACCAGTCATGTTGTCCTCTCTGTGGGAAACTTTAGGTCTACACAGCCAATCCCAAGGAGAGCTGCCACGGCAAGAAGGATGCCTAGGCGAGTCTTTGCATGTGGTGGCACACGCTGCCTGTGCCTAGACGGACGTGGCACAAGCTAGGCCCACGATCACAGCACCGCCGTGTAACTTGATGGATGTGAAGGACCCAAATGACCAGATTGAATTTTATGCAAGGCTTTGAGATTACAAGCAGGTCAGAGCCTGGTACTACCAAACTGACGGCCTTCAGTTGAACCCTTCTTCCACCGTGCGCGATGCGTTATACTACTGTAAAGATGATGCCATCAAGGCATACCACGGTCAATTCGATGTCAATAGGTTCACAGTGTGGAAAATAGACAACGATTCAATAGTCTAGATGGGTTGAGATACGAGGGAAGTGAGCAATTTCAGCCTTCGCAATCGGATGGTGGTCGATACGCGATACTTGAAGCATAACGACGACGTGCCCTCCGCCATCATCGGCGCATCGCCTTTCTACGTAAAGGAGAAGGATCCACCGAAGAAGTTAAAGAAGCGCGATTTTAAAAAGCAACTCGCCGCGTCCATTGCTAATGTGGTTTGCAAAGGTCCATGCTCGGGTTTGCTGGAGATTTCGCCTCTGCAGAGCTATGGGCTGAGCATCCGCAACGTCGAGTTTCAACGAGAACCAAACCTAGTTGCCGAAATTGCAGCAGGTTACGTCAGGGGAGTTGATGATTTTGGGTCGGGCAAGTTTACCATCGAAATCAACAATTGGTCAAACAACGGGAAGAAGGTGACGATGGACAACTTTCGGGGCAATCAGCTGGGTAGGCTCAACATTGATAAGCAGTACTGGAAGCAGTGGGAGATACACGGAGTTTAGCACGGGTCTAAGCCCGTAAGAACGTTGACTACACGTTCAACTCGACACAAAGTTACGTAGTATTGGATGCTGTGGTGAAAGGTACGTAATTGAACTCCACACAGTGGCAAGCCATGGCTTCAGAACGTGAAGCTTGAGCGACTATTGGCCACCTAGAATTGATAAGTGGTAACGTTATCATGCATTGTAGTCTCTCTCTTCGAAAGTATGCTTCACCAATTAGGAGCATACCAGATAGGGCGAATAGTAGTTGCAAAGACTCAATGCTGGCTCGACAGCATTGTCTGTTAGTATCGCTAGGGCTGGACCCCTGCAAATCGAGAAACAAGAGTTCAGTCTTAACTCCGAGTGATGTAGAGCTGCATAACTCACTTGGCTCTCGCTGGGAACAAGAAGATGAATATACATTACTGCTTCTTCTAGCCATCGAGTAGAACCAAGTTGAAGTTGAGTCGATGATGCCTTATTTTTAAGGATGACCTAGCGGTGGCTTGTTTTACTTTCATCTTGAATGTTTTCTGATGACATGTGACCGCGCTACGGCTAGCCCACGAGGTCACCCGTGACAGTATGCCCGGGATCGGTGAAACTGTCCCTATTCAAACGGCTATGCACATTGTCATAACTGGACTCTATGCAGGAGAGCATATAAGCAAAGAAAAGGTTCTCACCGTGGGGTCAGTCGCGACAACGCGGGCTTCTTGTCGTTTACACATCCGCAACACGCAATGGCGTCCGAAGGCGAAAGTGGCAGCTTACGCGACGAGGCGGACAAAGCCTCTGATTCCAGGACTGGGCGAGATACGAGTACAGCCAGGGAATCACGACGTGGACGTGGACGTGGACGTGGAAACGCCGCCGGGTCTTCAAGGTACGGACAGATCCATTTTGTGAACGTGTCACACCCTGGCGATGTTCGCCATCAGATGACGGACATCCGCCGCTTTGTCATGCGGGGCGGCAACCAGCAACGGCGGACACAAGAATCGGGACAACAGAATCCTCCGGCTACTCGCGCACGCCTCGGATCCGATGACAGCTCGCCCGGCCGGTCATTGCCGCCACTCGGAAGCTTCCCCGTGCCAGGCGACACGCGTATGCTGGAACTGGTCCGCTTTGGTAAGATCTGGGCCTAGATAATGTACGGGCTGCGTCTTGCAAAGGGTAGCTGCTAACCCCCCCTGTCTTAGCTAACGAAGTGACGGATGTCTATATCCCTTTTCGCGCTACGTGGTTTGAGGTGTCATTGATGGACCCCGGAGCCTTTGAAGTTATCCTCGGCAATAACGCTAGCTTTTGGGAGAGGATGGCCACAAATAATACGGTATCCAAGACTCCAGAAGTCATGAGGCACTATTCACAGTCCATTGTTCAGCTGCGGCAGCGTCTCGATGACGAAACCGCGGTGAGAGGGCAGGGGATCGTGGCGAATGTTTTAGGCCACGTTTGTCTCAACGTATGCTTCTCTCCTGCTGCGATCAAAAAGTCCTCCACTGACGGTAGCTAGATGAGACACTGCGACTGGGCAACTTGGAAGGTTCACATGGATGGATTATGCCTCATCCTAAATACTCGTGGAGGGCTCTGTGACTTGGCTTACCCAATAGTTTTACTGATACTATTGTGAGTGCTCATCACCACCAAGGAGAGAGAGTTGCCTTTCTAACTGCAGCGCTACAGCTACGACTTGGTCGGGGCCATAGTCTTCGACACCAGTCCGCGATTCCCTCTATACGCAAGCTTTGGGATCCCAAGCCCTAATGGAGATATCCTATCGACGTCTCCGAGGCTACGAGCCCTAGTCTTGCGATTGGCGCAGAAGTTTGACATGGTTGCGGCGGGAGAAGCCTTGACCAAGATGTCACACATGTCCGGAATCATAAAAGAGAAGAGTAGATCCAGCAACTTCTGGAAGAAGGACGTCGATGGGCTTCTCATGATTAGCCCGGCTCTACATTTTTTGCTATCCATGCCACGATTACCCGACGATTATATGACCCATGCTAACCGTGGCGACCTCGTCACTAGAGAGCTAGTGCGACTTACATGTCTCACCATCATGTCTGTCTTGAAAGAAAAGTTCAGCTTCTTTACTGTTGAGAGAGCTGGATTGCAAGCTCGGCTTGTGCAATTCGTTGCTGCCAATATACGCCACGTCGAACCCGACTACTTCGACATCAAAGTCTGGGCATTGATTACCGGTGCGTTGATGGAAGAACGTAGCTTGAGAGACTTGTACATCAATGAGATTAAACACATCATGATGATGACGAATACCTCGGTGGGAAACTTGATTCATATCACGCAGGAGATGGTCTGGATTGATGCTCTAACGTCGTCTTCCGCCAACGAGTTGATACAGGATATTGATGATGGAAATTCTTTATAGCAGATTATGCGAATATATTATCAACACTCAACGTCTCGAATATTAAGAATTAAAAAACAACGATCCTCCTCAGGACCTCAAATAATTATAAAATCTCCTACATACACCGCTTCAAGGTCCAATGAAGATGGGATCAACGCCCTGGGGAGGACCAAGGAACGACTCGTATTGGAAGCGCCACCACTCAACAACCTCACGATTGACAATCCATTTGGAGTACTGCGTAGGTGGCACCGTAGCATCACGGAAGATATCGCCTTTGGTATCGTTAATGTCCATCCGAGTGGTGTAAAACACCGAACTGTTCGCTAGAGATTGCTGGAACTCCTTGTCCATGATCCACGACATGAAAAGCTTCGAACTTTCCGGTCTCGGCGTCGTCCTGAGAATGGCGGCGGTCTGAGGCCAAGCAAGGCGCGTATCAGAAGGCGCTTTGGCCGCCAGGTTGGTCTGATCGACAATGTTGGTGGTGAAGCTGAGCACTGCGCTGGTATTTCCCTTGCTGAGGTATTCCAGGACAACGCCGGTGCCACGCCTCCACTGCACGCGTTGGTCGGCGACGAGCTTCTCGAACCATTGCCAGCCGTATTTGTTGATGGCCAAGGTGAAGAGGTAGTTGATGGCATCATCGTCATTGGGGAAAGCCAGAATTAACTTGTCCTTCCAGCGAGGTTGGAGCAGCTCTTCAAAGGTAGAGGGCACGTCAGCAGCGTGAAGCCTGTCCTTGTTGTATACGAACTGGCCAAATTGATCTATGGCTTGTCAGCGGCTAATAACGGATCAGGTCTCCTATGTTCCAAGACATACAGAATAGGATGGACAGGAATCCACCGTTAGGATCCTTGACATCAGGGTAGATGTTGTTCCACGAGGCAGGCTTGTAGGGCAAAAGTCTGCCTTCGCGATTCCAGCGGTCAAAGTCATTCAGCTGCTGAAGTATGGCAATGTCGGCTCCATCATGCTGGTTCTTCTGATACTGCCGGTCGATGCGGCTGTCAATGTACTTGGACAGCTCAACCTGCAAATTCAGTTTAATCTTTGGGAATCGGGCGTTGAATGCTTGGATAGTGCTCGCGGCCTGGTCGGGAGCTGTAATGGCATTAGTTACCCAACCTGGGTGTAAGATGCACAATCATAGCACGTACAGTCTCCACCCCATAACACAATCAGTTCGCCAGTCTCTTTCTGGGCAGCTTTATAGATCTCGTCTAGAGAACGAGTGTCGATGGCAGGGTTAGCACCGGGAAAAGAGTTGAGTGCAGCTCCAGCCACCAAGGTGACGCTGGGCAAGAACATGGAGATCTTCATGGCTGAGGTTGTGGTTGGTGAGGTTAAACAAATATTCAAATCTATGCTGAAGATGAGATATAGCAAATGTGAACAGACTGAAGGAATCGTCCCCTTTTATAATAACACAAATGCCAGCAACACGGATCGACAGCCAGACACTAGCTGGTTGAATATTTCAGCTTACTATAGATTGCTACAGCCGCCTCACTGCTTGAAGCTTCAGCGTATGCTTCAAAATGACAATTTCCGTTGCTGATTGATCTACATGCTCCTGACTTCCCCCTTAACTCCGTACCACAACGGTAAGTCCATACTACCAGAGGTAAATCCGACTTTGTAGAAAGTCATGTCGAGTATGTTTGATCAGCCAAGTATTGTTCCTGTTGCTTATCAGATCAAACCAGGGAGCGCCGCCTTACCGCGTTCATAAGCAGCCCAGTAAGCAGGCTAATGCGGTAGCCAAACAAGTCTCGGCTTCAAGGTGGGAGTGCTTTCAGCTCTGTGTATTGAAGGAGAGCCGCGCGCGATGACAATTCAAACTTAATCCACAGCCAAGGATCTCTTACAGATCAGATACCAGAAATTCGGTTTAGCGCAATGGAGGCCGGAGGGCTAACCTATCTCCGGCACGCAGTTACGACGGCATTATGCAGTCTCAATACGGAGTGCCTTTTACACAAAGACTAGGGTATGTAATCTTGGATGTTCATAGTATTCCACCTTTGCAGCTGACTATTCTTCCAAGCCGTCCTTACACAGTGGACCCTTGTATTCTCCTTTAAGTGTAGACCGTCAGTAGGGGGTTATTGAAAGAGTCCGGCTACTGTTCGAATAAGCAATTCTGTAAATGGCCGCTGTTCATAATGTTCTTAGTTCTGGGTAGGCGTGACGAAGATTCTATTATTAACACCGCGCTGCTGGTGCTTTAAGCTCGGACCATACTTCGACATCATATTCCTTTTCGGGCTGCATGAGTGGAGGCCCTGAGGTTAGTCTGATGGACTAACGGGATCTGCGTTGGTGTTGACGGATCATCTTGACCAGAATTTGCCAGTAAGCAATGCAGAGCAAGGAACTACCCCGGAGAAGTCATCGAAAGACAAGGCGGGCTACCGACGGCAAAGTCACCGCCAAAGTACCCAAGGGGAAGCCGGCCTGCTCAAAATAGGAAACAATCTTGCAGCTGCAAGGAGTTGAGCTGGCAAAATCTATCTGTTGTGCAAGGGATTTCTGACATGAGCTGGACCTGCATGAAGTTCCCAATATACGGAGTAACCCCTATGTTGTAATGATCAGATACGTAGCTGCTGTCATCATCGTAGTCACGGTGTAGACAAAATAACACTCTAGACTTGGCTAACTAATCAAAGCCCCAAACTCAGCTAGGTACTTTTCACCATGTCTATTACTACCAGTAAGTCTCTAGGGAAAGCTCACTGTTGTGACTTCAATGGCATAGGTTTTGTTACTGCCTCCACTGTTGGATTTCTGGCAGGTAATGGGTTGAATATGTAGATTGGATCCTTTTGTAGAACTGTGGATTAATGCACTTATATAACAGCTGCTTCTTAGATAAGAAAAAACTACATATGTATACCTATGCATATATAGTATGTCAAACATTTGGATCATGTAATATCGTGATCGAATTCCAAGTTAACCTAGACGCTGAATATTTAATAATTGGCGAAAAGTACTCACAAAGCATTACTGCTTGACTGCGCAGAATTACACCTATGGATAAGTAAAGCCACGCCATTAGCCCAACACTCAGCCAGTGGTGGCATTTACTTATGATCCTTCTCCGGAAATATATCACACTACAACTCCATGAATTTTAGAAACATAACTATCTCGCCATTCCAAAGGAAAATATTATAAAAAAGTAAAAAAGGTTTAAAAGAAGATATATAATAGCTAATATTGGCCAGTAGTTACTTACTTAATTACTAATTTAGTAGTTACAAACTTATCTCTAGGGAAGTAAATAAAATATATACTTTAGTAATAAAACTATAATAAGCTAAGCTCTTATAGGGTTAGTATTTTGTTGGAGGAAAGAGATTGGGTCTTTTGACAGTTGAAGGTTGTTGGATTCTTTTCTAGCTACAGGGCTTTGCAAGCAGCTATAGCTGGCTGCTATAGCTGCTGACTAAAGGTCTGATAGCAGGCCCTAGGCCTGCTAGGTGTGCTAGGGTACGCTAGGCTATAGCTATTATAGTAGCTGTATAGCCTTTTAGGATTATAATTAATATAATATAATTATTTATACCAAGAAAAATTACTAATACTTTTATTATAAATTAAAATAATAGGGAAATAACATATTTATAATAGTTAGGGGTTTAATTAGCTACTAATTATGGATCTATATATTAAATATGCTTTAGGACCTTCAAAGAGATAGTATTCTTGTAATATTTTATTTTATAGATTGGTTCTAAATTCAAAGTCCCATCCTCTTCACTCTTTAGTTAGCGATTAGGTAACATGGAAACATCTGGACAAATCCCAAAACTATATCTGTGCAAAACTGAAACCTTGCTATTAGCTCCTGGTTAATTATAATAAACCAGTCTATACTAAGTAGTATAAAGTAAATTCTTAAGGTAATAAACTATTTATAGTTTATATTAATAAAGGCAGTAGAATATAATAAGTAATCTTATTATATAATTAGTAAGTTAAATATAAAAATTAATTTTATTATTATATTAATAACTAATTATTTAAGTTATTTAATAAGTATAAGTATTTTATTTTTATATAGTAAATTATTCCTTTATAAAGTAATATAATTTATTACTTTATTATTTAAGAAAGTAATTATATAAAATACTTTAGTAATTAAGTTTAATACTTTAATTTTTTATTAATTAAAGTAAAATAACTTTATTTTAGGTATAAAGGAGGTTATATTTATTATCAAGAGGTTTAGTAAAGCTATAACAGCTAGGTTAAAGGAAGGCTATGCCCCAGCCTTTAGTTTAAAATCCAGAATTAATCTATAGCTTAACCTAATTAGCCACAGCTAACTAAGTTAAACCTTAAAAATTTAGGCCACAAAGTATAACTAATTAAGGTTTAAGACTAAACTTAAACATATATATATACACAAAAAGGCCTAAATAATAAGGTTTAAGTATAATGCAACTGGCTTTAAGCCTATAACTTATAGTTTAATAACTTAACTAGACTAGATAGGCTAATTATTCCGTTAGGTTATAAAAGGCAGTGATAATCCTTGAAAATAGATTATATACGCAACGCAAAAAACCACCTAATAAAACCACGCACCCTAACCACTTACAATAGCCACAACCTAACCTTAACCTAAGTAAGATAGCTAAGTAAATAGCTAAATCTATAATTAATAAGATTATAGACTTATAATTAAAAGCTTTAAAAAAGGAAAGACTAAAGTTAAGTAAGGTAAAGTATAAGCTAAACTAGCTAAAGGGCACTAAAAACCCTAAGTTAAGTAAAGGGATTAAGAAAATTATTAAAAAAGCTAATAAAACAGCCTAAAATAGTAAGTAAGATTTATGTAGTTATATATATATAGCTAGTTAAACTAGTTAATTAATTAAAGTGTGATAAACTAGTGCTTATATATTAGTATAAATAATACTTTTCCTAAGGGATAAACCTTAAAGAGGTTTTATAGTTTATATTAGCGGAGTAATTAGGTTAATTAATAGGTAATTTTA